AACATGCATTTTAACGGCCATTTTACCACTGCATCGGCAGAGGCAACAGGATCAGAAGTCTTGATAGGACCATCGACTGTATGATTGATAACAGCTGATACACGCACATTAGTTTCTATCATGGGTAAGTAATAGCTACTCCTGCCAGACAGTAAAGTGTAACGTCACTAAACTTTACAGTGTAGTGACAGCATATTGTTAGTGAACACTCCAGACGGTCAGTTTTTGGTTGTCATGGTAATGTATTACGTCCGACTATTAACCACACCCCCATTCTCTGTTTGAGAAAGCAAAAACAGCAGAACTGGCTGGAGGGGGGCTTTAATGATGTCATTGCTCCATATCATGCCTTTTGTGGCATTTTTGTTTGTTGATTTGTTGATTTTTTTGTCTCTGATTTACATTTTCGGTGATGATTTCTTGTCTCTTTAATTTTTTCAGCAGAGCAGATTGACCGGCTGCTGGCTGACTGGATTGTGTTACATCTCCCTGTCCCTCCTCACTAGCCATGCCCCCCATTCTTCATTTTCACGCTCCCTTCGCTCAGTCTCTGCATCCTTACTTTCTTCACTCTTCTTTCTTCGTCTTTCTTCACTCACAAGCTTACTTTCCCTTCTCTCAGTGTCTGCATCCCTTTTTTCATCACTCTCACTTTCCCTTCTCTTAGCCTCTATATCCCTTCTTTCCTCAATCTTTGAAACTGATGTAAGTAGAAGACATGGCACTGTAAATGTTATAATGTATTTAAAATAATATTTTACCACTTCAAAATAGGAAATACTACTGTTTAAGTTAATACTTATTATACCTGTGTATAGCTGTTATCAGCAGCTATGACTTGCATATTTACAGGTCCGGGGACACCTCGCGGTGCAGGAGCCCTCCTTTTTTTGACCACAGGACGATGCACAAAGATGGTGGGAATAGCATCTGCTTTCAGCCTAGTCTTGACCTTTTCGGTCCTGACAAACTGGTCTGCCTCAAAATGTGCCTGCAGAGTGACTTGAGCTTATTTTTCACACAACATCTCAGGTTTATCTACCCACATTAATATATCATAGTTGAGTGCACCATATTGGTGAATATTCAATACTTACTGGACATGTATAGAAAAATGACTTCTCTCACCATCATCGAAGAAGTCATTGTGTGAGAACAGTGAAAGAAATCACTAACAAACAATCTAGTAACTGATGCCAACATCAGCAGCAAAAGCTGCTATATAAAAAATGTTTTATTTATTTATGACTTGGTTGCTATATATAAAAACTTATTTATTTATTTATGACTTGGTGAAACAGTTCAGAACTGAAGAAGCCTCTTTGATGAGAGGTCAAACGTCATCTACAACCAAGTCCAGATTCTCTCGATTCAACTTTTCTTGGATAACCATGACCTGGATGACTGAGGATCTTTACAGATGTGTAGGTTTGTCTAACCCTTTTTCTCTGTCGTTCTCCCTCTCTCAGCACAAGATTAATAGTGGGATTTTGTGGAACCTGAAGATTATCTGCAGTGATGTTTTTTAATAAACCAAACTTCTTTCTTTGTAGAAAAAGTGCAGTGTTTTGTTACCTCACATATTTTTTTGTTGTTAGCCTTTAGTGATGGCAAGGTTGCTCCTGTTGACCTGAGTTAACCATTTTTTCCTCCTCTCCATGTCAGCTGGGAAACCAAACATTTGTACTCCTTTCTCTGAGCGATTGCAGCATCCCCACACAGCACAATAAACCATGCTGTAGACTATTATAAGATAGTACACAGGCACAAACCACTTAACATGCTGTTTTCTGGGTTTATTGGAGATTCATTAAAACAACACATGACAATTATTGATAGTCACCTGACTGTCTCCTTCTCTTCTATCTTAAAGTCTCCTCAAGATTACATTAGTCATTAAAATCAATAAATCCTGGTACCATGGGACTACTAAAACTTAATTAGAAAAGAGGAACACACTTTCCAAGGGAAGGTTAGCCAAAACAATGTCAACAAGGAAAGTAATTGTAGCTATTACCGTCAAACATGGACTGTATATGTCCACCAATTTGTCTTTTTCTTTTTTAAATTTAGCATATTTAGTAATCTAACTACATACATGTCAGTGTGTTGTACAAATATTGTAAATCGATGCATTTATTGTATAAATTCGCTTAAAATCGCCGTTCTGTCGTTTCTCTCATTCATTTTAAATTGCCCGCAAAGGACTTCCGGGAGCTATCTGCGGTCTCCATCAACCACGTGATGATCAAGAATTTTGGATCAAGAAACTCTCTCTTAAAGGGCTCTGGTGATGACAGCTGTCCATCTCTGACCACAGTTCAGAACATGGTCACAGTGACATCGTGTCTGAATGCCCCTCTGCCCTGAGCCATGAGTTAAAAGAAACTTAACACACAGAAGCTCCACAGTTTGCTTCTCAAGGTCATAGTTAACCACAGAGTCCTGTGTACTGACAGTAAAACAGATGCTAGCTTAGCATAACTTACTTTTCTTACAGTTGCATAGGCAAACATGAATGTGTTAGCAACAGCAGCAAACTCAATATTAGCTGAGAAAAGCCTTAATTCTGATTGGACACCACTGTCCAACTTAGCAAGTACACCAGCTCCTTAATATTCTGTCAGTAAGATTACTGGTGGAAACTAGCTTAGGACACACCCGTATGACACACAGCTTGTCATACATTTTTACAAAAGTTCATTTTAGGTGCCACTCTCTGCATCTCACCATAACAGGTTTACCTTCCTGTTCTCACTAACCTGACAAGCAACTGACAAACACTTATTATTGTAGACATAGTTAAAGCTCTTCTGCTTTTTTCTGATGTTTTGTTTCGTAATTTCTGATCTTCTTGCTTAGATAGTAGATCTGACAGACCAATGCCCAGTTGGTTAATGAACTGCCCAAATGTTACAAAGATGAATGAACTGACAAATGAACTTACGTGCTCTTCGAATCACAGATCAAGTGCAATCCTGAGACCAAAAGGGGGGATGTTGGGATCACAGGGACCTCACGGAGCTGAGGTCGTACATTTCTGATCTTGGCTGAACTTTTGTCAAGTGAGTTAACTTATTTTCCCAGGAACCCCAAGAAAGTCACATCAATGCGTGAACAGCTTTGATTGAACCTGTGACCCCACACCTCATTGATAAAAACAGCAGCACAAGCTCTCAATGTTCTCTTTTCCTCTATCCACTCTGCTCTGCTCCCCACCTGTATGGACCCAAAGGCCACAGCGGCCTCCCAGCTAGGCCCACTCACCAGACCAGGCAGACTTCTTGGCTGCTACACAAAGTCCAGCAACCAGTTAACTCTGAGGAGAACAGACAGAGTGGCCAGGCACTCTCATCTGTATCACCACACAGCAAAAGACTACAACTAAACAATTCTTCACCGCCAGGCTCCATCCCCAACGGAGCTGCCAGCTAACATCTACTAACACCAGTGTTCTTCCTTCATGGACTGGTAACGTACCTGGCCATTGCATAGCTTTATATAGCTTAACTGCAAAGTTAACTTGGCTAAGCACAGGACTGTGTAGGCTGTGGCTCAGGAGGTACAGTGGATTGGCCGTTAATCAGAAGGTTGGCAGTTCAACCCCAGGCTGCATGTCAGTGTCCTTGGGCAAGATTCTGAACCCCGAATGGCCCCTGGCGGCTGCTCTGCCAGTGTGTGAATATTAGTTTCTGTTTGAGCACTTAGGCTCAGTGTGTGAATACAGAAGTAGTGTAAAAAGCGCTTTGAGTGGTCAAAGAGACTAGAAAGGCGCTATACGGAGCACTTACTTTGGTAAATGTACATTGATGTGTTTTATTGTTGTGATCACTGTTAACGTGGGATTATGTAAATACATTTCTGCCACAGCTACATCAGTTAGAAATGCTATGTTCACACACACTTTCTTTCTTTGTCTGCATGCTAACTAACTTAACTTGGCACCGTTACACCGTTAACCACACATATGGAGCAACTTAAAGTTGCTTCTACACCTTTTATTCTTTGACCACAAGCTCACGCACACCCTTTATAATTGTTCTCATTACATTATTTAATATAAATCTTGATGCCGTCTAAACCTTAATATCCAACATAGTAATGCCAACATAACATGAACAAGAATTGTTTCAGTAAGTGAATCAGTTCAGTTCGTTCACCCAAAAGATTTGTTCTTTTGACCAAATTGTAAGTGAATGACACTCAGTTCAATTTTATTGAGTTGAGTGAGTCTCACATATTTCCCAACCCGGACAAAGAAAACCAATACTGCACAATTAGATATCACAAGGAGTTAGTGCCAAAATAATCCATCATGTATGGGTTTTTTAAGTTGTTTCCCTGAAATCATAATAAAAAAGAGAGAACAGTGATATTAGTAAAAAATCAGGTCTTTTATTTGCTCATTCACCCACAGTTTAGCCCATATTAAATCTCTGCTATAAGTTAGATATTTACATCATTCAAGGCCCCTCACAAAATGCATCATGATCATCTTTACAAAGAAATCTATTTACATTGTACAAAACATTGCATACATGGTCATCCATACACCAAACCCTTGTTCCCTTCCACAAAAACAAAAAAGCAGTCCGATTTTCTTCATCTGTCGTTTCCACCACCACCATTTCTCACTGGCAACATTCCCCACCCTAAACAACCAAGTGGCATTTTTTTCTCTTCATTTTCAGACAGGCAGTTAATAAGTCACAGTCAACTGGTCAGCTACTGAATTACTCATCAAGACTGTCAGTAAGGCAGGCAGTTCATAAATCCTCAGGCAGTCAGGTTACTGTTCTCGTTTTAACTTTCTCTAAGTGCCTATAGAAGTTGATGAAAATCAATTCAAGACAATATAATGATTTGGTTTCTATTGATTGATTTCTAGAAATCAATACAAGTAAATGGCAACCAATCAAAGCTAAGACGACTCATGTGGGATGGCTTCACACATGGCACACTGGGAAAGGACTTGGAGATGGTTTAGAAGAACTAGTAGGAAAGAAGAATTGCTTGCTTTCTTTTCATCTTTTTGGTCCTGGTCAGGCATTTACATACAGTGTGGTGAATTCAGTTCTGCTTTTTCATAATGCAAATTTAGCCTGGTAGATTATTGAATTAGTTTGAACCTAAAGAGGTCCTTTTCTAATTGGAAATACTAAAAACACAAATGTGAAGAATGAACAAATAATTGTCAGTTTCCTTTTAGCCTGTTCAGCGTGTGCCTCTCCACATTTTGTCTGGTCCAAGATGAAGGATGATGTACTCTGACTGACAAGGCCACGTTGGCCTAATGACTCTAAAGATACAGATGAGCAAACAGGACAGAGCATAAAAAATGTTATACGTTGATTGTTTACATATAAATACAAGCCAGGACTTTTACATATCAGCATGACACCATCACACAACACTTTCAAAAACGGAGACCTGATTGTGCTTCTCCATTTATTCACTCCTCGTCTCTTCCACAGATTTGGCTCACCTGAGAGTTCTTTTTTTTAGATACTTCTAATAAATGCTTTGTTTTTGACACCCTGTTCTTACCCTGCCAGTGGGTACATACACTCGCCAGCCGCTTAAACACACTGATGATGCGACTGAATCCTCCACCATTAAAAATGGACTCTTTGGTGAGTGAGCAAATCAGTTTTTGGATCAGATTGAAGAGACCTAATAGCAGAGCATGACTGTTCAATAGTTGAGTTAATTTCAATAATCAATGTAGTGGTTTAGAAAAGACCTGAGAGCCCAGAAGAACAGATAGAGAGACAGGGTATCAACACAATGAAGGACAGAGATGTGTCATGTTTCCGGTTCAGTGTTTGTCCAACAGGTTATTCTGAGGCCCTGTAGCTACCAGCCTCAACAACCAGTTCATCTGCCACCTGGAGTGTCTGTACAATGAATGACCTTGAGTCTGACAAAGGCATATTTTGGCCGATACCAACAGATTTGGGTTGAAGCTGTTAACCGTCCACACTCAGTATCTTTAAATTTGACCATGTGGACCCCAGGTGCACTGACACGGGCTCGTATCAAAAAGCTCATTCTTTAAAGGATTTCTGTAAACGGATGTGTTGCTCAGTGTGTATGTGTCACTATGTTTCTCTCCAAGCGCCAGTCTTCATACAGCCACTATGTTGTTCATCTCCCATTTCTGAGTGGTTTTATTGGTGTCACAGTCTGATATAAACACTTTGTGGAGGAGGTCGGAGCGGTCCAGACATTTCCCTGTTAGGAGAACACAGACGAACATTACTACTGATGTTTGTTACAGGGATTCAGAAGCAACAACTCCTCCCAGCCTCCACTAGACAAGGTTTGCTTCCAGGCTTAGCCTAAAAACATGTAATTGTTTGTGTGTATTAGTTTAAGCAGCATATGTTTGCCTATAGTGGTGACTTAGATGAAGATCAGATCACATTTCATGACCAATATGTCTAATATGCAGTTAGCCCTATTTAGACAACTCTTGCTGGGTTTAAATACTTATGGCATATAGAATAATGAACGCTATGAGAGCACTTCTTCCATAGATTCCGATGGATACCGACACAACAGTGGGCTGAACAGAGATGATGTGCATGCAGCTTTGTCCTGTTGGCTGGCTCACCTTTCTTATCTGGGTTAAACCCAAAACACTACCAAACAGGGACAAAGGCATTATTCTCGTATACTAGTCCCGTAACGTTCTCACACCACTTGCGGTCGCAATTGAGCAGTGAGCGTAGTGAGTGTGGCTGTGTGAGTCTGGATTTCTAAATAGCCTGGTACAGTATAGGGGTGCAACAACTAATCGACGTAGTCGACGAAAATCGATTTTCGATCGAGCTTAATGGAGTAAAGTGATGTGATCAATAAAATTACTAAAACAACACAACATCAGCGCTGCAGTAACACCTTTACAACCCTAAACCTCCAAAGTGTGGAAGCACTTCACTCTTCACTCAATCAAAAAGGTTGTTAACTGCAGCATCTACAAAGCTGAGTTTTGCCTGTAAACACCGGAGCGTCTGAAGAGGAGGCGCGTAACATTGTTGCTCTGTGGATGATGAAGACTCATCTCAGTAAGCTAGTTTGAAAGCTAGCTTCACGTTAAAGCCGTGTACGCTATGAGCTGTAACTTTTTTTATAGTTTCCCTTAGTCAATTTGATCAACTTTTAATGGAGCTGAGAGTAGCACGTAATTATGATGCACAACGGCCGCGTTCACATTTCAGATGTGCCCTGACTTTGCAATCATAAACGATGCATCGGTCATGGCAACGTTCCCAGCAGGAGAACGTGTTGCTGCCGAGTGAGCAAGATTAGACAACACAACAATTTCTTACTTTCTAAAGAAGAGAAAACAGTTCTCCTGTCTCTGCGTGAGGCAGCGGCTAATCTGCCCCCCAAAAAAATCATGGTGTTTTGTGAGTTGTTGAGTTAGGGGAAAACATATAAACATTGTGAAACGCTGTCTACTATAAAATCATTATTATTGACCCCCCTGTAAATTCGGCAAATGTAATGCATGACGTTATTCCTTTCTTTGTAGTGTCAGTTTGTCAGTACTGGCCTGTAAACTGCTCTGTCACTAAACAGCAGATCAGGACTTGATTTCAGTGGAACTTTCTGTTGCTGCAGCAGAAACGTCCATTAAAAGGCTATTTTTGAAAGCAGTATTTATTTTATTGTCGTGACTGTTAATGAGCACAAGCCTAAAACAAACAAACAAGTTTAATTTAAAAGCTGATAGTTAAATAAGACGCATTCTTTAATTTTGCCATTCATAATCGATTATTCATTTCAATAACAGATAGATTAATCGACTATCAAAATAGTTGTTAGTTGCAGCCCTAGTACAGTAAACTAGGCAATTTTCTCACTAGTTGGGATGGGCACCATTAGGATTTTATTGATCCACTCTCTACAGTAGATACTCCTTATTGGTTCAGGTCTTTATCAATAATCTGTGGCTACTGTAGAATTTTGCCACACTGTCCTAAACTTCCTTCTACTTGTAACATGATGATTGTCAATGATGACAGCAAATCACTATGTGAAAATATATAACTGAAAAACAGTGCAAATGTTTACCTGTCGGCATGTGAGTGAACCGATGAAGATCCTGCAAAGACCAATGTGGGGGAGAGAGAGAGAGTAACAGGGAGAGTGATTGAAATGTGGTTCATTGTCTGTCTGAGACTGATCAGTGTGCTCTCATCTTTTCCTGTTTGCACACACTGTTGACCAGAGCATGGTCAAACACAAGCACAGAACAGATGTTTGCTTTCATCAGTCACATGTGTTTCTGTCTCACCTTGAAGTACTTCCACTCAGTGTGCTGGTTCTGATCACAGTGTGTGATGATGACTGCTGAATTATCACCTTCTCTGGTCAGGCACTGGTCGTACTGCATCAACTGGTTGGCTTCATTGATACGGAACAACTACACACACACACACACACACACACACGCACACACACGTCAACAAAGTCAGGCGGGCAGAACGCTCTTGTTCTGAAATGCAGTGCAGACAAAAGCACAAAACTGGCTCACAGAGAGCTGTTATCACTATAAAAGCACACAAAATGACAAATTAACACCACATCAGCAACGTGGGGCAGGCAAACGCTCCGATGCTAAAAAACGTCCAGTGTGAGTTGACAGGCAGGGGATGGACAAAACAGTGGCACAGCCTACACGTTTGGTTTGTTGTTGTAAAATGTACACGCCCTGCGCCCACTCTGATTGGTGAGTAGGACCGTAACTGGAGGCGCATTGTGCTTGTGATTGGGCAGGTCTGTCACACAAGAATGACAACAGAATGAATGTGAAACGGGTCAGATGCGCTGTATAATGAACCTACATTTTAATAGCAGCAACATTCAACATTAGTTAATCGCTTTTTTTCAAAGTGCAATTTTGATTTAAACACAACAAATCGTTCAGCGCTACCCTGAGTTGAGGGAAACTCTGGGTTTACGGAGGTCTTTGAACAATGATGTCTGGCCTCATATTCAAATACACATCATGAATTCACCCTTGGCTCAGAATGAAATCTTTACATTGCCTTTCTCTTTTGCACGTGAAGTATACTTTATCAGACTGTAACAGTAGGGCTGAAACGATTCATCGATTAAATCGATTAATAAAATTCATCGACACAAATTCTTTGCATCAATGCTTCGTTTAATCCATTTAACTTTACAGCACAGTGTTTTGCAATGACATTTATTACTGTGGCACATCGTGCTTACGCTGTGAACACTACATGATTATTGGTGCTGTTTGCAAAGTGGGGAAAGAGAGAAAATAGCGAGGGACGAAGAAGAAAGTGTCCACAGTATGGGATTATTTCAAGCTAAAGAAAACAACAACAACTCTGTAATGTTACCGTCCGTCCACCAGACAAGGTAACAGTAACAGCAACTTTAGCATTTAACTGAAATCATGATTGATTGTTGAGTTGAAGCCAAAGTAAGCTGCAGACCTCAGCTGGAAATGTGCACACGTGCGTTTGTTGTTCTCCTTTTTGGGCCGTGACTTGGAACCTCACTGTCAGGAGTTAATTGGGTGTCGGGGAGCCAAGCAAAAGTACTTATCGATGAATTGTTGTAACAGTTTGTCAGAACAGTACATTTAAACTTTTACTGCACATTACTTTGGTGATCTCTGCCTTAAAATATAATGTTGCAATGTATCAGCTGATCAGCTGTTCTGGAACCTAAATCTCAGGCTTAGCTACCTCAGAGTTTAGGGTTGGACACAGAAGTTGTAAAAGCTGCTTTGTTTTGTAAAAACTAAACCAACTAAAATGTTGTGTTGCTGAATCATTTGGTTCAATCAAGCTCCTCTCTGTAGTCAGAAAGAAAACTAATGCAGTGAGTTCTACTGGTAGCATTAAAAAAAGACCAACAGAGAGCTAACCTAAACCTTCAGTTCCTCGAATGGCCATGTGGAGGCTGGCTCCAAAAGTGAGACCCCTATGTTAACGGGTCCAACTTTCCAGCAGAACATGTTTACAGCCTGGTACAGATCCAACTCTGATATAACTCACCTGTTTAAATTACATTAAGGCTTTAAGTAATGCATAATTAAGGGCAGGCCACACTGAGAGCTGGGTGCTCTCTCAGGTGGCTAGCCTCAAGGGGTTTCAAAAATCAGGATTCATTTGGCCCACATCATCTCCACCTGTTTGCCCATTTTTGAATTAGCCAGAGTCAGAAGCTGGAGCCACCCACACCAAGCTTCACAACGGCTCTAAAGAAACCTGTGGTGATGTCATTGACAGCACACCAATAGCTGGATATCTGGAGAAAATAACTGACTGAATTTAGAAATGGGCAGAATAAGAAGTAGTACTGAGGGACTTGGGTTCCAATTGTTTTAAAGGGGCTATGTATATATTTTAATGAAATTAATCACTTTTTTATTGCGTTTATTTAATGTGTGATTCACCAGCTTTGTTCTATACCTCTGACAGCCACTATGCTGCTTCCTATGTGTAGTAACTGGGTCAGCACCATAAAATGACCAGCTCCCAGCACAACTCAGACTCCACGTAAGGATAAAAAAAAACAACAATAAAGTTGTGCTGAAGCAGTTTTGGATAGAAAAAGTGAGCAAAGGAGACACAGAGTGTTTCATTACCTGGTTGCCCCCCATCCTGTGGCACGGTCCTATTTCCACATTGCCTCCATTGGTGTGTCCCATACTGTCGATACAGTAACTTGTCTCAAAGCCCCGAATCTATGCACACATGGACAAGTCACACAAACACAATCTTGTGGCACAGGATTATACACAAATGGTTCAAACAAGGCATCTAACCACCAGGAAAGAAACTAAAGTGAGTGAACATGCTGTGTGCGTGTGTCTGCCTACCTCCCCCCATTCCACATTTTTAGGAGGCAGAGGGTAGTGCAGTGGAATGTCATAGGCTATTTCCTCCATGAACCACTTGAAGCTCTTGCATCGATGGTCCTCCCTGAAGTTCAGCAAGCAAACAATTAGTTTACAACCAGAGAGCTTACAGCTTCACCGCTGACATAAAAACAGTCATTACTTAAGCAATTCAAATATTATTGAATGTTCAGCTTCAAATGTTAAGAATCTTTCATGTGTCTAAAGATAAAATTTAAGAATCTTTGAAATGCAGGGCAGATATGACCAATTTCACGACTGCCATCAACAGGAAAACTGTCACTTCTGAAACATCAGAACTACCACTGATGCATGTTGGTGCTATTTTCATTCATATTTTCAGTATTATGTAATTATGTATTTTTATTGTTATGAAAAAATATTATTTCTACCTGAAGCATATTTAATTTTGGTTGTTTCCTTCTCAAAAGTTATGATGTAACAAGGCTTGCTGGGAATTGGGAAATCTGTTTATCCAGTGACATTTAACCTGTCATGCGGGACGTTTTTTTCTTGCAACCTTGTTAGTAAAGGCCCGTAGAGTGAACTTCTGATGGGTGAGTTACAGGATTCTGTTCAGAGTACAATCAGGGATGTCATTTGTGATTGTTACCTCTTTTATGTCTCTGGCTGTGTTGATAATTGATGAATAGTCCTATTTGTGATTGTATGATCAATGATCATACCAGTAGATTTGCTATGCTTATCCTGACTGCTATAGTTGTATGCTTATCGTCATAATGTCTCGCTGTATTTTTATTTGTTAGTGTAAGCGGGTCTGAAATACTTCAGCTCTTGGGGGAATTCTGTGGCTGTAGCTTTGGTTAATTTGGTGTTCAGGCAACTGCTGTTCATGGTTTTGATCAAAGGCTGGTTTGTCCAGGCCCAAGGAAAATATTTGCACAGATGTGAGCAGAAAACATGTTTTTAGCAGTAGTAACATGTCTATTATGTGTAATTTCATGCAATCTTATGTAGGGACGCAACAATTACAGATTTTGTTGGTACAATTATAATCTGAGGAATAATCACGGTGTCACGATTATTTTGCATTCATTAATTTCAGAACACTAGTAATGACTTAAGTTGATTTTTAATATTTAATTACATTAACAATTATATTCCTATAATATGCAAGTATTATTAATATAAGAGGAATATTAACTTCATTTATCCCCCTGGGAAATAGTTATTGAGGAGATGACATTAACTGAACTGTACATTTAAGTTTTAGTGAATATGAGAAACTGAGAACATCTCTCATGCAGTGTCATTAATAACTGAAATGCAGGTAATTGGTGTAGTCCTGAAAGTCTATAAGCTCCTGATGTTATGTCAGTGTTTTACACCTGCCATTTTAACATACAAACATTTTCTCTACACAGACAGGAAGAGGCAACAGGATGTAACGTTAAATGTTCAGTGACACTGGCTGTCCTTGCGGTGGGTCGGAAAGGTTACACCTGCTGTGTTTCTTTACGTTGCACTGAAAGCTCGACTCTCACCACTGCGGCATCGACTGTAAATTACATGTTTATAATTAATTGCCCACCAACTTGCCACGTTATTTAACTCAGTTAGAAATTCTCCCGCACTGCCGAGCTTAGCCGTTTCTTTGCCTCTAGTCTTTGATAAGCACGGCACTTTAAGCTGGTGCACCGCTCATGTAACTTTGTTTTTGTTTTGCGCAACAGAAACACTGTAGTGGAGCCTTTACGATTAATTAATCGTGACGTTTTAAAACGCGGTTAATAGTGAAATCCGGTAATCGCTGCATCCCTACACTTATGATTGGTTAGTTTGTAGAAGTGGGTCGTAGCAGCAGTCACACTGTGAAGATATGGTCCTTCCTGGCTTCCTCACACTGGTGACAAAAAATTCTGACAAAGCTCTAAATCAGCTGTCGGGGGACATTTCTTACAGTGTGACCTCTCTATTGACATTTTTGCCTTTAAAAATCGCAGTGTACAGGGGCCATTCTGTGGGAAACTGGTAGTAAAATGAGAAATTCAGAGATGTGTTATAGCATGATCAAGTGTGATAAAAGATGAAAAGTCCAGATATATATTAGAAATAAATACAAAGTATGCATATTATATACCTGAAGCGTTTAAGCTCACTGATGTCTCCGTAGGCGAGAGTGAGAGTTTCCGGACGACTGGCATAAAAGTAGTCCTTATATTCATCCCACCATACCTCCACTACACGAACATAGTTCTGTGCGCACACACACACACACACACACACACACACACACACACACACACACACACACACACACACACACACACACACACACACACACACACACACACACACACACACACACACACACACACACACACACACACACACACACACACACACACACACACACACACACACACACGACAATTTAGTATATACAGCAAGCAACGTAGATGAATAAATGAAGCCCAACAATTTCCCACATGAACCTTTTGTATATTTTTGGGAGTTGATAAAATAACATGAAGATGAAAGGTTAGGTGTGAGCTGGAACGTAATAATAAAACACTGTTTATTTGGCTTGAGAAGTAGTTTCCCTGATTGTGTGTGCATTCTACACAGATCTGTAAAGTGCAAACGAGGCTTGTGCACGTGTGCTCACCATGATTCAACACTACTGTTTATAAATCTTGTAAGCATAATTCTGTCTTTGTGTGTACAGACTTGTAGTTGTGAATCTAAACAGAGTTGTGTGCATCCGGCTCCTGGTGTTTCAAAGCACGAGCCATTCTACCTTCAGAGTGGGTGAGGATCCAACATGTGCAGGTGGAGGGTTGCCTTGCCATCCGTGAAGTCTGTAGATATGGCCGACACGAGAACACGGTACGAAGAGCAGCTGGCCACCACACTGCCAAATCTACATAAACACACAGAAATGGTACAAAGCCCAGGTGAACATTGCTCTAGACCCTTTAAATCATGTGTGTGTGGCCATTTAGCCTCAGTGTGTATAAACTGGGATAGTCCATGTTTACCTTGTATGATATTTCAAAATTCTCTCCTCCCCATATCTGCAGTCCTGGGTCATACAGACCCAGCTCAAAGAAGAAGTCTCTCTCTATAGCAAAGAGACCACCTGCCATGGCTGGAGACCTACAAGTATAAAGACAGAGACACACATCCAGACTCTCTTTTCAAGGTATCTGTGAACATCTAATACATGAAAGTCAGACATTAAAGAGTTCATTTGCATCAATATTGCCTTCACTTAAATCACAGTCAGTTTCTGTATTAATAAGAATGAGAACACAGAGTACATCAGAGACAGACAGAGACAAAGTCTAAGCAAGTGAGAAATTAGGGCTGCTCGATTATGGCAAAAATCATAATCACGATTATTTTGGTTTGAATTGAAATCACAATTATGAACACGATTGTAGGGCTGCAGCTAACGATGATTTTAGTATTCGAAGCTTCTATAGATTATTTCAACGATTCATCGTTTTAAGATGTACTTTTGCTTGGCAGTAACGGGATCAGCTGTGCACGTTTATACGTGATAGATATTTATTAGTCATTTCGGAAATTCATAGTGTCATCCAGCAAACACAAACATCACCGAGTGCTAAACAAGTTATACTAAAGGCTCGTGCAGACTACACGACTTTCAGCGTCGGTCGATGGCAGTGTAGTTCACACAACTTGCCGTAATATGACGGCAGTCTAAAAGTTGTTGTGTCGTTCACACTACTTGACTGATCGGTGACAGGGGGTCACACACACTACAGGAGCTGACAACACCCATGGCACCCGACGCTGGTTTCCAAACCACTTTTATCAAGAAAACACACGTGAAATGTGAAACGGGAAATGAGCGATCCTGCACACAAAACAGCTGTTGTTTGTTATTATAAAGATGGCGATTATAAAGACAGAATCTGGTTGAAAGGATGGATTAGCACACGCAGGTAGCAGGGATTGTCTGAGCTACAGAGAGAGCTGGAGCTCCCCGACACCCAGTTAACTCATGACTGAGGTTTCAAGTCACGGCCCAAAAAGGAGAACAACCAACGCACGTGTGCACATTTACAGCTGAGGACTGCGGCTTACTTTGGCTTCAACTCAACAGTCAATCATGATTTCAGTTAAATGCTAAAGTTGCTGTTACTGTCACCTCGTCTGTGTTCCGCTGGCAGAACACCTTTTTGTTCAGGTACTGCTGTGCTGTTGCCGAGGCGACAAAAGTTTAGTTTTACGGTGGACGGATGGTAACATTAGAGAGTTGTTGTTTTCTTTAGCTTGAAATAATCACATACTTTGGACACTTTTGTCTTCGTCCATCGCTGTTTTCTCTCTCTTCCTCCACTTTATCACGTCGTGTTCACAGTGTAAGCGCGATGTGCGACAGTAATAAATGTCCCTGTGAAACACTGTGCTGTATAGTTACATGGATTAAACGAAGCATCGATGCAAATAATTTGTGTCGAAGCATTTTATGAATCGATTTTATCGACATTCAGCCCTACATGATTGTTGAATGACTTAGAAAACATCTTGCGTTTATTGAACTTTTAAAACTGAATGCATCATTTTTTTAATGATTATGCATTATCCAAAATAGACATGACATAGGAGCTAAAAGTAATCAAATATTTTTCACTTTAAGCAGCTTCTTAGAGCAAAGAGGAAGACAGTAACGATTTGTGTGCGCGCGCGTGTGTGATGACAGGGGAAGTTGACGACACCTCGATATGTTACAATTAACAACTAATGGTGAGGAAAGTATAAATCCGGTAATACGTTAGTAGACGCGGACACAGTGGATATTTTACAAGCAAGGCCCAGGTAAAGCAAGTTTTAACACACTGGGTTTAGAATAAGTATTAATTATATGTAAATTGTAAAGCTATGAGTAGAAAAAGGGTCCGCCAGTTGCTAGGCTAATGTATGCAGTGTAATAATGGCGTCTAGCAAGTTGAAGCAGTTACTAGCCTGCCATGTTAGCTCGAGCTGAAGAAAACATGTAACAGCCTGGATGAGAGAAAGAGAAAATCGTTTTAATTCCATTAGCCAGTTTTTCTAATCATTGGAAGCCAAAATCAAAATCGTGATTAAATTTCGACTAATTGCACAGCCCTATGAGAAATTAGTAAGATTGAAGACTAACAGCAAGACATGATGAAAATTGGTTGGGGGAAGGTGGGGGGGGGGGGGGGGGGGTGCCACATCTCAAACCCAATTCACACCAGAGGCTCCCCTGTAGACCCCACAAAAACAAACAGGGCCCACAACACACTGTGGTGAAACACCATTTAACTCCCAGTAGCGGAAACATTACAGCACAGCGTAGTCAGTGGACAGGACAGTAGGAAACTGCTCCCCTTCAAAGGAGTTAGTGTTTTGGTTTAGTTGGTTAGTAGTGACACAATCATATTTTAAATATAATCTGTTGTTACCCAGACACCCTGCTCTTAATATTTCTGGGTTTTAGGTTAATTTAAGCAGATCTACCGAGAGACTGTTTTGTTCTTTTCGAACACTTAGCATTTCTGCACATGTTCGGTGAAGTATTAATAGTCTCTATGTCAGACATATCATTAGCATTTGTCCAGGTTAGTTGGGATGTGTTTGTCTTCTGTGTATACACACTGTCCAGATTAGTCAGGAGACATTGGTTTTCTGTACCTATATGGCTCAGTCTCAGTTTTGCGGAGTTTTTTTTCTCTGTCTCCCAGAGGAACTCTCTTCCAGAGCATGCTCCAATCCCAGGCTCCTCTAGCAAAGCCGTTCTCGTCACCTCCACCCTGGGGCTCAATGGTGAACATCTGGCCATGGATGGAGTCGATCAGAGGCACCGTACACACCGTTCTGACAGAGTGGGGGTGGGGACATGCACACAAGATACATGGTGGTGGTGGGGTGGGGGTGGGGGTGGGGCATGTACATCCAGAAAATACAATAGACAAATACGGACAGAAGTGCCAATGAAAACACAAAGACATGGGGTGGGGCGTCGGAGACCAAGACAAAGCAAGACACAGTGGATAGGACAGGTGGGATGAAGGGATGGGAGATGGAGACACAAACAGAACAGGGATGAGTGTTAGCATGCTGGCTACGGTGAGTGTACCGGTAGGGCTGCGTGGTATGTTTTCTGTTGGCCTTCTCTCTCTGGCTAAGTGGCACTCTCTTCCAGAGCAGGCTCCAATCCCATGCTCCTCTAGCCAGGCCGTCCTCATCGCCTCCCTGCTGGGGCTCCATAGTGTACTCATTACCATCTATATAGTCTATCAGTGGTACTGTACACACTGTCCTACACACACACACACACACACACACACACACACACACACACACACACACACACACACACACACACACACACCACACACACACACCACACACACACACACACACACACACACACACACACACACACACACACACACACACACACACACACACACACACACCTGTTCAAAGCGTTGCAGAGGTGAGTTTTACAGCAGAGCTCAGACAGGTGTCTAATGTCATTCAGTGTTTTTTCTTTGAATTGCAAATGCAGGAGATGGTAAAAGAACGGCATTAAGGAGCACGTCATATCATAGTACTATTCCTGGAGCCAGATCCATATACACTAGATACAGTCTGTACATACACTTAACTGGTAACTGCAGATAAAGCACTCAATGATGGTGCATTGATAGATATGGGAGTGATCTCTAGTCTTTACGGGGTGATGCTTATTTGCTCCTGTGGCCAGACCTTTTTTTGCATAAATACTGTATACATGGCACAGAATCAAACCTGCGACAGAGTTCACTGTTCTGAACAGGTGCCCAAAATCAGTGTAAATTAAACAGCTCGCTGCGCCGGCTATGTGAGGTTTCAGGTTTCAGAGCTGCGAGCAAAAGCAGATTTATTGCAGTGATAAGAATGAACACAAACTGAGAAACTTCCTCTGAGCAAAACATCTGGAACAACTGAAGACGTAGACATCTACAATACAAGCAACCTACAACTCATTATCCGTGGGCCAGGACAGAAAAGAAAACTTGTGAAACATAGTGATGATCATATCTTTGAAAGTGCTGCACAGTGACACTTGCATGCACCAACAGTAAGTTACTTATAAACATGTAATGAAATGGTACCATCATGAATTTCATCTGCCACTCTATCAGTTTGTCTGTATTTATACCATACTCTAACACCAAAGGTGACAAAGCTATCAACAGAGAGACGTGCTGAAAACAAAAGTTATGATTTAATACATTTTAGTAATGAACCAGTCTGGAAACAATCTGTTGGATAACCCAGCCTTTAAACTGTAAACTCGAAAGTGTGTGTGTTTGTGTTACCTGTCTTTTGAGATAGGAGCAACCAGAGGAGCATACCAGTTGATGCCAACCTCACAATGAGCATCAAGGTAGATGAGTACCTACAAAACAAAGACACACAAACAAATGGATGTCTGTGTTCATTTGTATTTATTGAGAATGGAATTGGTGTCAGTCCAATCAATCCTACTAACAAGGGGATTACCGTTACACTTAGATGACAACGGGGTTGGGGGGCTTCTGCAGGAAATCTGAGCTTTAAACACTTAGTCTCCGGCATTCTGGTAAAATTGTCTGCAATAATTTATGCCTTTTCCGCATCAATTCAATTCAAAATTTAAAACAATAACAGAATATAATTTACATCTACATTTATTAATTTAGCTGACGCTTTTATCCAAAGCGACTGACAATTGCTATTTATGTCAGAGGTCACACGCCTCTGGAGCAACTACTTACTATCCACACGTTAACAACACCTCAAGTGCAGATCACAGTCCCAAGCAGAGCAAAGTTGCGCCTCAGTTTTTAGATGTTTATATTGCAAGCATGGGTCCACTTCATTACTATCACGGCGTACGATGGTGTCGCATCAGCTGGGTGGAGATGATCGCACCTAGTTGACTTTATTAGTTAGATGTGGGCATGAGAGTGTGTGAAAGGTTGGCAGCTCTGATCTGTTTTAATATTTGGGATCTCATGACACGATCTCTCATCACACCCTACTACTAACTGTTGATTATAGTGTTTCACTCCTACTTTAAGTTTAAGCTGGAAAGATCATACCTGTCCTTTACTGGCCTTCTTGGCTCCTATACTTCTGGCCTGGATCAGTCCTTCTCTCTTCTCATTTCTGAACAGTTTTACAAGACCGTTCCACTGCTTGATGTAATCCTCCAAACGCTCCTTCAGATGGGCTACACACGACACACGAGATAAATCATAGTGCATTTGAAACTTTTCCCCCAACCACTACTCCTATAAGGAAAGCAAACCCACCTTTGTTGCTGAAGTCATCGATCATGACTATCTCAGCCAGGTATTTCCTGGGAGTCCTCTTGATGACACTGTGGACAGTTCTCATCAGTGTAGACCAGCCTTCATTATGGAAGACTATCACCACACTGGAAGTCAGCAGTCTGTCGTCATAATGCCAGTACTTACACCTGGAGATGTGGGACAGGTGGGAGTGCCAAGAACAGGTCAGTTAAATTCATTTAGAAATGTACAGGTTTTTAGAAATGTTGCTGCCATCTCTCTGCAGCAAACCTATACGGGAGCTTTTGGTCACAGCTGAACAACTGCATACGTTTCACGAGAGGTTCACATCTAAATGATTTAGAAATATGAATTAAATCCCATTCTTATGATTATAAAAACATTCCCTGTTAGAAAACATTTCTCAACAATGCATGAAAAATCTTTAAACAGGGAACTCCACTGATTTTACACAGGTCAGTTTATTAGTGAAAGTACCAGTCAGTGTGCGGAAACCTTTGTTTAATGTCTTGTGTGTCTTTGGAGGAGTAATCCTGATGCTGTCATCTCTGTTCTTTTCTATTTTCATCCTGTTCTTCAAATTCAATAGTATGGTCATCTTTGCAATGGTTAAGTCTACAAGCAAACCAGCTTTGAGTTGTGTTGGAATATGTGTGCTGGATGGAGAAGGGAGCTGATGAGGTGACCTCTGACAGTTTGCTTATGACCCCTGAACAAAGTGACTGGGTGTTTGGGTCTATGTTAGGGGTTAGAAAATGGTACATGGGTGACTAACAAGCGTCTCAGTATGGAGTCAGGCTACCACAAGCCTCCACATCAACTTCAGTGCTCCTTAAAAGGGTTACTTTACTGCAATTGTAATCCAATACACTCTTTCCATTTTTTGTTTGCTCGGAAAAGAAACAGTTTTTCTACATAGCCCTGGGTCTGTAAATACAAAACAAACAAAGCTGCTCTGAGCAAGCAGCCACAACATTGTTCCAGCTTGTGCATGAGAAAACGCATGAGAAAACGTTGTAAACAAACACTGGTACATTCGAACATGCTGGATTCATCACATGGCTGAGAAACCGCCAAAGAGGAAAAAGTCTGAAGAGCACAACGTGAAACAAGTTGCATCACCAGGCAAGGTGAAGACCTGTGTTTACATCTGTGAAGTGAAAAGGCCAAATACGTAAGTAAAGTAACATTTTCTTTACCTCCCTGCCTGCCCCTTTTGTATTGTGGACAAATGGTGCGTACCATCTACCTTGGAAGTCGGAGGTCGCTGCTGGGAATGACGTCACACCCCAGTTGACGGCATTCCAGTACAACAACAGATTTAAGTCGGAGAGCAAAGATTGAAGCCTCTGGAAATTATTAGCAATAACAGTTGATAACAACGCATTATGCAGTATTTGCACATACAAACACATAAATTTCTGACTTGGAACTCAGAAATTCCGACTTTCCATGTCAAACGGAACGCACCAAAAGAGCTGATAGTGTTGCATTATATATTCCAGAGATAACTTTTGTGGGGTAAGCGCTCCACCCTCATAAAATCAGGGAAGTGCAAGTGCCATTTCATAGGGCCTTTAACAGTTGTTTAGATTATCATCAGGAGTTCACCACATGCACTAGGGCGGGACTGAGACTGAGACAGAAACCGTGACACAAAAGTCCACTTTCTCGTATTGCAGTTCTGAGGCACAGATCCGTGACACACCTGCTCTTGGGCTGTTGAGCTCTCATTAAGACAATGTAATTGTGGAGGCAGCGGCTGGCGCGGGTGTGAGGGCGATAGCAGTGTGTAAAGTATTAGTATTGATAGTAGGTTATTCTAGGTCGTTGTCCACCTTATTATAGTGTTTATTCACTTCTTGAATGCGCACTCTTTCTCTTCACTTCTCCCCACACAAAATACTCAAACACTCACTTACACCTCTCTCTCCCTGTGTGTGTCTCTGCTCACTTTTTCCATCAGCAGCATGTTGTATAAAGTTTTGCGTTAAATAAGCTCACTCGCAATTGTGAGCCATGGTTCTGCTCGAGGTTTCTGCCTCTTGTTCTGCCTCTCAAGGAAGTTTTTCCCTTGCCTCTGTCGCCTAGTGCTGCTCTTGGTGGGAATTGTTGGGCTTCTGTAAATAACATCACAGAGTACGGTCTAGACCTGCTCTTTTATGATAAAGCACTTTGAGATAACTATATAAATATAGTAGCGCTATATAAATAAAAATGAATTGAACTGAATTTGTAGACAGCAGAGCACACAGGCAGCCGACTTGCAATGTTGACAAAGCAGCTGCTGCGTGTATTAGCTACAGAACTAAACTGATTGATTGTGGATTTTAGTATGATACCAACGATCTCTTTGAAAGAAAAAAAATATATATAATATATATATATATATATATATATATATCTCCTTAACCTTTTCTTATTATTGTATAGTCTGTTCACAGATGCAGGGTTTAGGTCAGAGCTGTGAGATTCTTTAGTGTTTTCCTCTCTTGTTGTTCCTCTCCCAGCCTTGAATGTTCATTCAAGGCTGGGAGAGGATCTCTGTTCCCCAAAACATCAAAACCTAGACTGCGTAAATGATTATGTATCCCTTTGCTCGGGGCCACACGCCCGAAGCTGCCCTTGGTAGTACATATCTGTTTATTCTCTTTTATTAATAAATTCTGAAAAGACAACGGTTTGTTGTAACTCAATTATTTGCTTAATCCCTCACCAGCAATATGTAATTTCCTGGGGATGCACTGAATGTTTGGCCACTGAAATTAAAACGGCCGAAAATAGCAAAAATAGCACTTTCGGTGTTCGGCCAAACAAGTCAAAAGAGCGATTAAATTTTACCAAACAATTACGTTGACATGTCGGCAGTGTGAAAGCATTTTAAAGTGTCCGAGAAAGACGCAAAAAACGCCGTTTGCAGGCGCTGTTCTGCTAAATTTCTCTCCCGGCACATCCATACCATCTGTGGCTGACTTCTTAGAAAAGACCCGCTTTGAGTGTTTGTCACTCGTTTCTCAGAAGGTGACACACGATCCTTTGATTTATTGTAGTATATCCGAACCTGTAGGCCTATGATGGCAAAAAAATACTTGTCTTTGCCAGCGACCAAATGTTCCATGATGTGATAAAATTTTTCCAAGGCTTGGGATGTCAATTATGGAAAAAAAAAAAAAGAAGACTAAGCCCCAAAACAGCTGAATAACATTCTTGACATATAACAAATGTAAGACATTGTTCCACTTTTCTTTTATCATTCTTGTAACAACTTCAACTTTACTCAGTTACGGATTTTTAATCCATTACACCTCATTACTGCCAGCACTCATTATTATTTATTATTACACTAGGGCCTATATCTTTCCTGCTAATTATCATTACACCTCTGATAATAAGCTACTGTATCATACTGTAGATATCCACACATTTATTATCATTTATTATTATATTCTTGGATTTGTATACTTTATTATATTCTCTACTCACTAACTTCAACAACCTATTATTTATATTCCTTTTATGCCTTGCAGGCATGCACTGTAATAAAGACTTCACCCTCGGAGATCAATAAAGTAGGCCTATTTCTATTCTGAAAATGAATAGGTTGTCTCTATGGGGTAGTGGTTAAGACACATGCCTAGATGTGAGAGACCTGGGTTCGATTCCCCCTGTGATACATGTGTCCCTGAGCAACACACTTAACCTCTAGTTGCTCCAAAAGTGCGCACTCTGACACAGCAATTGTGATTCGCTTTTCAGAAAAGCCTCAACACACAGATGTGTTTTATTAAAAAGATTTTATTGCAATCCCCATCTGCTGTCTCTCACAATCTCCGTATTTGTATAGCGCCTTTCTAGTATTTTCGACCACTCATAGCGCTTTTACACTACATCTGCAATCTGAAAGCGTTTGTTTGTTGTATGGTGATTTCTCCAAAATCCTGTTGGTCATGTATTGATAAGACGGTTAGAACTGTAAACGCGGGTCAGTCATTGTTTCAATGAAACCCCTACCAAGAAAGTGTCAATATCAAAAGTGACCAGTAGGTGTCACCGTGGAGATGGGTGTCAAAGTGTTTCGAAGCCTCGACACAATTCCGGCACAATTGCTTCAAACGTTTCAATGTTTCACAAAGCCTCGCTTTGCCCATCACTAGTCCTACCTGAAGAGAGGCTGTGAAGTCTTCATGTTGCGCCATACGAGAACCACATACAACATTTATCATATTGGGTCAGACTTGATGAATTTAGCGTGAGGATACACATGTGACAACGTCCGGTTTTCAAAATAAGGTGACTATGCAGGATGGAAATAAGATTAATTGGATTATATTCACAGAAAGTATAAAACATATTAGATGTGTCCATTAAAAGTAAATGGACACTGTAATTTAATCAGGTCACAGCAGTCTTTGTTTCCAGTTGTTATGTACCCTGATTTTAGCCACTGTAATTATGGTTGTTAACTTTACTGATTTATTGCTGTACTGTTTTATTATGTTTTGTGAGGTGACCTTTTCTGTTTTATTATGTTTTTGTGAGAAAGGCGCCTATAAATAAAATGTATTATTGTTATTATAATTTACATTACCGGATCCTCTAGGGCATCGGACCCACCCACCATAGTCTCTCCACATCCTGTGGGAAACACTAAGGAAAAAGCACATTTTCACTATTTAATTTAGGCAATGGTAAAAAAAGAGTTAAAAATGTGAATGTACTTGTTCGGCAATTTTTTTCATTATATTCGGTTTCGGCTTCGGGCAAGTAATTTAATTTCAGTGCAACTCTACGATTTCCACAACATAAATAACTAACCATTTTTCCCCCTCCATGTTGAGCATGGTTAGTTTTCTGTAGTAAGTGATCTACATGCCGGTTGTAGGTATGGACAGCCTTATACTATGCTGGGCTATTACTGGGCTAGTCTATCATCTGCCCGGGGATGTGCAATCACTCCTGTTCAGACTGAGTGGGATTGCACAAACAAAGCCCGTTGAGGTATGCATTAACCCAAAGAGATTTAGTCACCTCTCTCCGCCCTTTTAACAACAGGAACTGGCTGTCTCATCTCAAAAATCAGAGAGAGACTGCTGTGCCCACATCTTTACAAAGACCTGCTCACCAACATCCTGGATCAAGCACTCGGCGGGCAGACTGTGCAAGACTCCGGCAAGAGGAGAAACTCATCCTTTCATTTATCATCCACTCTTCTGAGGGTTTCTTGTGATGCTTTTGCAAGGAAACATCACAAAGCAATCCTGGTAAACTTGGCCAGCTTGTGCCGCTGCCTTACAGAAATGAAAGCTTGCTTAGCTAACATTTCGTTTTCATAGCCTAGCCAAGCCATTTTAATTGTGTGGTCATTTATTATGGAAGCCTATAGGGGACTATACATTAAAATGGTAATTGAAAGTGAAACTCCATAACAGATTTACATTATTAATAGCATTTTGATTGATAAAACTTGGCCCGCGATTGCATTATTTGATGTAGTATTTGGGACGGATGAAAACAAGTTGTCTAGTGTGGTGTCTATTAATACATACAGACAGGATCAGGATCAAGTTGCAAATCAAGAAAGTGTTCCTGTAATAGTAAATGATACAATGCATAAAGAAGTTGGCAGATTTGTAGTCTGTTATAACAGCAGTACTCACTCTTCATGGCGTATATCACTGATGGTTCTGTCCAGTGAGATCATATCACTAGCCACCATGTTGAAGCCAAACTCTTTGATGGAAGTCTGGACGGAGTCTTTGTACTCCGGACCCAGGACAAAAGGCTTGGCTCCCTCACCAGGACCGCTGGGGACCCCCGGAGGTTCAGGTTCCTTGGGCTCAAAGTTTCCCAGAATCCCTTTCTTCAGGATGGGGCTGCTGTAGGCGTGTGTGTGGGGTCTGAATGTCACATACTGCTGCTGGATCACCTGCTTCTGGTTGGGCTGCTGGTCAGGGTTCTGGGGATGGTTGTCCCCTCCTAGAAACATTAACCACAAACCAAAAGATCACACAAAACCACAACTAACAAATGCCAATACCATTAAACTTTATATCTTTTGCCCTCTTTTTCAGAGGAAGGTGCTATACCTTGCAACCACTTACTGATGGTAAAAGCAACAACTAAAACTTGTACATATGCATCAGGACCTGTTAAGTGACAGGTCACCTGTACACTGTCAAAAAAAGCTTGATTGTTTTTCTAGAGAATTTCAGCGCAGTTTATGTGAAGTTTAAAATGGAACTCAGTTTGTCTCACTGTGGTTGAGTCTGATGGAGTTGAGGTCGACCTCCACCCCCTCCACATGAGGCCAGGGCACCACAGGCTTGAAGGGATCTGCTGGCTCTCCTTTGGGCAGCAAACGGTCATCCTGTATGGAGGGATACAACAGTGGGTATAACACAGACGTACGTCATCAATATTTCTTCAGAGAATAACAAAGTGCTTGAACATGTCGGGACAAAAAATATAATGAAAAATTATTTAAACTAAAAGAGTGCACTCAGAGTGCAGATCTCCACCTAGTGTGTCTGGGGGCAGGGGTGAGGAACGAGGGGTGTAGGACAGGCTGTTTGTCCAGCATGTATGCAGGAGTGGAATGAAGGGGAGACAGTATAGATGTATGCAAGGTAGGGTTGGGCGATGGGCCAAAAATCTGCCATATTTATGGTCAGATTCATACACTTAAAATGCCTTTATGAAATCTTAAATTGATTCATAAAGCTTTCAAGTTTCAAAAGTATTTTACCTGTATATTACAATCAAGTTGTGTTACAGTCATCTTCAGAGGCATTCATGTTTAGGGGGTGTGGTGTAGTGACCTGTTCGTCGAGTATCAAACGACACTTTTCAATGGAGCAGAAATATTTGCTTCATATTATATATTAACCAAACTAACGTATTTCATTAGTAGGGTGAAATATTTGTTACGCTTTTTAACATTAATATGACATTATATTTCATTGTATTGCAGATGAAGAATTTTGCATATTCATTTGCAACAAATAAGAATGTAACTTTGACGGCGACCAGCATAAGTGGTACAAAATGAAGAGCCATTTCGGAGCCTCAAGATCTGGCTCCCTTCCCTTTAACCACACAGTAATGGACTGAACACTGAAAGTTCCGCCTCAGCGACGCATGACACCTATGTGGTGACATATGCGGATATATATCCTGGAATGGACGTGTGCGATTTAGGAAGTATTAAACGAGGGCAGATGCAACTGTAAGTTTCATCCAAACGTTCACTACAAAAGTATCAAGGCAGCTAGCGTTAGTTGCTAGCTAGGAAGTAACGTTAATTACCATGACAACCAATATGGTAAAGGTTGGCCGACACCTGAATGAAAGTGGGTTCTCATGTCTTTTGTTATTTACTATTGAAGACATGGGAATGTCATACTACGACCCTTCTGCCATTATCAGTAATAATCCGGTATTGTACATTATGACGTGTTGGGTTGGAGTTATGCTAGCACGCATAACTGTTACGCGCAGTTCCCGATGTTGGACACTTAATGTTAGCTAACGTTACGGTTAACGTTAACTGCTTTGCTGTTGTGAACTCACCCGTTTTCCAAAGGGGTTTTCATCGTTGGGTTTCGGCGACAGAGAGGACCAGAGGACCACTAAGCCGAGAAACGTCCCAATGACAAGCAAACTCCGTAGAATAAATCCTACTTTCAGCCTCATCTTGGAAGCTCTTCCCGGTTAGCCAGACTGCCAACAGCTAAGCTAAGTTAACTGCTACCGTTCCTAGCAAGGGCAACCCGGCTGGCAGGATGGCTAGGCAGTTAACTAACCTAACTAGTCAGCTGCTGATGTTGCAAGTTTAAACAAGGCTGCTACTAACTCGGCGCGATGCAGACGTTTCAATAAAATTCTATTTTGTATTCCACAAGGTGATGGAAGCGGCTCCTTCCCGGTTCTTTTCCTTCTGTGCTTTGTATCGCTGTGTGACCTGCTGCTGCTGCTGCTGCTGCCACTGTAACGTTAGCTCTGCCCAGCTGAGGCAAACGCCTACAGAGGCTTTACCTCTCGCTCACTTCTCACACGAGCACGGATGTTTCCTGATATATTAATTAGTCTGTAATATTTTGTTTCCATTTCTTTTCCACATTTTAATTATTCAAATAGTGTCCTTTCGTTTTCTAACACGACTCAGCTTGGACGTTACATTCAAGTTTTACTGGATGTGAAGTTAAAAGAGGTCTGTCTGGTTTTTCATACTACATTTGTTAGGTGACGTGTAGTTATTGAACGGGCTTTGGCTCTTTGTTGTAACCCTACCTTATACAGGAATGCAGAAATAAACACTCTTCAGGGAGGGAAACAGTAATAGGGACTGGCAATCAGAAAATAGCCTACACACAATGTAATTAAAGAATGGAGAAGGGAATGATATTAATGAAGAATAATAACACATGATTGTGGAGTGTTGTCTATGTAAATTATGTTTACATAGTTTGTCGTGAGTTTGAACCCAATCTGAAGATTGCATTGAGAGGGTTAGAATTATAGGTGTGTGAAGGGAATTTGGGAAGATCCTCAGACCTCACAGAATCACCTCAGACTTCAGTAACACATCACCATTCTTTTGTCCTTAGACAGAGGCTTCATGGAAATACATTATCAAGCATCACAGCAGAACAATTAAGTTGCAGGTTACTTTTCAGACCACATGATTTGGACTGAGAATCTCCCTACGCTACTTATTAAGTGTGTTAGTCACATCATGAACCCCCCCCCCCCCCCACACACACACACACACACAGTGTAACACTGAGATCCTTTCAACTGAACAGTCTCTGGGCCCTGTATACTGGTTTAGCAAACTCAACGTAACCCTCCTCCCTGCTCACTGCTGCTGCTGGACAGGTCACTGAGGTCATGCCATGGATCATTTATTGGTATTTACATATCCATCATATCCATACAGATACTTGAAGGCCAGCATGTGCAGAGGGAAAATAAATTCCACTATTCACAAAATGACATATTGTGCTTTTACAACATACAGAGCCAAAAGTCCAAAGTCTGGATTAGTCAGACATTTATCTATAAGAGAAAAGGTATCTCTCTCTATATAATAAACATTTAAACAGAGATTGTGTCAGTTTGAGCAACACAAAGGCAGTGTACTATGCACCACAGTACAGTGTACAGTGTAAATCTTGACTGTATTTTGGTGTAATGATGTTGCAGTAGCCACACTCCACACAGCGTTCAGTTAAAGTCATGGTGACATGTTAACATGAAAAGTGGTTGATAAGGGGTTTGGCAAATCTAAATTTCAAATGTTAAAGAAATGGCATCTGAATTGTAGTTGCGTTTCAATGGCATGCTGCATGTGTGCCCATCATCCTACGTGTGCTCCAGATACTGAGTGAGCAGTGAAGGGAGAGGAAGGAGAGGGAGCAGCGTCAGTCTGGATCGACCAATCAGATTCCTGATCTGGAGACGACACAACTGGCAGAGACTCCTGGGAGAAACTAGAGAGAGTGTGAGAAATAAATTTTAGGTTGCAGATTCTTAGGACTCATTTTATTTAACTCTGGAAAATAAGTCTTGGTCACAGTGATTTTGGCTAAAAAGTGATTACTAATCAAAGGATCCTGGTCTATAATAAATGTCTGTGAGCTTGTAGGTGAGATTTTAACACAGATCAATGGAAGAGTAGGGGGACATTTCTGATGCTATATACATTTGCATTCCTTTTGTCAGCTCAGGAATAGGCATTGGGTTTATGCTAATACTCCAGATGTGATTTGCCGTTTGTTTGCAGCCTACCATTTGTTGTTGTCTCTTTGTACTTGAGTGTATTTAAGGAGAGGGAGACTACATGTGATCTTTCTCTCTGTGGCCATGTTGATTCATCACATCTTTATCTCTGTACCTCTTCTTTGAGAAGACATTTTCTTTGACAAGAGGCAGAGTGATTTCCTCTTACTGTTGTGATAGAGCTCAGCTTGAATTTTGAGTTGTGCCCTGCATCATTACTGAGAATCACAGCGGTAAGGATATTGCAGTACCTTCAAATGTCAGTAGCAGCTGTTGTGTTTTTCCACCAGGAGGTGCCAGCTCCACAGGTCGCTGATTGTTGCTGTCTCTGATGTTGACATCAGCTCCATAGTCCAATAACACCGACACCTGATCAACACTGTCCTGTCTGACAGCTGCATGCAGAGGACTGTCCCCTCCTCTGCCTACATTAACACTGGCTCCTAGAGGAGGACAGAGGCAATGTAATAAATTATATTAAATATTTTCTATGCCAAAAAGACCAAAGCAATGGCCCCTCAAACTGTGGGTCTGCTCCCACTATAGGAGGTGTCCCACAAGTTGAAATGACAGAAGGTTGCAGTAAATGATCCACACCTCTGTGCAGCAGAATCTTTGAGCAGGCAGGGTGTCGGTGTAGACAGCTCATGTACAGAGGAGAGCCCAAGTGGGACACTTCATAGTCTGGATCTTGTCCATGAGACAGCAGGGCCTCTACACATTGGCTATTACCTGCACACACACAATGATGAAACATGCACAATGTTTCAATGCTGAAGTGTAACTCCCTGCAGAGTTCATTTTACTGAGCAGTACTTTGTGCTCTGTTTTCATCAGAATCAGTTTTATTGCCAGGTATGTGTACACATACGAGGAATTTGACTCAGGATTGGACATTGCTCACAATGTGCTTACTTATACAATAACACAATAATAAAAATCAAACACACTTTATCTCTATAGTGTGTTTGATTTAAATATACACACTATAAGACAAATAGTGTAGTGAGCAGAGTGCAACAGATGCAGGAGTAAATTATTATTATCATTATTGTTATTATTATTATTATGTACATGTCAGAGGTAGATGAGATATATATGTGCACATACATGTATATGCATACATGTACAGATGTACCCAGTGCGATGGAGCATGGTGCAAAGGATTCTGGAATAAATAAGTATTATGTGCAGGTGTTATGTACATGAGGTAGGTGGATTTGGTATACAGTATATACGATATAAAAATATGACAATATGAACACGCGCCACGGCGGGTGCAGTGATCACTCAGAGGAGAGGAAAGAGCCAGGAGAGGAGCCAAGCTTGCCCAGCTTGGACTTAATTCTGCTCCTAGAGATCTGGTCTGGACAAAATGGTACTCTTACTGACTAGCTAACGGAATTCAGAGACTGTTGTGTCTCAAGGCAGCATTGTTACAGAGACCTGCCCCATCAACATCCCGGATCAAGCACTCAGCAGAAGGTCCATGTTCCGAGCTGTCAGCGTAAGATGAGAGTAAGTGGACTCTGTGTTTTACATCGATGATGCTTGGTGCTCAAATGCAGTCAAGATGGACTCTGTTTCCCAAATGTCAGACTGTTTATTGTGAAGATGAAACTTTCATGTTATCATCTGGTTGTTGCTGTTTCCATTCACCCCAGATTCAAATTCAATAAACGCACTGTGGAATGTTTGGGGTGTATATGTGTAGCCTATGTAAATAACTGTATATACTGTTTTATTTTATTTTATATGTTACCAAATTTTAATATAAGCCTACACTTAATATGTTGTGTGTGTAGCATGAAGGAATTCCAAATTGTGTTTCGTTATGCAGCCTGTGCTGTACAATGACTAATAAACTACCTTGTACCTTGTAGTATGCACAGCTCTGAAATAGAGAATGGTGAATAAATAAATAATAAGTGGTAACCAGTAAACAGGTGGCTGAATAGAGACAGAGTTACTGGATTATAGCACAGGAATCGTTCCTGACACTGTGAGTCAGAAATCTGCTGTTCATCAGAGTGATGGCTTGTGGGAAGAAACTGTTCCTGAGTCTGTTGGTTTTGGCGTACAGTGCTCTGTAGCGCCTACCAGAGGGGAGAAGCTGGAACAGGTTGTGTCCGGGGTGAGATGGATCTGCAGTGATGTTTCCTGCCCGTTTCCTGACTCTGGAAATGTATAAGTCCTGAATGGAGGGCAGGTTGGCACTGATGAGGATGGTGTTGAACGCAGAGCTGAAGTCCATGAACAGGATCCTTGCATATGTCCCTGGAGAGTCGAGGTGTTGCAGGATGTGATGCAGACCCAAGTTGACTGCATCATCCACTGACCTGTTAGCCCTGTAGGCAAACTGCAGGGTGTCCAGCAGGGGGCCTGTAATGTCCTTCAGGTGAAACACCAGTCTTTCAAAGGACTTCATGACTACAGATGTCAGGGCTGTAGTCAGGGCCTGTAGTCATTCAGTCCAGAGATGGAAGGTTTTTTGGGGACCGGGATGATTGTGGAGTGTTTGAAGCAGGAGGGAACTTCAGACAGCTCCAGTGATCTGTTAAAGATCTGAGTGAAGATGGGGGCCAGCTGGTCCGCACAGATTTTCAGGCGTCTGGGCCAGGAGACTTCCTGATCTTCTGCCTCTGGAAGAGGTGGCTCACGTCCTCTTCACAGATCTTGAGTGCAGGTGAGGGGTCAGAGACGGGGGGTGAGAGCGTGGCAGTGGGGGAAGGTGACTGTTTGAAGATGGTGTTGGAGTGGGGGAGAGGTGTGACTGTGGGCTTTTCAAAACTACAATAGAAACCATTCAGCTCATCTGCCAGTCATTGAGTACCAGCAGTGTTGGGGGATGGTCTCCTGTATCCAACGAAGGTTAAAATCTAGGGCTCAGCTATTTAACCTCAGTGGGGTCGTTGGCCCGGGTCATCGATCCCACTGAGGTTAAACAGCTGAGTTTCCCTGCCAGTCAGTCAGAACTGAAGAAGTCCTTTGGATGAGGGACGAAACGTCTTCCAGTATCTTCAACCAAGTCCAGTTGCCCTTGATTTTAACCTTCGTTGAATAACTATGACCTGGATGACTGAGAATCTTCATAGACTTCTCCTGTCTTAGTTTCTCTGCATTGGCTTCCTGTAAAATCCAGAATAGAATTTAAAATCATTCTTCTTACCTACAAAGCTCTTAATGGTCAGGCAACATCTTATCTTAAAGAGCTCATAGTACCTTACTACCCGACCAGAGCACTGCGCTCCCAGAATGCAGGTTACTTGTGGTTCCTAGAATCTCCAAAAGTAGACTAGGAGCCAGAGCGTTCAGCTATCAAGCTCCTCTCCTGTGGAACCAGGTTCCAGTTTGGGTTCAGGAGGCAGACACCATCTCCACATTTAAGAGTAGGCTTAAGACTTTCCTCTTTGATAAAGCTTATAGTTAGGGCTGGCTCAGGTGAGTCCTGAACCATCCCTTAGTTATGCTGCTATAGGCCTAGACTGCCAGGGGATTTCCCATGATGCACTGAGCTCCTCTCTCCTCTACTTTCTCTCCCTCTGTATGCAACCTCATCCCATTATTGCATGTTACTAACTCAACTTCTCCCCTTTCCGGTAGTCTTGTGCTTTCTCGTCCCTCTCCTCTCTCCTCCTATCACTTCCTGCAGGTTTTCTGGCTCTGGAGCTGTGGAGTCTGGATCTGTGGTTGCGGGTCACCTGCTGCCCCCGTGTTCCTGCTCGACACCCTCTGCTGCAACGACTATTGTTCCTAGTCCTATTGTTATTATTGTTATTATAATCATTAACATTACGACTGTTACCATTAACACTACTATAAATATCTATACCATTTTTCATTTAGTCTATTGCAACATCACCTTTACTGTCTGTACCTCTGTGTGTGTATATTGTGTAGGCTTCTGTAAATAACATCATAGAGTACGGTCTAGACCTGCTCTTTTATGAAAAGCGCTGTGAGATAACTGTTGTTGTGATTTGGCGCTATATAAATAAAACTGAATTGAAATGAATTGAATTGAACATTCTGAGGAATGTTGAAACGTTTTAACTTAAAAAAGAGAAAGCTGTGTGGATCGCTGGTGTGTGTGTCGCATTGAATATTTCGTCGCGGCAGTTGTGTGTGGCGTCGCTATGACTACCAGCTACATTGAGGGGTACTATCTCTGGGTACTATCTGCAATGGAAAATGGTGCAGGCCAAACCGAGTCGAGTAGAGTCAAGTTGAGATGGTACTGGTAAAGGAAAAGCGCCATTAGAGTCCCTAGTGGGACACTTAATATGCTGTCATCAGGATGTGACCTTTTCCACTGTACTTAAACATTATAACATTAAATGTTGCAGCCAATCAGTTTCATTTTGTAAATGCCACCATACAGAAGTGAGGGGAGTCATTCTGTGATGTTGTGCATGATAGATGGATGCCTGGATAAACACACCCAGACTAATCCAACTATAAGCACACATAGATACTGAGCTTTCAGTCTATACATGCTTCAGGTTCTGTATATTCACCTCTCTTGCAGGCTTCGTGCAGAGCCGAGGGGAAGTGTGTTTGCAATGTGTGGGTGTGTGCTCCATTCTGCAGCAGCAGTTCTATACAACCGACACTCCCAGAGGCACAACAGTTGTACAGAGGAGTGACGCCATCAATGGTAGCAGCGTTCACCTAGACACACACACACACAACAATGTGAGCAATACACCACAGTCACTGCAGCAACAGCAGCTGTTTACTGACCGTGCTCATTTGTTTTATGGTGTTCCCACACTCATAATAATGGTGGTGATACGATTACTTACATTAGCTCCAGCATTTATTAATGCTCTGACACAGGCTACGTGTCCTGACAGGCAGGCTTCATGGAGAGGAGTCACGTGATCGATTGTGACAATGTTGGCGTGATATCCCTAAAAATGAAAGAACGCAGCATTATGACTTTAGTTGTCATTAAAGTCCGTCATTCTGATTTCAGTAAATTCTCAGTGAACGATATTGACTCAGTACTGGCACATTTTCCAGCCCACATGTCTTTAGGGTATTTATTTATAGTTTGTAGAATGTGCTATTCAACAAAGGAGGAGAATAACCTGTAAAGTGGTGCTGAATGATTTTGAAAAAATATCTAATTGTGATTATTTTGACTGACGATTTGGAGAAAATGACTATGTTTACATTACTCTTCTCCTTTTCGTTAAAGAAAACATTTAAATGATTATGGTGCCATTTTCAGGGGATCTGTACCAAAAAAAGTCTGTTGAATATGATGTGTAGGCCAGGAAATCTCTGCAGCACAACTGTCATTAAATATGGTATTTTTACACATTTTCACCTTTCACAAATACTGCACCTCCTGCGATTTGAAAATTGCAGTAAGCAATATTGCGTTACTGTAAGGGGACAAATAATACATGCAAAATAAAAACTGCTGTTTGCAGGTACATGAGGTGGTTTATTTGTCAAATTATATAAAACATACAATAATATAATGATGCATTCTGGTAGTTGACATGTTCTGGTGATCGCTGGCCAAGCTTGTGGGGACTGCCAGAGTAGTAGAAAATGGATTGGTATTGTTGTAGATATTATAAAGCAGGACTGAAAGAAATTGAGCAGGAGATGGGAAACGATAACCAGTTAATTCAATGAGTGATGACCCCTTGCCATTCAGCCAGCTCTTTGATAACAATAAGCCATGGGATTTTAGTTCACTTCAGATGTGGAACAAAACACTGCAAACACCAAAATGATAGTAAAGTGAACTCAACACATTCACACACATTTAAAACAACCCAGATTATGTCCTTGATTACAGAGGAGGAATCTGAGTGGAGGAATAAAGCGAAGGATAGATGCTGTTGACAAATGGATTGACCTGGTGAAGAATATTTATGTAATGGAGAGAATTACTTTCAACTTAGAAGTCAGGAGCCATTTGTTACGAACAGGACAAAATGGATGATTTCTGTTTCCTCCTTCAGACCATCTGTGCATATATGCATCAGAAACATGTTCCATTGTGATTCTTTATGTGTGTCATGTTTCTATCCATTTAGAATTCCTGTTTTTTCTTTTCCTTTCATTCAGTTATTTGTGCCCTCTGCTGTGGCCATTCTAACAGACACATAATAAAATAATCCCCCACACACTCTTTAAAATCTAATAAACAGAGCATTACAAAACAGGAAAATGGATTGAATAAACAGACAGGAACCACTAGTTCATCTGTTTTCTTGTTGAGGGATGTGGAGTTTAAAATGCATGTCTATGTGTTGGAAGTATGAAAACCAAACTATGCAATGTATGTGCTTATACAGACCATGTGTACATGAAGACACAGACTGTTGAAGCAAACATAGGTCTTAAAATTCATCATTCAGAAATAATATCCACTATGAATTAATGACTGAACTTCATTTATACAGCACCTTTCATGCACGGAAGACAGTTCAGTACATTACAATTCAGCAGCAAAAACAAAAACACAGAAAACACAAGTTCAAAACCATGCACACACACAAGGAGGAAGGCAGAAAATGAGCTACTTTTTAGAATATAGCATTGACACAGTTCCTTCAGTAAGATCACTAGATTAGGCTCTATTAAAAAGATTTTGAGTTGTCATTTAAAACTGCCCCCTGAGTCAGCAAGTCTAACATTGAAAGACAGTGTTGTGCATGTGTTATAATCTTGTGGTGTAGTGGCTAAAAGTAGCATCCCTAGGTCATTGTGGCAACACAAAATAGCTCATCTGATATGATCATAAAACTTTGATTGATCTAAAAGGGTGAGGCCATTTAGTGCCTTAAAAACGAAGCGAAAGATTTGTAAATGCATTCTAAAAGATACAGGGAGTTGATATTATCCTTCAGTTAGTTTTTGGCAGCAGCATCCTGAAGGGTCAGTAGTTTTATGCAAAGGTGTCTGAAGGCTGCCACTATTAATGACCTTTGAACTTTTTAAACAAAATTCCTGTGGGTTGATGACCTGGACCCCTGCGGAGGGCACTGTCACAGAAGGACATGTGATGTTTAAAAGCATCCTTGTGAGACTCCCGGTCCAACTTGGTCCGATAAATCATCACACTCAAACCAGACTCAGAGTCAGCTGAGCAATTGTAACACGTGTCCCTGCCTTAACGCTGTACAGTTTGTTATTGATGTCATTTTGTGTTTTTATATTTTGTATACATTCTGTTTCCCTTGCAGACCACGGGCCTGTACTACAAAGGGAGTTCACCTACACAGATTTCTCAAAGTTAACAAACTTTGGCAGCCTACACTGGAGTTAAACGGTACTACGACGGTGGATAAGATGTTGGTTAATTGAGTCAGTGTTAACTTAATTGGAGCTGGTGCGCGTTCTCATAAAAGGGGTGTGTTCGGCCGTGCAGGCAGAGTTTTTTCACAACAGCGCATGCTCTGTTTTTCCCAGAAGAATGCATGTTGATAGTGTCCGGATATGAGCAGATTAAAGACACGTTAACGGCCAAATCTAACACCGTGGCAGACGACAAAGCCAGGGCGGCTTGATGGCATCACATGGAGTAAATTTGTGGCCTAATTATCTTCACAGTGTTCTTATTGTAGTTCAGATCTCTATTATGCATTTTATGGGCTCTTTTATGTGTAATATGGTTAAGACGTAAAGGTGCAACTGCACATAAGGTCCACTGTAATGAGACAGTGGAGAGGGGAAATAATCCGAGACAGAATTTAATTTCCAAGATTAATCTAGAAGTAAAAAACTTGAATATTCTCGGACATTATAGTCCCACATTTATGAGAGAAACTTCACTTTGCCTTAGACTTCACAATCTAAACTCAGATGAAACTGAAGTTATTGTTCTGGGGCCTAAGCACCTCCGTGACGCATTATCTAAAGATATAGTTTCCCTGGATGGCATCGCCCTGGCCTCCAGCACCACTGTGAGGAATCTTGGAGTTATCTTTGATCAGGACATGTCGTTTAAGTCTCACATTAAGCAAATTTCAAGGAACGCCTTTTTTCACCTACGTAATATTGCGAAAATCAGGAACATCCTGTCTAAAAATGATGCAGAAAAACTAGTCCATGCATTTGTTACTTCTAGGCTGGATTACTGCAATTCCTTATTATCAGGCTGCTCGAAAAAGTCCATTAAGACTCTTCAGCTGATCCAGAATGCTGCAGCACGTGTTCTGACAGGAACCAGGAAAAGAGATCACATTTCTCCTGTTTTAGCTTCTTTGCATTGGCTTCCAGTAAAATCCAGAATAGAATTTAAAATCATTCTTCTTACCTACAAAGCTCTTAATGGTCAGGCAACATCTTATCTTAAAGAGCTCATAGTGCCTTACTACCCCACCAGAGCACTGCGCTCCCAGAATGCAGGGTTACTTGTGGTTCCTAGAGTCTCCAAAAGTAGACTAGGAGCCAGAGCGTTCAGCTATCAAGCTCCTCTCCTGTGGAACCAGGTTCCAGTTTGGGTTCAGGAAGCAGACACCATCTCCACATTTAAGAGTAGGCTTAAGACTTTCCTCTTTGATAAAACTTATAGTTAGGGCTGGCTCAGGTGAGCCCTGAACCATCCCTTAGTTATGCTGCTATAGGCCTAGACTGCCGGGGGATTTCCTATGATGCACTGAGCTCCTCTCTCCTATACTTTCTCTCCCTCTGTATGCAACCTCATCCCATTATTGCATGTTACTAACACAACTTCTCCCCTTTCTGGTAGTCTTGTGCTTTCTCGTCTCTCTCCTCTCTCCTATCACTTCCTGCAGGTTTTCTGGCTCTGGAGCTGTGGAGTCTGGATCTGTGGCTGCGGGTCACCTGCTGCCCCCGTGTTCCTGCTCGACACCCTCTACTGCAACGACTATTGTTGCTAGTCTTATTGTTATTATTGTTATTATAATCATTAACATTACGACTGTTATCATTAACACTATTATAAATATCTGTACCATTTTTCATTTAGTCTATAGCAACATCACCTTTACTGTCTGTACCTCTGTGTGTATATTGTGTAGGCTGCCTCCCTCCCATCTCTCTCTCCTTACATCCCTCTCTCTTTCTCTCTCTCTCTCTTTCTCTCTCTCTCTTTCTGTCTCTCTCTCTCTCTCTCTTTCACCCCAACCGGTCGAGGCAGATGGCCGCCCACCCTGAGCCATGGTTCTGCTCGAGGTTTCTGCCTCTTAAAAGGAAGTTTTTCCTTGCCTTTGTCACCTAGTGCTGCTCTTGGTGGGGACTGTTGGGCTTCTGTAAATAGCATCACAGAGTATGGTCTAGACCTGCTCTTTTATGAAAAGCGCTGTGAGATAACTGTTGTTGTGATTTGGCGCTATATAAATAAAATTGAATTGAATTGAATTGAACAATCAGATTTAACAGTGAGGAAAAACTTGTGAGTTTTGCCCACAATCACTATATTATCATGCACCTTAGAGACTCTGCCGTGGATTGGACGTATTCAGAAGGAAACATCAGAGTGATTTTTTTGTCACTTTAATTTCAGGGAACTTCTGATTTTTGTTCTTGTAAATTTGACACTTTCACATGTAAAACAGTCAATAGTCTAAATATGTGAATACACTTAGGAGAATTCAATTACAGCCTACAGATGGGCTGCATCTAAGAAACTGTCTCGTTAATTAAGATCTCTTCTCTAAATTCACTGAGGCTGCAGGGCTCGCTGTGTGCAGCGTGAACGTGATGCTGTTGTGTTCAGAATAACACATAACACGTGTGAATAACACATTTAATTTAACTGAAGGGGAAGAGGTAGACAGCTTTTATGATCTAAGTGCAAAACTAAAAATGCTAGAAGTGACAGGATGGTCAGTACTTCAACCTGCAAAGTAAAAAGTATTATAAATGCTACACTTGTAACAAACTGTTAGTGTGAGTGTGTGTGTACCTGAGCCAGCAGAGTGCGCAGGGCAAGCAGTCGACCCTGAGAAGCTGCTTCATGGAGAGGGGAGCGATCTGCCCAGGACCCTGGAAAGACACAGACACACACACACACACAGTTTGTTACAAGTGAAGCATTTATAATACTTTTTCCTCCAATGTTCCATTTTGCCACTGAAGTTCAGTAGTGTCATGCTGTCAGAATCATTTTGAAGACACTATAATCAAACTTTGAGTTTACAGAAACTTTAAATATCATCTGAAGGGCATTTCAAGTTTATGTTTATTAACATTCATCCACATACAGAGTACCCAAATGAACAAAACAACGTTTCTCACGGTCCAACTAAAGACAAGACACCATCCAACACAACACAGTGACTAGTAACACTAGACGAGACAGAGCTGATCTATTCCTGTAAGGAAGTCTAAGCTAGTGTTATATTTGTCCGCTTTCTCAGAAATTATATGGTGAAGAACTGACTGCTATAGAACAAGCATTCTTTCATCATGTTTAAGAAAATAGATCCAATTTCTTCTTTCTCATTATATATTTTTCCTTCCACCATTTTGCTGCATCAAATATTGAGATGATTTTCTATCACATCAGAATTAGAATGATCTTAGAATCCCTGCCGGACTGATTTTCTTATTTTTCTATAAGCCAAAACAAGACAAAACAACATCACATACATCACGATGTACATATAGTCTGATAATCTGTTAATGACCCTAATCATTGTTAGGTGTAGCCTACTCAATTAGAATGAAAGGAAAACATTTCCTCCACAGCAGCCTCCCTGTGGTTCTATATTTAGAGCTGGTGAGCAGCAGTTGAACGCCTCAGTATACAGCACGTAAACCCAGTCTTATCTACAACATACCCATATCTCCGTCTCCCCACGGCACGTCCAGCCACTGGTAGACATAAGACATTTTTAATGAGGTAGAAAGGAAAGCACCTCCACTTCTCCCTTCTCCCCATCCACGGGAAGATCGCCTTAGCAGCTACACTGAACACTGACAACTGGTGGCAAATACTAAAAATAACTACTAGCTAGCTTACTAGCTAAGTGAAGATGTGGGTGGATAACAGACTGGCTGCTAATCTTAACATTGTGTTGAGGCCAAACCTAACAAACTAACCCAGCCTATCTGCTTAACCACTAACTCCCTGACTCAACCACTGACTCTGCTATGAGCTACCAAGAAATATTTGAAAGCCTCCTCATGATGTGCTGAGAGTAGACTGTTACAGAGACAGGCAGCCATATTTAGATGGCCTGTGAGGACATTTCTGTCCCTGGCCTCTGGGTGCTACATGCCACCAAACATTTTTTCAATTAAAATCAATCGATCAAGCCAGATGAAACTAATCAGTTATCTTAACTGTGTCTTCAAGATGTTAAAAACTGGATGACCTGTAATTTTCTAATGTTAAAGTCATATTAAACTGAAGTTATTGCCCTTGGCCCCAAACACCTTTGTGATGCATCTAAAGATATAGTTCCTCTGGATGGCATTGCCCTGGCCTCCAGCACCACTATGATCAGGACATGTTGGAATGACACGCTCCATCCAGAAGATAAGGGGGGCCTACTGGTAATTATCATTGCCAGGTTAATACATGGATATAATATAATATGCAAATTGCACAGCCAAGCTTTCCTCTGTCCTCTGCTTTCTTTCATTCTGCCTCACCCAGCCCTGCACCTTTTCTTTGGCAGCTATGAATAATGTGAGCCTTCACAGCAGGACACAGAGGAGAAAACAGAAAGCAGAACACACAGACTGATGGACTGGTTTGATACTGCCCAAAGGTCACATGAGATTCTGTCATTGTTATCCACATCTGACATGATGGATGTGAAGCATCCTGATCGGCTGACCCCATTGTAATATTGTGTTCTGTGTTTTGTGTTCTGAGTTTTAAATGCAGTTTTAAGCCAAAGACAGCTTTTTAAAAAGGCTCAAATCAATGTTGTGGCAGGAACCTGAACAGGGATTAATGTCACTGTTAACAATGATGTCTATAAAAGTTTCTCTGAATCTAGATTTACATTTTCCAGTGCCTATCAGCAGATCACATTTCATTAACACTTGTGATGAGACTACAGGCAAGTCAAAGCCCCTCTGCCACACCAGGCACTCCTGAACATTTGGTGCAGAAAGTGGCTGCACATTTTAGGCTTCACAATTCTGAGAATTTATATTTGGATACACCCCCACTATAATCTGACCTTCCAAACTTTCCAAGCCTTTCAGACACTGATCCGCACTTAGCGCAGTTTTATACAGCTGACTACAGGGCCTTTGTTAATCATGATACTCTAGTAGGCCAACAGATAGGTCTTCTATAGCAAAGAGTTAAAGTGACAGATGAAAGGAGTGGAACTGCATTTTCCACGTTTGCTAACGTTCTGGAGCAAACCTCTACCTGTGCCCAGCACAGCAGTGTACCGACCTTGGCTGGTCAGAATGCCCCAGCAGGCCTTCTTTCTCTCCGGGGCGCGCTCGGGTAACGGTCCGGGCTCGGCACCTCTTTTGCGGGACATCTGTGGAGCTTCCGAGGTAACTCCGGCAGGTTCTCCAGGCCAGACCTCGCGCGCTTACCGCAGCGACCGCAACAGCGGAGCGCCAGCCAGGGTGAGAGCAGGGGGCGGGCTGAGGCGACGCTGGGAGCGAGTGGAGCAATCTGATTGGCTGAACGGCTCTGTTGTTGTTCTCTTCAACCCACATGACTGTGTCACAAGCGCTGCCACGTGCGGACGACAATGGACCAATCCCAACGTCCACCCCGAACCCTGTGTCCTAAATCCTCAGCCCTGTGCGGCCTTGAAGCTTCAGCTCTGTCTCGGACTCCGGTGTAGCTCTCCACCACACATTTCATGTTTTAGACTGGCAGCTGAGCTAAGTTACATATGCAGGACTAACCCAAGAACAAACAAGGTACAAATTACAAGTGCAAGCATAATCTCATGAACAGCAAGAAAATAAGGTGAAGATTTTACTGAAATAAACAAATCACTAATACATCATTGGAAAAGAAAAACATACAACACAAAACAATCCATTTTAACTTCTGAGTGGGGTCCAATTAAAAAACAATTTGACAAGAGTGTCTAAAGTAATACAGCGTTCCTAGATTTTACTACTTTCATTGAATCTAAATAAAAAGACAGTTCTTTCAAAAAAAAACTGTGAAATGTTACATTTGTGTAAAAATATTTTTGCAAGAACTATCAAGTCGGTGTATAAAAATTCCAACTTTCTGGCCTCAATTAGAAAACCTAATCTAACATTAACACCATACCGGCCTTGTGCTCAAAATATTATGCCATATCCAATTGACCCTTAGCTAAGCCACACCCCGAATACGCAGCTGGCCAATCCCAACACAGTATAGGACTCGCTCTAACTGAGGTCCGAGACTTTCATGGCTGCTCTCCATTGACTCTAATGCAAAATGCGTAATTTTCTAGCTTTTTTGGCTGTATTTTTCCAAGATATGGTCAAACACTGTTCCTGGGGCACTTAATAATAATTATAATAATTACAATCGCAACCCAGAGAGGTTGAAAACATAAGTATGATTTATTCCCTTTCCAAAACCTGAAACAAATCCAGAAAAATGTAGGCTGTGGATTATTCCTGATGTAATGTTAGTTAGATAATGTTACCTAACTTAAAATCAGACTTTACTAAATTTCATAGAGCACTACCCCAATAATTTGTCTTTCTAACAAGAAATATATTAGCATATCATCCAATACAACCACAATTGGGCCCACTATCAAAGAACAAGGAATCTTAGTTCTGGATTTTAAATAAAATGCACTAATCACTTTATTAGAAATTGTTTCACTGAATACCTTTACCCTGAAAGGCAAAATAAAAATGGCATCCTACATTGATAAAGACTCAATTAGTAAACTAAGAACAATGTATCTAACACTTCCTACCTTAAGCAAAAGATGTCTTCATTCCCAACCTGTGTCTCATAACATTTGGTTTGATATTGCAAAGTAAGGATAATGAACTCTGTGGTAACACAATTGTATGTCTAGCTAAATTTTTCATTCACAAATTGAATTGTGAAATCATCTACCAAATTTGCTGTTTTTTAAAATGAATGAATAAATCATTCAAAAATCTAAAAGGTCCTAAAGAAAAAAAAAATCTGAATAGCTGAACAACACCTGAATTCTTACCTTTTGGCTGTTTATTTATTTTATTTATTTATTTATTTGAATGTTTCTTTTTTTTTAATTCATCCTTATTGTTGTTACTGACACTACATACATTTCCTATTTTTATATTAAGAGCTGCTCCTTCTGGCTATATTTTCTCCGTATCTTTATTTTGAAGAAACTGATTATATGCAGCCATGTCTGTCTGTAAATTTTGCATTTTCAATAAAAAAAACAACAACATCTGGAACCTCCACGGCAGGCAGTACTTGGGTACCTACAGGTGTTACCAGGGGAAACCCGGAAGTGAGAGAAAAATCAGGCAAATCCGCCTTATAAGAGAAAAAGAATAGTAAATAAACAAGCATGGAAACCAACACTGATGTTAAAATTGTAAGACCAAAATATATTTTAGATCATAGATTTTAGATGTTACATAGAACACATGGAGTCAGAGGAATGCTATCACCTTACTCCACACTTTGCCTAATAGGCCTGCTGCTGTTTTGACATACAAGAGTGCATTGACATTGACAAATTTAGATTGACAATTAGGCTACCTCTCATCCACTCTGTAGGGCGAGATTCTGAAAGATGTATAAACCAGGCAGTTGGAAAGTAATAAAACGAAAAATAAAAAGTGCACCATGTGTCAGAATTGTAAGCTAACATATAATATCACAAAGTGCTGTCCCGTTCCTGTTCACAGCATTTTGAGCTTCGCCGAAGCCGCATAGTCAATGCTTGTGAGTCCACCATACGCGGCCGCAGCGCGTCCCAGAAGCGGCTTTCCGCTCCGCTCCGCAGAGAATAGGTAGCAGGTCTATATTTGCCGCTAGCCGCGTCATGGGCCTTTCAGACAGACTGCGACGATAGCACTTCTGCGCTGTGAAACCCATTAATTTCAGAGGCTTGTTCGTCGAGCAAAGCGCAAGCGCAGCACAGCGCACTGCTCGGCGACCTCGCGCGCACGCCGCAGTCAAAGTTCAAAATAGTCTCACTTTTACGGTTTTGCGCTGAGCCCCAGTAAGCGCAGCGCAAATCGCTTCGTATCTGAAAGGGCCATCAAGCAGCACAGAACAGATCGAACCAGGCAGGAAGTCATTCACAGAAAGGCATAGAGAATCCGGTCAATTTTCAAAATAAACCACCCTGTGGAGACTCCCGATCATAAAACAATAATGAACACGGTTAAAAGGGACACAAAAAGAAATTATTTAACTATGTACATCTACACAAATGCAAACACTGATTACCAAGTCAACAAAATCTAAACATGTCAGCAAAATCAGACAAAACGCTCTGATTCTGAAATTGTCTGTGGGAAATGGAGCCTGAATAATAACAAGTAAATGACGTGGGGCAGGCTGCACGCTCCGCTTCTGAAATGCTTCTGAGATGCTTCCAATGGACTTTGATGCGGGGCTGTGGATGAAGTAACGAAGTCTTCTTCAGAGTTGTTGCCCAAATATGTGTTTGAGATTTCTGTTGCACATATGTTTCGCAGGATAAGCGGCTGACGATGGATGGATGGATATTTTGTGTGCCTGTTTTAGTATCATATCTAAGTAGAGATCCTCTCTTGGGTACACAACTTTTTCGCCCCTGTAATATTATTTCTTATGATGACAAAACGGCCTAACATCTAAAATACAGGCGACAATGGTCTTATTTTGAAACGCATGAACAGGAAGAAGGTGTCAATTCCAGCAAACTTGACACTTCCTTTTTTTTTTTACACAGTATCATTAGCTAGCTAGCTGTGCGATAATCTCTTATTGAATTACTGCTGTTTTATCATTCCTGTAGTTGTAGCCGTTATTTAAATATGAATACGGTTCTGTCGAGAGCCAACTCTTTGTTCGCCTTCTCTCTGAGCGTCATGGCGGCCTTAACTTTCGGCTGTTTCATCACGACAGCGTTCAAAGACAGAAGAGTTCCTGTGGACATCCACGTCTCCAAAGTCATGCTGTAAGATTCATTGTCGAGCGTCATGTGTAACAGCTGTTAGCATGTGCAGCCTATATACTGTATTATTGCTATGTAATATTTATTAATGATGCTTGATGTTATGCTGCACACGGGAAATGAGTAAACGGAACACTAATGTTAAGGTAACTTACTCGTGTATAAAGACCCAGCCTGCAGGCCTGCTGGTGGGGTTTGGTCAAACTTAACAGTTTGATATATTTACCCGAAACACTGCGGTTGTAAGACTCGGAATTGCATATCTGGCACAGTTTTAACGCGGTGTACCGGCTTAGTACCCGGAAAAGCTCTACTGAACGTCTCCCAGCTGCTAATGAATGAATGAAACGGAAGTCATTTTTTAAAGCGTTACATTTAGGCCAAAACAGTAATTTGACCAAAAACTGGTTAAATCATGTTGGCACCTGTATATGTGTGTATATACCATATGTGTATATACCAGCCTGAACTAATGTCACAGACCTCAACAAACACGTCTTCACCTACAGCCACATGTGTTCCAAAGGAGCCACCTGCTGTGTTTTAACTTTCCTTCATCTTTTCTCCTCCTTCACCTCCCTTCTCTCTCGCTGTGTAACAGGAAGAACGTTGATGACTTCACAGGACCCAGAGAGCGCAGTGATCTGGGTTTCATCACCTTTGACCTCTCAGCTGATATCCTTTAAACATCATCATTTCTGATGTGCAAGCGGCCAGACATTCACTGAGATAGCAGACTAAAGGGGCTGCAGAACATCTCTGAGATGTGTTAGGTTTTCTTCACTATCACAGTAATCCAGTGATAGGGTCGGCTGTGGCTCAGCAGGTACAGCGGGTTGCCTGTTAATCGGAAGGTCAGTCCCCGACTCCTCCAGGCTGCATGTCAATTGTGAATGTAATTGTGAATTTGTGGTGAGAGGTGAGCTCAGCCAACTCTGCTTCCCTCTGTTCTTTTGTTGTTCCTGAACTTTTCCTACATTTGCAGCCGATTTTTGACTGGAATGTTAAACAGTTGTTTCTCTATCTATCAGCTGAATACTCCACAAAGAGCAATGTAAGTCATAGTCGCCACACACACACACACACACACACACACACACACACACACACACACACCAGGGTCTGACGTTAGGAAGTGGTCCGATTTGTTAACCTGTGTTTGGTTATATACAACGTGTTCTTCAGATCAGCATGTGTTCCGCTGACTGCAGTCATGCTCTGTCGCCATACTGCAGAAAATAAATCCAGCTCTGAAAACAGGTCCTGCTTCGTTTAGAGGGAGACAGAAAACCCCTTCAGCTTCACAGGGGACCTTTAATTGGTGTTTTTGGTGCTGTGTTGGATAGGTGGGTCTCCCACCAATAGAAAAAACGGCTGCGTTGCGGATTCTGGAGCTCTGCCGGTGCAGCTGTGAATTTGCCACACGCTTCGGACGCTGCACAAAGGTGTTAATCATCACTTTGTGTCTCCTTTGTGGCGCTGCAGAGCACTTGGCGCTACGAGTACAGGTGGATATTGGCGTGTATATGTGTTGTAAATCATCCAAAATTACCATAACTTTCAAAATGGCCAACTTCCTGTTGAGTTTAGAGCATCACTCCAAGAGGCTTTTTGGTACGTCTCAATATGACACACGTGTCACAGAAATTTCATATATGTAGGTGAAACGTGCCGTGGGGGCTGCTTCGTTAGAGGTCAATTCCTGTTGGCAGCAGGTGGCGCTATGACTTTAAGTGAATATTGGCATGTGGATGTCTTTAGGGTGGGACTCTTTTATGAATCCCAAATTTGGTGAGCATGTAGACTGATGTTACAACAACTTCCTGTTTTATGGAGTACCCAAGTTCCTGGCTCCAGGTGAGGGAGAGAAGCCATGGGTACAAAGGGCAGCTGTGAAGGCAATGTCGCTGGCGCACATGGGGAAAAATGTATTGCTTCACCAAAACATTTTTGTATGTTATGTAAGTTTTGTATGTATATGTATACAGCACCAGCACTCTGTGAGTTGTTGATGCCATCAAGGAAGAAAACAGGCTTGGCCCAGGGCTTTGGCCACCGCTCTGGCCTCCTGTGTATGAAAAACTCTAACCTATTTACTTAACATACCAACAATTACAAGACAGTATTTCATTTATTCACCTGTTAGTTCAATCCACTGTAAGATCACGCCTGGACGTGTGGGAAAGACCCACACACAGCATGAGATTTTGAGTTGGTCTGTAGTTGTTTTGCTCCACAATCTCTCTGAGATGGTTCTGGCTAGATAGTAAACCGGTCTCGCCGTTTCTGAATGAGTCTTAACCTTGGAGCTCACAGTGTCCAATGACACAGACAGTTTACCTTCCATTTCTGACCCTGAACAGCTGCTAATTCTTGCATCGAAGCAGTTTCAACCTCATACTTTAAGATTTTAGTGTAAACCCTTGTTAATCCTCCATCCGTACCGTAGGCAATTTCAAACAGTTAAAAGCATTAAAATTGTTATTGAAGAATGCTATTAGAATCTGTAAGTTGAGTAATTCAGCCTATATTCAGCCTCCCCCGTTTTGGTCCACGTGGTCTCTTGGGACACACATGGGCAACTTTCTGGACCATGTTTTGAAAGCACAACATCTGAAACAATAACATTCAACAACATGGAATGAGCTGGCATCATCAATTCTGGCTTCTCCTGTGAATCTGTTAGTGTGTGTGACATTTTATCATTGAAATGGCAGCAAATGGGTGCAGACAGACAACAATCCAGTTCAGTATAACATGAGCAACAGAAACAATGAACACAGGACAACAAAGCACCAGGCTGCTGGTTTCAAGATGTTGTGTCAGAACAGGTCAGGTAACTGTCTTCTGGTCAACCACCAAAGTAAGGGTCAAAGGTAGTCCCCAAGTATGGCGGACTGTGGACAGCCTTTTCAGTCAGTGAGGCTCTGTCATCTCAGTTTCAAGTCAGTCAAGTGCACTGTCACCATGAATCATGGGAGAGAGATTCATCTCTCTTTTAACCTTTGGTAATAATTAGGAACCTTTGTCTACAAAATCATCATCACCTCTTTATGGTGACAGGTTTTGGAATAGATGGAAAAGGGTTCTACACAGTGGGAGGGAGAGATGTACTCTCACTGTGATCACATGTCCCAGGTTTATCCTGTCTGTTCCAATTGCAATTGAGACAGACTAGCCTTGTGTGTGGCCATTGTCAGTTAACCACTTTAGCCAACAATGGTCATCCCAGCATGCTTCTTGTGATGGACAGCAAAACTAACCCGATCTGCCAAGTGGTTAATGTAAAATTTTAAACCAGGCCTTTGCCGATTCACCAACAGAGAAATGTGTGGCATTTGCTGTGATCAATAACGGGTTTGTTTGAAAATTTGAGACCTAGTGCTCGCGGATGCACTGCTGCATTTACTGCTAATTGGTCTATAATACTCTACCGCTCTGTGCTCTGTTGGTTTGCTTTCCCCACCGGTTTTCCTTTAATAGAAAGTCACACTGTCAGACAGCTGTTGTAATGCACTGCATTATACTGAGAGGTGTTCCTAATGTTCTCTCACATATTTGTAAAGGGTGGGTAACTGTTGTGCATTCTATTTTACTTCATTAAGTGGCCACTGACTTCACATCGGGACTGACTAAAACAATAAGTAACAGATATTCATTTAACAAATACATAAATGTGTGTGTGTTTTAGTCTCTGAACCAGGTGGTGCTGTGGGATAAGATCGTCCTTCGAGGTGAAAACACCAAACTGAACCTCAGAGACATGAAGTCCAAATACTTCTTCTTTGATGATGGGAACGGACTCAGGTTGGACACCCACACAATGCACAGCTTTCACTGAACATTTCATGACAACCTGCCCTTTTGGTTGGTTTTGGGATAAGCAGAAATTAAGTAGTTAAAAGTACCATTTTGAGGTACTTGTATGTTACTATATTTTAGAGAGAAATATTGTACTACTTACTTGACACTTTTTAATTTAATTTGCAGATGAACATTTGACACATTTTACACACTACATGTGTATAAAATAAATGGTCCTCAAATCGAGCAGTAATCTAGACGGATTCCATTCATGTACATATGTGGCTCCATCCCCAGCATGGATGGTGCTCTGGCTTTCAGCTGAACCAGGAGAGGTTACATCAAATTTTTAGAGCCAACCGCGCAGTCACACAAACTGGAAGGCACAAGGATGTTCGCACAGAGCCTACTATGGCAAGCCATTAGTGTGACAAAACATCACAATTGTAGCATGTTTTTATAAAAAAAAAGTGGTTTTATAACGCTAAGACCTGCTTTTTACACCACTCGGTGTCACCAAAGACGGCATCGTAAAAAGCGGCGTCTTAAATGATTATGATCTCCTTGAAGCAGGGATGTGCAGTTAATTGAAATTTAATCAAGGTTTCGATTTTGGCTTCCAACGATTATAAAAACAAGTTAATTAAAATATAACGATTATTGTGCCACATGCCATTTCGCAATGACACTAGTTTTGTCTTGTTATAAATCAAGTGCAGCCTTTCCTTTACAGCGGCGCCCCCGCCCCTTCCTAAAAGCCCAAATGCCATCTCAGCCAGGCTGTTTCATGTGTAGAGCCAACATGAGGGCGTTATAACAACTACAACTTTCTATTCACATGCAAGACACATGCCTCTGGTGTGACAGATCCGGGTTCTACTCCCCGCTGTGACATTGATGTTTCCCAAGTCAATCAGTAATTGTGTTAATAGCCAAAATAATCCTTAATATGATTTTTGCCATAATAGAGCAGCCCGACCTTGAAGTGATTTAGAAGGATATCGCAGTGGCAGTGTCATTCATACAGCAGATCCAGGGTTTGAGTTCTGATGGGGATGTTTTACAGGAGACACACCACTTTAAGAATCCTCAATACAACTCTATAGGGAAAGCCTGTAATGCCAAAGGTGGCCCCTCCAGCCAGAAAGCCAATCATCTGCTTCAACAGCCGTGGTGGGAAACATATTTCAGCCAGTCATGTGGTTCCACTGACCTAACCGTAGCAGTAGAAGTGGGGGAAAACGCTTTTTTATTTTGGGGCAAAGTCATCAAGTTTTTCAGCAATTTTTATTAGATTTTAGAGCGGATACTATTCATGTAGTTTTTATGTCCCGGTGACCAGTAAAATTGCAGGTCTGGCTTCAATCAGATAGGAGCCTGGTCTTGTTAGTCCAAAGTAGCTGCCCGGAGGCGTTGCCAAGATGGCTGCCGAGTGGCAGGACTTGCCTTAAAGGACTTTAGGAAGGGGACTCAGGTTTTTGCTGCAAATTTACCCATTCTGGTTGGTAGAGTAGCCAAAAACTGTAGTCAAGTAAAAGTACTGTTACTTTGCAAAAACAAGTACTCAAGTAGAAGTAAAAGTGGTCATCAAAATAAGTAGCTACTTGAGTAAGAGTACAAAAGTTAAATCACTTGAGTAGCGATTAATTTAAGAAATAAAACAATAGTTAATAATCTTTTTTGTCTTCTATAATAAATTACACTTACACTCTCGGATTACTTTTTTTTTTTTTGCAACGGGCTTCGAGGTATGTTTTCTCCTGTTTGGTGGGCGTGTCTCATGTGTTACCCAATCAGCTGCAACAAGTTTGTAAACACAACGGTGTTAAAAGGGCAGGAAAATTCAGTTCGCTTGTGTACATGGCAGGGTGTTCAGGGAACCACCGTTCGTTTTGCTACGTTTTGTCTGCGCTGAACTCAGCCCTGAAGTGTTCATCTTTTTTTGTTATGTAATGGGATTGGCTGTCTGTCTCATCTCCAGAGCCAATAAGAACATCACTCTGACGCTGTCGTGGAATGTTGTTCCCAATGCTGGAATCCTGCCGCTGGTGGTTGGAAGTGGACACATCAGCCTCCCTTTCCCAGACACATACGAGACCACCAGGAGCTATTAGACAGACGGGAACACACACATCCTGTACACTGGTGTTTCTTCATGGATGTAAAGTCATTTTGGTTTATAATAAAAGTTGAGATTGGAACATCTGTGTCTTTGTAAGGTTTTTTAAATGACAATAATTAGCAAACTGTTGATCCACATCCTGTACCCTGCACGCAGACGTTGTTGACAAAGCATGTCCCGTTGTGAAGTGCAGTGAACAGCTCCTGCACACTCACGTAAACACACAATTCATTTCCAGTGAACAGGACAAAGAAGCTCTAATTTCCAAGTTGAAATATCTGACTTCCAACCTCAAAGCGTTCCAGGAGCATGGTGGTGCATGATGCTGAAAGTGAACGAAAACCATGGCTGACTGTGACAAAGTGTACACACACTTGCACCCCTAGCAGTGCCCTTGGTATTAATTAAAAGGATGGCAATGCAACAACTGCCTCTACGTTACTCGTTAGCTGTGTACCCGTCTAGCTACATCAGTTGGTGATCCTCAAGTCAGTCAGTGTTGTAGGTTACACTTTCTAATGTTTTGGCATTTTTAACAATAACTTTTATGCAGATGTGGTGGGGAAAGATTCCCCAAGTGCAGGTTAAGGTGTGGTGGGGTTGAATACAGCCCGGACTTAACTCCTCCCCTGGCCAACCTCCTTATTAGGCTTAGGCTATATAAGCCACCTGTGCTCCCTTGCTCTCTCTGCTTACTGTTTTGTTTGCCCTGTTGCTGTTTTGCTTTAGTTTAGTAGTATGTGAGTAGTTGCACGGGGGCACTATATAGACTACACCATTTTTGCTTTGAATAATGTGTTGAGGTTTGTAGTACTGCACTTAAGGTGGGTAGCGGTAGCACTCCTCAGCGTAGTCTGCCTCTCATGTGATCTCTGCTTAGTTTTGATTAAAGTTATTTTGGGGCGCTGGAGTTATATTCTTTCTTTATTTGAACTTGTATTAAAGCTGTTTTTAACTCTTGATTGTAATAAAGAAGTTGTTTTATCTACCTTTTTTTATTGTAGTTTTACATTTATTTTCCTTTCAGCAGTCCTACTCCCCAATTGTTTGTTTGTTTTTGTTTTTTTATTTGGTGTATTGAATCACGTCTATCTCCTCAGTATCGTTCCTGTTTGCTTTCTCTTTATTCTCCTTTCAGTTAATAGAGGTTGGCGTAGTTGGTTTTCATTTAATTCCCCCTTCCTGGTCCACCGTGCCGCACAGAAGATGACTTTCTGTACTGTAACCAGCTATCAGTGTACATGCAGAACAGGTTTTACTATATGATCACATGTATTATTTTAAATAAGGGTGTCACTTTGTGTTGAAAAGTGGTAGGGACATTTCAGGGCTCAGATTAGGGGTGTGACCAAACACAGATTTTGAGCATTAAACTGATAATTTCCTGCATTCTAGAGACATTTGAAATGTCTGTCTATATGATGGGAAACAAGTCATTTGGCCGGTGACAATTCAGACTATAAAAATATTGAATATAATGCAGTAATCAGCAGCTTTTTTTTTTTTAAATCCCAAATTACTTTGGGAGATCTGTTTTGTGTATCTTTACATTGCATTTCATGTTTTCCTATTGTGGAAGGTAACCTTTCTCATAGAATTTTTAACATTTCTTGTTGCAAGCTAATTTTCTGAAAACCTTTAGCAAGTGCTTTCAAAAAGCGGTGGGGACATGTCCCCAGTGTAAATGACACCTATGATTTTAATTTAAATACATGCAAATATACTTTTGTTGTCTCTCTCTCTCTCTCCCCCTCCCACAAGTAGGAAATCCAATTTCAAGTGACGTGTAGTAGTGATTTGCGATACTACTTAATTCCTATATGATCCAATACCAAGGCTGGTATTGCCGATATAGTATTTCGCTGTCTTTGCACACACATCACACACAGCGTCATTATTACCTTCACAGCTAAAACACAGCCAGGCGTGACTGTTTTTACAGTCAGCCAGAGTCAGTATTTAATCATGGGAAAAGGGGCTACAGCGGCTCACTTCAAAGAAGCTCCATCACAGAGCCGTAGTGCAAGCATGACTTTGACAGGTGGAAGGAAAAGTAGTTCCTATCAACCGAGTAGTTAGACCATCCTGGTAACAGTGATACTAAAACACACACTCACTCCAAATGACTGAGTTTAGATATTGATCCTTTTGAGTATCGATCGTAACGTTGGTATCAGAAATATCGATACTTTAGGATCGATCCACATATCACTACCCTGTAGTAGTATTTTATTGGTTCAAAACTGGCGTCACTGCTCTCCATTCAAATCAGCGGGGTGGCTTGGTCCACTAATATACTGTACTGTCTATGGTTCCACAGGTCTTTTTCTATCTGAAGGTCGAAATTTAAAACCCTGCCATAACTCAGGGTGGGCAGCCATCTGCCTACACGGGTTGGAGGTGAGGGAGAGGAGCCTACACAATATACACACAGAGGTACAGACAGTAAAGGTGATGTTAATGTATGGACTGAATGAATAATGGTACAGGTATTTACAGTAGTGTTAATGATAATCATAATGATTATAATAATAACAATAGGACTAGTAACAATAGTTGTTGTAGCAGAGGGTGTCGAGCAGGAACACGGGGGCAGCAGGTGACCCGCAGCCACAGATCCAGACTCCACAGCTCTAGAGCCAGAAAACCTGCAGGAAGTGATAGGAGAGAGGAGAGAGACGAGAAAGCACAAGACTACCAGAAAGGGGAGAAGTTGTGTTAGTAACATGCAATAATGGGATGAGGTTGCATACAGAGGGAGAGAAAGTAGAGGAGAGAGGAGCTCAGTGCATCATGGGAAATCCCCTGGCAGTCTAGGCCTATAGCAGCATAACTAAGGGATGGTTCAGGACTCACCTGAGCCAGCCCTAACTATAAGCTTTATCAAAGAGGAAAGTCTTAAGCCTACTCTTAAATGTGGAGATGGTGTCTGCCTCCTGAACCCAAACTGGAACCTGGTTCCACAGGAGAGGAGCTTGATAGCTGAACGCTCTGGCTCCTAGTCTACTTTTGGAGACTCTAGGAACCACAAGTTACCCTGCATTCTGGGAGCGCAGTGCTCTGGTGGGGTAGTAAGGTACCTTAGGGAGGATTGGTCCGAGCACAGATCCTTATGGAACTCCATGACTAACTTTGGCGTGCATGGAGGACTCATCATTAACATGTACAAACTGAAATCGATCTGATAAATAGGACTTAATCCAGCTTAGAGCGGTTCCTTTAATGCCAATGAAGTGTTCCAGTCTCTCCAATAGGATCTGATGGTCAATGGTATCAAATGCACTAAGCACTAAGATCTAATAAAACCAGTACAGAGACAAGACCTTTGTCTGATAGAATTAGGAGGTCTTTAGTAATTTTCAATTTGGGGCGGCTGTGGCTGGCGGTTCAATTCCCAGCTCCTCCAGGCTGCATGTCGAAGTATCCTTGGGCAAGATACTGAATCCTGAATTGCCTCTGGTTTTGCTGTTCCACCAGTGTGTGAATGTTAGTTTCTGTTTGAGCACTTAGGCTCAGTGTATGAGTGTGTGTGAATGGTGAATGCAGATGTAGTGTAAAAGCGCTTTGAGTGGTCGAAAAGACTAGAAAGGCGCTATACAACTATGGAGCATTTACATTCACCAGTGCTGCCTCTGTGCAATGATGAACTGTAAATCCTGACTGAAAATCCTCAAATAAACTATTGCTCTGTAGAAAGCCACACAGCTGTTTAGCAACTGCTTTCTCCAGAACCTTAAAGAGAAATGGAAGGTTAGATATAGGTCTATAGTTGGCTAAAACATCCGGATCAAGTTTGGGCTTTTTCAGAAGAGGTTTAATTACAGCTACTTTAAAGTACTGTGGTACATAGCCTGTTGATAAAGATAGATTGATCATATCTAGTATAGAGGTGCTGACTAAGGGTAAAACATCTTTAAGCAACCTAGTCGGGATGGAGTCTAAGAGGCAGGTTGATGGTTTAGATGAAGAAATTATTGTTAGTTGGTAAAGATTGAGGGAAGCAAAACAGTCTAAACATGCATCTGGTTCTACAGCTGTTTCTAAGGTTCCTGAGTTAAGAGATAAGTTGGTGCCAGTTGAGGGCAGGTCTTGGTGAATTTTGTCTCTAATAGCTAGAATTTTATCATTAAAGAAGCTCATGAAGTTGTAACTACTGAGAGCTATGGGAATACTTGGCTCAATAGAGCTGTGACTCTCTGTCAGCCTGGCTACAGTGCTGAAAAGAAACCTGGGGTTGTTCCTATTTTCCTCTATTAATGACGAGTAGTACACTGCTCTGGCATTACGGAGGGCCTTCCTATAAGTTTTAAGACTATCTTGCCAAAGTAAACGAGAATTTTCCAGTTTGGTGGAACGCCAATTCCTCTCAAGTTTCCGCGACATTTGCTTTAATTTGCGAGTTTCAGTATTATACCATTTTATTGCTTATTTTATTACGTTTTTAGAGGGGCTACAGAGGTGAGTGTCATTCGCAGCGAGCCTGCAGCACTATCAACAAGATGATCGATTTGGGAGGGACTGAAACTAGCATAGGAGTCCTCCATTACTGTGTGACTTGATAATGAATTTAGAGCTGATGGAATCACATCCTTAAATTTAGCTACAGCACTATCAGACAGACATCAAATTTTTGCCCAATGGCGTGTAGTTCAGCAATACAAACTCAAAAGTTATCAAACAGTGGTCAGATAAAGAGGGATTCTGTGGGAACACTATTAAATGTTCAATTTCAAACAAAACACCAAAACAAGGTCGAGGGTGTGGTTAAAACAGCAAGCATGGAACCCTCCATGCAGGCTTCTGAGTTTCACCTGTGGCTTCCCCCTTGATCAGAGTCCGTGTTGAAGGTGAAGTCTGACGCTGTCTGACAGCTGTGCTTCACAGCAGTGCCCTCTGTTGAGCATCAAAGTAAAGTGAAAAGGCCACCATTAAGTTTCACATACACACTTTTTCGAGTAATCTTTTTAAACATTACAGTTGAATTACAGTTTGTGTCCTGCTATGAGGACAACAGCAGGCCACAAAGTTTATATTATAGCCTACTAGAGTATATTTTATTTTAACATGGAAAACAGACTGAGACCTGGATCTCTTTTTAGGCTGTGCCCTGTGTACACGTTATGATGCACAGTAGAGAATCTATAAAATGAATTAAAACATTCAAAACCAAGAAGTACAGTTCAATTGCATGACAACATATTGATTTTCAATAACATTTGTAAACTGGGTGAGTGACACCAGAGTGCATTACTTGAGTTTGGTGATAGCAGTCCTACAAGTCTGTGGAGACTTCTGTCGTCTCTAACGTAATCCATGTCTGTGATTAGGTATTTTGTTAGTCTTTGAATATAAACAAGACAGCATTTTGCTCACGCCTCATGTAGATATAGAATACAGTGATGCGTTCTGCAACTATCACAGTGATAAACGTAATTGGCTTTAATGTGGAAGCTGAAGCATGCATATAGATCAATTCACCAGTCTAAGATCGACAAAAAGCTAGTAAGTACATGTGTTTCTAATTGACAGTCAAAAAAACATAACCATAGTTTTCTTAGCATGTTAAGACATGTGGTTAAAAGAACACTATTAGTATTGCACAAACTTGATGCTGGTAGAAATGGTGGAGTCTCTGTACTCTTTGTATTATTAAGTGTAGACCTCGCCTGCATAACAAAATGCAATGAGATAACTTCTGTTAAGAGTCAGTGCTATGCAAATAAAATGTCATTGAATAGCGTATGAATTTGTAACTGCTGACTAAGAATTTTGCCAGGCAAGGGAGCCTAGAGTTAGGTTGATAATCCAGGTCACAATCATCACCTCCCTTATGCAATGACAGACTGTTAGCTGCAGTATTTAGCTGAAGATACCTCATACGTGGAACTGTCAGGCTTCCGCAACTGAACAAAAGCTACAAATACAAAGCTGTACAAATTGACATTTTATTAAGTTTTCACACTGTGTACAATGTCCGTTGTCTGAGTGGAGTGCATCTTAACCTGGAAGAAACAAAAAAACAAACACATATATACACACACACACACACATATATTGAATTCACTGTACATGTCAGAACACTCACGAGCGCCTACTTTGTTCAAGTTCAGTCAACAAATGTAGGTTCAGTTTTCCATTTCCCATATTTTTACTGTCCGCTCTGTGTCCGTCTGTATACAACACAAGGTGGTCTCATGTTCCACCAGACGTCTGGTTAAACATGTACCTTCCACACATCATGAGAAGACTAATCAGCCTAGCTTAACACATAGACAAGAGGCAAGGGCAAACAGCTAGCCTAGCTCCATCGACAGTGAAAAACAGACCTTCCCACGACTCCAAAGGATTCTTTTATTTACATGTATCAGAAAACAATGTGATTTTAGTTTCCTTTGGGTTCCGTTGTTGTGTTAGTCCATGCGCTGGATGAGCTTCTCCTCCATCATACAGTAGAGGGCGGTGTGGGACAGGTCAGAGATGAAGGTGTCACAGGCTCGTCTGCTGATGCCCTTACAGCCTCGGAGGTCCAACAGAGTCAGAGAGGAGAGACGCTTCAGGCAGGACAGACAGCCATCTGTCAGCTCACTACAACCTGGACAGACAAAGACAGTAACTGCTCTCATTCACTTCGTCAGGGTAACGTGCTCTGCAGTTTTTGGTTTACGAGCTAAGAGAAGAATCACTCTCTACAGTTACACTCTAACTGTACAATGGCAAAACATCACTTCACATCAATTTCAGGAGCTGCATTCTCCAATTCATCTTTCATTCCTATCAGACCGTCACATCCCATTTCATAGACTGCAACATTTCACTGGCATTAAAGGAACTGTGTTAACATGTTAACGATGAATCCTCCATGCATGCCAAAGTTAGTCATAGAGTTCCACAAGGATCTGTACTTCACTGACCTGTTCACTTTATATATGCTTCCTTTAGGCAATATTATCAGGAAATATTCCATAAGCTTTCATTGTTATGCAGATGATACTCAGTTATATCTATTGATCAAGCCAGATGAAACTCATCAGTTAGCTAAACTTCAAATGTGCCTTCAGGATGTTAAAACCTGGATGAACTGTAATTTTCTAATGTTAAACTCAGATAAAACTGAAGTTATTGTTCTGGGGCCCAGGCACCTCCGTGACGCATTATCTAAAGATATAGTTTCCCTTGATGGGATCGCCCTGGCCTCCAGCACCACTGTGAGGAATCTTGGAGTTATCTTTGATCAGGACATGTCGTTTAAGTCTCACATTAAGCAAATTTCAAGGACCGCCTGTGGAACCAGGAGAGGAGCCAGAGAGTTCCAGTTTGGGTTCAGGAGGCAGACACCGTCTCTACATTTAAGAGCAGGCAAGATGTAAGATGTAAATGCTCCGTACTACTTTCTTTTCGACCACTCAAAGCGCTTTTACACTACATCTGCATTGACCATTCACTCACATTCACACACTGAGCCTAAGTGCTCAAACAGAAACTAACATTCACACACCACATTCATTGCAATTCGGGGTTCAGTATCTTGCCCAAGGACACTTTGACATGCAGCCTGTTGGAGCTGGGATTGAACCGCCGCCCTTCCAATTAATGGGCAACCCGCTCTACCTCCTGAGCCACAGCCGCCCCATTAAGACTTTCCTCTTTGATAAAGCTTATAGTTATGGCTGGCTCATGTGAGTCCTGAACCATCCCTTAAGCTTGATTTAAACTCCTGTGTAGGGTCTACATGCATAGCGATGCATTTATACTTGTGCGTTGGTGTTTCCGTCATTCTACAAAGACACCTCCAAACGCTAGTCGGCGGTAGTGCTACAGCGTCCACTGTGTTGACTTTTGCTTTTTTCTGTGTTGAATTTCCGGTTTAGCGCTCTGCTAACGTAAATGGTGGGTAAAATTGTATCTGTGCGGCTGTTATAGCCTTTTCAAATGTTATCAACCAAATAGATCACATTCAGATAGTGAAACGAGTCATTTTGCTTGGGTTGTGACAGTCAAATATATTGATCCACCGTGTTACAGCCGCTGGTTTGGCCGCTAGTAAAAGTTACTTTAATGCACGGGGCACTTCCTGTCGGCTTGGCAGCATTGCAAGGCTACCTAGCAGACCAATCACAGTTCTTACGGTCCACGCTGACTCCACGTGTAGGTACGTTTTTGAGGAGGTGCATGTCAGGCTACGTTGTAGGCAACAGCGTAGGGTAGGGGGCTACACAGAGGCTACGCCATTGATTTGACGCAGAAGTATAAATTGCACTTTAGTTATACTGCTATAGGCCTAGACTGCTGGGGGACTTCCCATGATGCACTGAGTTTCTCTCTCCTCCTCTCTCCTCCTCTCTCTCTCCCTCTGTATGCATTCTTATCCCATCCCACCCTTTAAGGACTTTTTTTTTTTGTTTGTTTTTTTTAAATCGGGACCTTCAGTATGTGTATCAAGTAGCTCACGAAAAATATGGTGGTCCAAAGTCAGCAGGTTCTATTTCAAAGTGCTAGATCTCGTCTGCTGCTGTGTAAATACCAGTGAGGGAGCAGACTCGGGATGGAAGAAAGGCTGTGTGCTTAAACACCCACCTGCCAGCGTGAGTTCAGTGAGGTTGTTGCGGGTGGGAGTTCCGGCTGCTGCCAACAGGGCGATGGACGAGTCAGTTATGTCCTTACAGTGAGCCAGGTCCAGCCTCTCCAGCTGGGGCATGTGGCGCTGCAGCAACCTCAGAGTGGACTCACTAACGTCCAGACCAGACAGACGCAGCGTCACCATGTTCCTCAGTCTGCTGCGAGACAACTCTGCCACATAAACAGGATTATTAATACAGCACTTCTCTGGAAACATGACTATAGCAGTTCTTACACTTTTTTTTTTTCCCCCTCTCCATCAAGGACCACTAAAGTGACACAAATTAGACCCTTTACACCTTTTAACATGACTTTGTCCCAGGGTCACCCCTCATTTTTGCTTTTAGAGGTTTATTACAGAAAGTGTGACCAAAAGAGTCATACACTCTGACTATGTGTTACTTATGGACTGAATTAGAGTGAAAATAAATTAGCAGTAGTAGTGATTGTTTTATAAAAAGGCATGTGTTTCACCCACAGACTTCACTCAGTAAAAAACTTTCAGGGCTCCAGACTAACTTTTTAACCAGGAGCACTGTGGCCCCTAACTGACAATTTTAGGAACACAGGCAGAAAATTTAGGGCTGCACGCCTTAAATCGACCTGCAACGCAGTTGTTCACATTTTCCCCATTTGAACTGTATTACTGATAAATGCTTTCGTAATTAATAGAGAAACTACAATGTGCTGTTCCATTTTAGTTCGGTCACATTTTAATTGAATGGTGCTTAAACAAATGAAAATACTGGAAGTAGTGATGCTGTTTCATTTCTGTAGCGACAAATTTCATGTTTGAAGCTGCTGTTGTGCTTCATTAAGGTGTCATGTTGAAACTGTGGACACATACACACACACACGCTGAACACAGCCTACAATAGACCTACCAAAAAGCACTCCTATAGCCTACAAAAACAATGAATTATGTTCACTCACTGGTGTCCATAAAATAAACACATCTATCTTTCATCATTTTTAGAAGATATATTTTAATGTTTTCTAAAGCCTATAAAGTAAATACGGCAGCGGCAAAGATTCAGCAGCCGTTGCCAGGGTTACCACCCACAGAGCGGTCTGTTCACAAGCGCGGCGCAGAGAGACTCGGCGGATCTAAGCGAGTACACAGGTGGAGTGCTCCCCTTCTGTAAAAAAGTCTGTTGTTTAAAACAAAAACACGGGGTCAGGAGCATTTTTAAACTTCTCCGTTTTAGTCTGGACAGGAGGTGCAAACGTGGCAGAAGGTCTCTGTTTTAAAACAAAAACGCAGCAGTGTGGACAGGGCCTGAGAGACACACACACACACACACGGCCAGCTGTGTGGAAGTTCTTAACACCTACTTATTAACGGTTAATGATTAATTTGGTTGCAGTCTGAAGCCCTGACGTTACAAGTCGCAGACACGGTGGATACAAGCACAGACCAGGTAAAGCAGCCGTGAACACACTGGGTGCAGTTGCTGGTTTGGTTGTTTGACTACGTCATTAATAGGCCGACATGCGGCTCTCCTGCTGCAGTGATAACAGATCGCAGGTGGAAAACTCCACAAAAAAGATTCTGTGTCTTTTGGGCGAGTCTGTAAAACATACTGCTGATGGAGAAAGTAAGAGGAGCAGAGAGAGAGGCAGGCCAAGCTGCTGGGTTTGCAGTCAGTGACCAGATGCTGTTTGAGACAGACTGAACAGAAGCTTGGACGGTAAAAGAATGACATCGGTACAGCCCCACAAGACTGCAGTACTGGACAGGCGTCATCACACCCTTCATGAAGTCATCTGTGATGCTACTGACCAGGGGGGGGTGATGATCTCTTTAATCTGGGCGTCTTTAAGGCCTTCACACCAGCGCAGGTCCAGCAGCCGCAGGTAGGGCAGAACGGGAGAGACCAGCGCAGACAGACAGGACCAGGATAGACCAGCCACCCTCAACTCCCTCAGACCTGGACACATAGAGAAGGACACATAGAGAAGGACGGGGGTGGGGGGTGGGATGTAATGACACCTGCAGGACAGGGCTATCTGTGTGTGTTTTCTGATACATACAGTGAGACAAAAAATGCTGCTGTCAAAATCCAGCACACATTCCGATGTAAACGAGGTGACAATCAATGCAAACTTAAAAAAAATAAATACATAAATTAATAATAAAACCAAACATCAAGGGCAGGGGTGACTCTCTGCTCTGGTGACAGACAGGACTTGGCTTTGCCATTTCTAATGGAAGAATCCCCATGACACATCAACCTGCCACAATGACAGGGCAACAAAATCCTTGGTGCAGTTGTCTCCCCAGGTCCTTGAGCAAAATCTGTTTGAGAAATCGTGATGGGCGGTAGTGAAATATTCTCACTTTTGTCTCAGAGGCCAAGGTGACGCATTCAAATTGCTCATTATATCTCACCAACAGTCCAAAATATGCTTTTTAATTTACCATCAGATATGTAAATGCTCCGTATACAGTGAGGAAAATAAGTATTTGAACAGCCTGCTATTTCGCAAGTTCTCCCACTTAGAAATCATGGAGGGGTCTGAAATTGTCATCGTAGGTGCATGTCCACTGTGAGAGACATAATCTAAAAAAAAAGAAAAACCAGAAATCACAATGTATGATTTTTTAACTATTTATTTGTATGACACAGCTGCAAATAAGTATTTGAACACCTGTCTATCAGCTAGAATTCTGACTCTCAAAGACCTGTTAGTCTGCCTTCAAAATGTCCACCTCCACTCCATTTATTATCCTAAATTAGATGCACCTGTTTGAGGTCGTTAGCTGCATAAAGACACCTGTCCACCCCATACAATCAGTAAGAATCCAACTACTAACATGGCCAAGACCAAAGAGCTGTCCAAAGACACTAGAGACAAAATTGTACACCTCCACAAGGCTGGAAAGGGCTACGGGGAAATTGCCAAGCAGCTTGGTGAAAAAAGCTCCACTGTTGGAGCAATCATTAGAAAATGGAAGAAGCTAAACATGACTGTCAGTCTCCCTCGGACTGGGGCTCCATGCAAGATCTCACCTCGTGGGGTCTCAATGATCCTAAGAAAGGTGAGAAATCAGCCCAGAACTACACGGGAGGAGCTGGTCAATGACCTGAAAAGAGCTGGGACCACCGTTTCCAAGGTTACTGTTGGTAATACACTAAGACGTCATGGTTTGAAATCACGCATGGCACGGAAGGTTCCCCTGCTTAAACCAGCACATGTCAAGGCCCGTCTTAAGTTTGCCAATGACCATTTGGATGATCCAGAGGAGTCATGGGAGAAAGTCATGTGGTCAGATGAGACCAAAATGGAACTTTTTGGTCATAATTCCACTAACCGTGTTTGGAGGAAGAAGAATGATGAGTACCATCCCAAGAACACCATCCCTACTGTGAAGCATGGGGGTGGTAGCATCATGCTTTGGGGGTGTTTTTCTGCACATGGGACAGGGCGACTGCACTGTATTAAGGAGAGGATGACAGGGGCCATGTATTGCGAGATTTTGGGGAACAACCTCCTTCCCTCAGTTAGAGCATTGAAGATGGGTCGAGGCCGGGTCTTCCAACATGACAATGACCCGAAGCACACAGCCAGGATAACCAAAGAGTGGCTCTGTAAGAAGCATATCAAGGTTCTGGCGTGGCCTAGCCAGTCTCCAGACCTAAACCCAATAGAGAATCTTTGGAGGGAGCTCAAACACCGTGTTTCTAAGCAACAGCCCAGAAACCTGACTGATCTAGAGAAGATCTGTGTGGAGGAGTGGGCCAAAATCCCTCCTACAGTGTGTGCAAACCTGGTGAAAAACTACAGGAAACGTTTGACCTCTGTAATTGCAAACAAAGGCTACTGTACCAAATATTAACATTGATTTTCTCAGGTGTTCAAATACTTATTTGCAGCTGTATCCTACAAATAAATAAACAAATCATATTGTGATTTCTGGATTTTTTTTTTTTTTTTTTTTACATTATGTCTCTCACAGTGGACATGCACCTATGATGACAATTTCAGACCCCTCCATGATTTCTAAGTGGGAGAACTTGCAAAATAGCAGGGTGTTCAAATACTTATTTTCCTCACTGTATCAATTTGGTTTTAATACTCATTCTCCACAGTGTCCTGACAGCAAGCTGACACACACGCTGCTGCACATAGCCCCGCCTCCTGTCACTCAGTGTGCAACGACTTGTCTCGATCGCTCCGGTTGAATCGCATTCATTTTTTCCTGCCAGTTTTGACAAGTCGCACCCTACTGTGCTGTGATTAGCTAGTACTCAGCACTTGTGATTGGATGCTGGCAAATGCAATAAGCAAGCCCACATGCAAGATGGTACAGAATAGTGGAGCCAGACCTGATGCTGTTCTGCTTAAAACACAGTACTATTAACTTTACTGACTAAGATAGTTGAGAAGATAATTTAGAAAGTACCTTCAGTCCTTTAATCCATGTTGTGTCAGTTTTCCCCCTGGTATCAAAAACTGATATTTTCCAAGGTACTGAATCAAAGTACAGATTATACTAAAAAGGTGCAGCTCCCCGACACCCAGAGAGTCAGCACCGTTTTATTATTTCATTGTTTGTTAAGAAGGCACAAATGAGCTGCAGGCCCGGCTGGTTCGAACGGATGGCACCCTATACAGTCTGTCTGATGGCAACAGCTCATACTGGCCAAACAGGGGATGTGATACATCTCTAATACTCGCCTGCCCCTTGTGAGTGTGTTAGTACCTGGGAGCCTGGTGAGCAGACAGTTGAGCTGTCTCTTGGCCAGGGGGGTCCAGGACAGGTCCAGAGAGGTGGGCTGGCGTTTGATGATGCCTGCCAGGGCCTGGTTTGTGAGCGGGCTGCAGCGACTCACATCCACGTGGCTCCACAGACGCTTGTCACAGCTCCTGTACAGGACATAGAGGCACAGCTCTTTACTCACAAGCTGTGTGACTCTGCTTCTCTGTGTTGGTAGAAGAGCAGTGTGACGTACCACTTGTACCAGGCCTTACAGACGCTCATGCAGGCCAGAAGTTCGGCTCTGTTCAAGTATCTGAACACAGACACCCACACCTCCTTCTCCCCTCCTCTCTCGTTGCCCACGTCTTTAAAGGACGGCAGAGACAACAGAGACGGAGGGGACAGGGAGGAGGGTGCAGCAGCAGCTTCCTCTTCCTCTGAAGAAGATGCAGAGCGATCTCTAGTGCCTCTGTCGCCATGGTTACCCTGCAGACGTGGCCTACAAGATCAAAGATATAAAATGTTTGGGTTAACGGCGTCACATTCACAGAAGAACAGCGAGGGGATGAGGTTCCTCTGCAGCAGCAGTTACGGAACGTGGTCTTATAAAAGGCATGTGCGTAAACTTCACTCGTTCCAAGTCGTGGACACACGGTGCATTTTTTAATTCATTTTGTTAGAATACTCACATTCATATTCAATACACAATAGCTTTTTGGGGTGTTTGTACTCAAAAAAACAAAAATACTAAATAATTGTGCAGTATGAGTTGTTACAAGTAGTTACACCTCGGCTAGATAAGGTAATGTAATATAAGCCACTGTAAATGCCAATTGCTTCAGTGATTATTCATCCTGTTCTTTTTTTGCATCTAAAGGCTGCTTGATAGTATTAGCTTTAAAGCACGGATAGGGAGTTGGGCTCCAGTTTGTTGTTTCCTCGTCCTAGTGATCAGCGCATGTGGGTGATGTAGGTTTAATGTGGGTCAGCATTTCGGATGTTTCCATTCACATAACGTTGGCCTACGCTGACAAACCGCCACGGTCCTGGTCTGATACACACCTGTCTCTCTGTTGCTGTTGTACCATTCACTGAGCAGGAACCTGCAGGCGGGTCTTCCAGCTCCGCTGTTTCATTAGCGCTCGGCAGTGTGACTGACTCTCACACCAATCCACTAGTTGTGCTAACCTCAGCGCCACTGCCCTCAGACTCGTCCGCCAACTTGTTTGCATCTCTGGCCTTCTGAACTTCAGACACTTTGCCATTCTGAGGTTAGCTTGTTAGTAGCACGTCACAGACGTTTTGTTTCCTAACAACTGACTGATTCACGCTAGAGCTCGTGCACCGCGAACCCTCCACAGTCAAGAGCGTAAAGCTAAACACTGACGTAAACAGTAACGTTACCTGTACTGCCGTATAACATCCAAGTTGCACCAAACGGAGTACATTTTAAAGTCACACACACAAAAAGTGTTTATTTATGACGTTACAGCATTTATTTAATGCTATGAAAAAATTGAAGACCTTCGTAAATGAAATTTAACATTTTTAAGGCCTTCTTTTTAGAATATCAAATATACCCTGATTGCACTGACCTGCCAGGTCCTCTTGGGGCTGCACTGTCAGCCGTGGCCTCGGCGCTCCTGAGTCGTGAAGGTTTGGACAGAGCTGTCTTTCTGTGGATGAAGCCCTGCGGACCACCAGAACCCCCTGCAGTGGTCCTCGGAGCCATGGCTGCTTCCAGCTTTGGAACGATGGAACCTGAGCAGAGACAGTGGCGTTACGGAACATGAATACAGACTCAGAGGGAAGCTGACTGCACTGTAGAGCATCTACCTGGGTGCCTCTTGGTCTTGTGGGGGCGCTGTAGAGTGACGGTCAGGTAGGAGCCGCTCAGCAGGTCATCATTCAGATCAGACACCAGGAGGACCGGGGGTTCTGGGTCTGAATCCCAGCGCCCTTCATCTTCCTCTTCCTCCTCCTCCTCTTCCAGCGTGTCCATTTCCTCCTCTTCAGGGTCAAACTCCTGACCCTCACTGTCCTCATCTTCATCATCGTCGTCGTCGTCATCATCATCAGTCCTACGCCTCCTTCTACGTCGATGATGTCTTTCTTTGTCTCCGTCTTCACTGTCCTCCTCCTCCTCCTCCTCCTCCTCCTCTTCCTCCTCGTCGTCGTCGTCGTCGTCCGACTCCTCGGATTCGTCGCCTCTTCGCTGCATTCTGGAGCCCCCCCGCAGCCTCACCCCCCGTCCCCTCCGTGCGGCCTCCCTCATGCCCATCCCTCGCTTTAGCTTGAGGACGGAGGAAGAGCCGGGAGTCACAAGCCCTCCTCTGTTTCCTCTGTGGGCGGAACCTCCTCTCGGCAGGCCTCTCGCGTTGGCACCAAACCCCCTCCTGGAAGAGCGGCTCCCTCCTCGGGCATGGAGTGCCATCTTTCTCCTCTGAGAGGCTGCATGGACAGGCAGACGATCAGCTTAGAATAAAGTTTTTTCTTTATTGAGAAACATTCCTTGAATGTTTTTGTGATGAATCAGGAAGTGAAAAAGTGGATCTTTAACACGGACGAACCTTCATCATCGTCATCACTGGCGGAGTCGTCTCCATCGCGGCTGTGTCTCTGTCGTCGGTAGATCTTAGCCATACGAGCGTCGAGCAGAGAGGAAGATTTCCGCTTCTGGACAAGAAGGGAAAGAAGGAAAAGGAGGAAAGAATAATAATGAACATATGAGTGGAGGCACCGCATGAAAAATACAGAAATAAAAAGGTAGGGCTGGACGATATGAGCAAAAATGTTCTCACAATAAAAAGATTCATATCTTTCGATACTGATGAAAATCACGCTAAGTATCAAATCTTTCGAGTTTAAGGGCTGATTTTTGCTCCTGAGTGAAAGCCGAAGAAACCTGATGGTTGATTCTAGTTTAAACTCTTCTTTATGGTAAAAAAAAATCTAACATTTATTGAATGTTTATTAAACATTTGTTATATTGTTATTGAAAAAAAATTATCTCACGATAATTAGTTATTGTTTTATTGTCCAGCCCTAGATGAAGGTTAGAGAGAGCACTCACCACTGCAAGGCCTTCCCCTCGGTCTCCTTTACACTGCTGGAGGAAGAGCAGACTTGTCATTACAGCATTAATAAAACACCTGAAGGCTGACAACATTTTGTGGACAGAAGCTGCCATTATGTTGTGCTGATGTTCAATAGTAGCCAATTCTGATCATTTCCAAAGCTTCAATCAATCCGTGTTCTCTTTTCTCTGCTGCTGAATGGAGAGGCCTCTGTCAACTGGCCATGGCCAATGCCTGGGACCAGCTGGACTCACTATATCACCTTTACCTAGATGTTCCGTCAACATCACACTCATTCCGATTGGCCTCAGAATCATGGTTCCAAGCAGCCACATATTGAAGCACTTCTGAAGCTAACTGACATGGTAAACATAGAACAGAATGAGGTGAACATTCCTGTCATTTCTGTGATGACACAAGTCTGGCAGTGATGAGTGTGAAACAAGCGTTTGGTACAATATTACTGAGGTCACGGTTGTATTTTTGGGACTTTTTGCTTGTTTGTATTTCGGAAGGAAGCCTCTAATATCCCTATGTGAATATTTAGTAGGGACTGTTAAACCCAAGGAGCCCTTTCCTCCACTTTGCCTTAAGAACAGCAGGCCATCAGAATGATTAGCACAATGACAACACCAGCCACACAGAGTCACTTAGAAACCCACTGAACAAGCTGAATGCTATCAGCATATCTAACATCCTTTCTGAGACTGCTGTGTTCAGTAGTGCACTGACAACATGGCTGCACAATGCAAGGAAAATCTGCCATAACACTGGGCAGTACGGAGGTGATATGACTGGCAAAAAGTAAATATTGTTTTCATTTACTTGTTTGTAATAACTGACTATTAAGCTGAGCTAGCGCCGTGCTTGTGTGAAACACAGCAGCAGATTAAAATATTGCTTTCTAAATGTTGATGCTTATTTATCAAATGTATTGATGAAGTACTGGCTTTTTACGCGCAAAAGGAAGAGAGAAAAGAGCGAGGGGTGCAGAGAAGCAACAGAAAGCGTCTTTCTTATTCATCGTGTTTCAGGGAATCTTTAGCGATGTCTTTCAGGCATGTTCATATCAGAATGACAATGAAAATACAATTCATCAGTCTCCACAGATAGTACTGATAACATTTATCTTATATAAAGCCAACAAACTGACTGCAACAGTCTGCTCAAAGCATTACAGCATTAAGCGTGTCCACAGTCACATGACCTCTGTCAGTTTTTTCAGCAAATCTGAGTGCACCCCAAATCTGGAGAAAAGGCCGGTTTTGTCAAACAGTTAATGTCTCATCTTGTTTCAACCAGGCTACACACTAAGACGAGCCATGAGAAAAATCAGGAGAAAGCAGCACAGAAACCAAAGGTAGCCAGAGGCAGCACCAAACTGAAACCCAGCTGAGAGGAGAGGCACGACTCCTGTGTTCACTACAGCAGCAGTGTTTCCATAGTGACATCTACACCAAGAGCTGTGTCTGTCCTCTTGAAAAAGATGAAGGAGAAAAGGGGTGGGGTGCACGCGACAGACGGGTGATGTATGCAGAGTAGGCGGCACCTCTCACCAGTCTCGAGCTGATTGGCTGAGAAGGCAGAGGGGCCGCCACCAATAGAAGTGACGCTGAGGAGGAGGAAGAGCAGGAAGGAAGAAGAGGAGGAGGAGGGAAGAAACCACAGCGGACCACCTCCCCATCCTGCTGGGAGCCCACAGGACCCCCTATGGTAGCAGAGGGGCCGGGGCCCAGCCTGAGGACCAGGGGGCCGTGGGGACGGATGTGCTGCTGGTGGCCGGCAGCCAACGATTCATCGCTGCCTGATGACTGACGGAGGTAAATTAAAATAAAGCAACCAAAACAAAACAATAAGTAAACAAATTATGAAAAACAAAAACAGACAGGAGACACATACCCATTAGCTTTGACACACTGCAACCAAGTGTGTGTGAACGCCAAGTTAATAGAGTGCAGGAAACCCCCAACACACACTGTGTGTGTGTGTGTGTGTGTGTGTGTGTGTGTGTGTGTGTGTGTGTGTGTGTGTGTGTGTGTGTGTGCGCGCATAAGAAGTTATGTACCTCTGGGTCAGTGATCCCTTGGACACACTTTGGACATTCCCAACAGCTGGGCAGGTCTTTATTCACTACTCCTTCACCCTGAACCTGTTAGAAAATGGATGGATGAAATAGAGGAAAAAGGAAAGGACAAATAAACAAGGCTAAAACTTTGTTTGTACCTTACTTTATCCATGTAATGACATGTATGATCACTAAGCAATACACTTGTTTAGTACTGCACTGTAATAACAGCAGGACGGTCCAGTGTGGAGCAGTACAGAGAAATGTTACACTCAGAAATCGGCCTGAAATGATTCCTCGAGTTACTAGGGAACTAAAAATCTAAAAACTTTGTTTAATCCACAGTACTATATACACAGCACACTGTCTTTCGCACAGATAAGTTTAACAACGTGCTCACGCTCTGTGTGTCAAGTGGGAAGCTTCCGGTCAGCGGACTGATGCGAACGCGGAAGTCCCTGTTGGGACCAGGACAGTCTAGCAGAACAAAGGCTGGGCCTCCTGGCAGCCTAATGGCCTGTCCTCAGCCTGTTGAATCTCCAAAGCCAGAGTAAGAGTTAGTTTCGCTTGTAATCCTGCAGGTCGCCCTGGTAACGCCCCAGGGATTTTAAGAGATTTCAGCCGTCTGATAAAGGATATTTAGCGATCACTTTCACAGGCCGAGCCTGTGCTAGTGAACGCTCCGGGCACTAGCGGGTCTCGTCTCGACACTATTACACAGCCTGAATTTCTGCTTGTGATACTGCTGTGTTTTATTTTCACGTGTGTACACAATTGCTAGGCTCTGCCCAAAGCAAAGCTAGCATCCGCCCATTGAGGATAACTCACTATGTATGCTATGTGGCAGGATGTAGATACGTTTTAATTCACCATGATAATTAAACCCACAGACGTTATCTGGTAGGATCTCACTGTTTTCCCTGCTTTCCTAGAACTAATCATTGCATACACTCACTCGCCAAGTGTCCGGCATGCCGCCATTTTTGTAGTTTTGCATAGAGAACGGCTGCCATTTTGGGCCTGGTGTTGGGCACCCCGTGGGCATCCTTAGCAGAAGCCCGAACCTCCTCAACTGGCTACGTTCAACGCAAAGGAGCAGCGGCTCACAGATGACTTGGCTTCTCACCCCATCTCTAAGGGAGACGCCAGCCACCCTCTTGAGAAAAGCCATTTCAGCTGCTTGTACCCATAATCTCTTTCTTTCGGTCATGACCCAGCCTTCATGGCCATAGGTGAGGGTAGGAACAAAAAGTCACCATCAGATGGAGAGCTTTGCCTTTAGGCCCTTTTCAACACAACAGTGGGGTACAGTGAATGCAATACCGCCCCCGCTGCTCCGATTCTCCGGCCAACCTCCCGCTCCATTGTCCCCTCACTCATGAACAAGACCCCAAGGTACAAGATCCCCAGCCCACCGAACCACAACGCCCATGCACCCCAACTACGCTTCAATATTCTGGCCATGAATATCACAAACAGGATTAGTGACAAAGCACAGCCCTGCCAGAGGCCAACCCCTACTTGAAAGATTAGATGAGCATACTCCCAAGACCCCCCCCCCCGATCCTTGCGAGAGTGAAGAGCTGGTCTGTTGCTCCATGACCAGGACGGACTCCACATTGTTCCTCTTCAATCCAAGGTTCAACTATAGACCCTCCTATCCAGAACTTTAGAGTAGACTATATTATTTTTCTAAAAGGTAACCCATTTTAAGAGAACTGTCTAATTTTTGCTTTTGCATATTTACTATTGCTCTTTAATAAAGTCAAGAGGCAAATAAAATAGGCGTAAATATAGTTCACTGTGTAGTAAACGGGGACTTATTTCAGACACATCCCGAGTGAGAGAGTGAGTGAGTGAGTGAGTGAGTTACCGTGAGGCAGGCAGGATGGACTATCTGTGCACAGTTGGAACATTCCATCAGGGTGAGGGAGGGGTCTCCAGTTTCCTCTTGATTGGGCTCCTTGCAGATCTCACACACTGCAGACAAAGGAAGGCCCGGCTGTGGGGTGGGGTTGGGGGGGGAGTTACAGAACAAACATATCCAACATACAATACACACTGTAAATAAGGAGTTACTTACAGAGAGACACTGTCGTAGCACACAGGTCTGCTTGAGCTTCCCTGGTCCTCCGAACTTCTTCATGTCTCTGCAGAAGTTACAGTCTCCACACTCTGGTCTCATACAGGCTTCACAGCGTTTACACCTGCATAGAAAGAAGACACGACAGCAAATGGATGATCACCATAGACAGCTGAAGCATACACCCGCATCATGACATGAATTAGTCAAGGCTTAAAATAGGGCTGGGCAATATGGTCAAAAAAGTTCACAATAAATAAATTTCATATCATTCGATATCAATAATTATCAGGTTAACTGTCGTATTTCTTTGAAGTTTAAAGGCTGACTTTTGCTCCAGAGTGAAAGTTGAAGAAACCAGATCGTTCATTGTGGTTTTAAACTTTTTATTGTGGTCAGAACAAACACTTGATGCCAAACTTAACAAATCTGAGGCAGAACATTCTAAACTATTATGATAAAAATCTTTTTTCAACAGATATGCATTAGTAAAACCTTTTTTTTTTTTACTCCCTTTTCCTCAACAAAACAAATATCTTAATAGAAAAATGAAGTGCTGATTCGTCCATGATTGAAATGAATTAAATCTTTATTATTTATTGAACATGTTATATTGTTATTGAGGAAAGTTATTTAGCGATAATTATTATTATTGTTTTATCGCCCAGCCTTAGCTTAAAATGGTATAAAGTTGGTGTTTGTTCCAAACAACTGGTATTTGCTGAGCTAAGGTCTAACACAACCCGAACTGACACCCAGTTAGAGACTAAAACAACAGTCAATCTTCCAAAATGGATCTCTCTCTCTCTCTCTCTCACACACACACACACACACAGTTACCTGACCCTGCGCCGTCTCAGCACAGACATGGAGGAGGCTGGTTTCTGTGGTCGTGGGATAATGGGAGTGGAGGCCAATTTAGGACGAGGAGGTGGTGGTGGTGGAGGAGGCTGGTACCACGACGGCTGGTGGAGAGGAGCAGAAACAATGGCCCAGGTAACAGGAAAAATATAATACAACAAAAGTACAACATATTTGTTTCCAACATTGGCTCCAAATAAGTAGTGTATCTGATAAATGACAGAACATGTATTTTCCATATGGCAGGGGTTTTCAAAGTGTAAGACCATCTCCCCTCAAACAACGCTTGGGAAAAGGTGCCCTCTCACTCGCCCTTAGTTTACTTGCTTTGTTTTGCTCAATTCCTGGATGCCTATGGGGTTATAATGACGTTTTTAGCCACGATAACCCAAAATACGGCTTGATAGAACTTCACACTATACCCAATACATAAAAGGTCTGTCCTAAGGCATTTATTAGTTTCTGACTGTAAGTGGCAAAACCAGTTCCCCAAAACTACTCTATTTTTGAACTCTCCCTCTAACTGAATCACAGACTTTTCTATTTGATCTCATTTTGATAACTAATGTAATATTGTTTCACCTTCATTCACTGAACCCCCCTTGGAAGGCCAGTCTCACACTGAAAACCACTACCATAGGGTATTTGCTGATAATACAGTACAGCCTGTTCCTCATGAGCACACTCATTCCTTTTACCTTCAAAAAGAAAGAAGAAAATCTTTTGTTTCTGATCCAAAAAAAAACAACATTTGACAATTGACCCTTCACTAAGCCATGCCCCGAATACACAGCTGGCCGTTTTCTAGCTTTTTTTGGCTGTATTTTTCCAAGATATGAACACTGTTCCTGGGGCACTTGTAATATTTACAGTCGCTACCCAGAGAAGTTGAAAGGAGAAGTACGATTTATTCGCTTTCCAAAACAAATCCAGAAGAATGTCGGCTGTGGATTGTTCCTAATGTAACGTTAGTTAGACAACGCTAGCTCCTACCCAGCTTTACAGGAACAGAGTTGATCCAGAGTCTTTAATTTTTTTTCACATCCATGAAGCCTGAATACAACCTTCAAATGTATAATGCAACTGCAAAACTGTCTGCTTCTTTCTGAGATCGCTTTTCCCAACAAATTTGACAATATTTCTCCAGGGAGTGCAGTAATAGACCGTGTCAATGCCAACAGTTTGTCAGACTTAGCAACAGTAACGGGCGAGGGTGGGCTTAGTGAAGGGTCAATTGTGCTACTCATGCTCTCTCTGCTTACTCTCTTTGGCCACTTGACGATGGGTTTTCCTGTGTAGGACAGTTTGGGATCGTCATTGGCATGTTCCTCCAGTAGTGCCTGCAGGACAGCAGAAACGAGAGAGGTAAGAGAGAAAGCAGGGGACAGCATTTAATAAGAACAACAAAATTTCTCTCTCTCACACTCACACACACACACACACACACCTTGATATGTGCAATGAGGGCCGGGGCGTTGTGTATCCCTGATGGCACACACTTCTTGTTGGAGGGCAGAGCCTCCAGTTTCCCTAGCAGGTTCCCCAATCCCTCCAGCTCGAGAGAAGTCAGATGAACTTGAACTGCAGGCTTATCAGACTGCTGCTCTGGAGCCTCTTTATCACTGCCACTAGCATCCTCCTCCTCCTCCTCAACCTGTTCACTGGCTGAACTGGATGGCTTCTTCAGACCTGACACAAGGAATTAGTTCCACATTCTATTTCCAACACATCTACACAAAAAATATCATCATGAAAATCATACATCTACCCTCTTTGTTTGACTGTGTTCATACCAATGCCCAGCGAGTGTTTCTGAAATTCTGGTGTAAGGTAGGAGGTCTTGGTCATGCTGAAGACATAGCGCTCTAACACGTACCAGCACATCTCATAGTAGAAGGGGTAACGAAACTTCAGTGGAACCTGCGGTGGAGGATAAAAGACCATAAAAGCAATCCTTCCTGTCTTTTGCAGCTTATAGCAGAGTGTGTTTGCACCTACCCGCGTTCTGTCTTCTATATTACAGATGTTAAGTTGCATAGGGATGTTGAAACTGTGCAGGAAGTTTCCTCCAAACACCATAGAGTCCACAGGGGTGTAGACCGCATGAATCCAACCTGAGTGTAACACATTCATATTCTATTTGTTGCGTCACTGAAGTCCTTCAGCATATTTGTGAGAGCTAAATTTATACCTGAGGGTATGATAAAGGTGCAGCCCTGCTTCAGTTCAATCCTCTGGCAGTCAGATGCTCGGTCTCCCAGGAAAACATCTCCCTGTTTACCAGACAGTACCCAGTTCTCATACAGCTCCAGATTCTGATGGGTGGGAGGGATCAGCCAGAACACCTGAATACAAAAACAAAAGTTCTACATCATATAAGAACAGCATGCATGTTTTAGTTAAAGGCCTGAATCAGAAACTATGAAGCTGTAACAGACTGTTTCCATGACAGGAGGAGGCCCCACCTTGCTTCCTCTCAGTATGTGGTACCACACTGACGTCCCTCCAAAGTCAATGTGAAAGTCTGTGTAGCAGCCCTCGACACTCATCAGACAGTACCTGCAGAGTAACGCGATCATCATCAACATTTACATTCTAATGTCGTTTATTAATTTTCAGATCAATTAATTCGACAAAATAAAGTAATTGCCCCAGCCATATCTTAGCTTTGACTTCAGAGGCACGTGAACATGAGGGACTTACTTCTGTACTTTGGGGTACTGCATGTCATTGATGGAGTTGGTTGAGTCTCTCTGTCTCTCTTTCAGGTGGCGAGGCCACATGTTGTCCACCCAGTCTATTAGATCTACCTACAAACACACACAAGCTTCAAGCTTTACGGTTTCTCTGAAGCAGCACAACCCTTTCAGTTCCACATAGTAAGCACAGAGGAACAGATTCACTGTGGCAGCTGTGTGCATAGCTTTATGTAGAAAATGTCTAACACACAACATGAGCCCTTCATGAAGTGTGTGTACGTACTGTGGCAGGCCTCCTAACCAAGTTCTCCAGCTTGGTGTGGCTAAACTCCAGGCTGATGACATTATAGAGTTTCTCTCTTTGAGATGGAGGGGTCTCGTAGTAGCGTGTCCACTGGGCCATTGACATCTCTGTTCCCTTCTGAGTGCTCACGTCCATCACATCTATCATGCGTCTGCTGCCTGAGACAGAGTTAAAGATCACAGTTCATACATCAGCACTGATCTGAGAACAGCATCAATACATAAAATAAACTTCATTTTGAATAAAAAAGGGAAGTACATTTAAAAAAAAACAAACAAAAAAAACAAACAAAAAAAAACAACATTGTTTGAGCTCCTAAATTACAAAAGGTGGACAGTTTAGTCCAATCAGTACTTTGTTACTATTCATTTTGTATTGTTAAGCACCATTATTCATAATAATGATTAGTCTCTCTGCTCTCATAAATGTCTTACTGAAGGACATCAAGCTGCCAGGACTGAAAACTGGACCCAAATTACAACAGAATCCAGAATGCCAAGAACCAGGTACCCATTCAAAAATCTGAATTTCTGCATTTCAATTCCTAAATACAATAATACTTTATTATTGCCAACAAAGGCTACATATCTGTAAGGACCCTCTATGCGATGTGTTTGGATACGAACACATGTGGCTAATATCCCAACAGTAGTTGAGGCAGTTGAAACATTTAAGGTAACCCCACAACACTTAAAAATATTAATAACATTTCACCTCCTTTCTTCTCCATATTGAAATTGAAAGTGAGAATTGAATGCTGTATCAAACCTTTCCCTAAACTGGAAAAACGGTAGGGATGGGGATCATTATTGTTATCACAATTGTTTTTCCTTTTTCCTCTGCAAAGTAAACTCAAACTTTGCCCATAATTCAGGCGGGTCGAGAAATTTAGCCAAACATGACCACAGCGATTAAAATGTAGGTTAATTATCCAGCGCATCTGGCCCGTTTTAAACACTCATGCAGTTACAGATTCATTCCGTTGTCATCCTAGTTTGACAGACCTGCTCGCCAATAACAAGCGTCATGCACCTCCAGTTACGGTCCTACTCACCAATCAGAGCGGGCACAGGGTGTGTACATTTTACAACAACAAACAAAACTAGAGGAAAACGTGATAATGGCGCAACCCTTTTGTCCGGCATCAACTCACACTGAAGTGTTTCAGCAGTGGAGCGTTTAGCCTACACACTGTTAACATGTTTCACATGTGTGTTTCAACTACGGAGAACAGCTCTCTGTGAGCCCGTTCCGCTCTCTGCAAGCTAACGTTACATATCCACACGGAGCATTTCAGAATAAGAGCGTTTTGCCCGTCTGATTTTGTTGATTCAGATTTTTTCTTATTTATTCAGTTGTCAGTTGTCCTGCTACGTAGTTACACGGTTTCCTTTTTGTCTGTTTTATCTATATGTTTTATCCAAGAATGCATTTTGAAAAGTAGTGTATTTGTATTTGTATTTGGTAAGGCAATACCCCATGGCAGCCGGATTTGGCAGTGTTCCAACTCGTAGACAGTCTAAGGAACTGCATTTTTCCCTTAACTGATGTTCTTTCATGTTGTGTTACCCCCCAAACAAGAAAATAATCTGGAACATAAATGGAATTTCACTTCCTCCTTAACTTGGCCTTTAGTAACATTAAGCTAAGCCATTTAATTGCTTTAAACATTCAGCCATTACCAGCAAACAACCAAGTGATCAAAATGAAATGATGCTAACAATGGCGTGAGGTAGGCCTGCACGATATGAGGAAAATCTGATGTACACATTAACATTGTTATCTATCGAGATGACGATATAACTTGCAATAAATAAACACACAATGAAGTGTGTATACTGGCTGCCTGGTTGTTGTTAAATTCATTACAGGATTAGAACTGAACATTTTAAATATGACCACATCGCAATACTGACTGGCATTTAGGAACTCCTCCTCTGGCAGAGTTTACAACAATGTGCCAAATTTTAAGCTATGTATCGAACTAAGCTGAACAGTTATTAAGACTAGCTTTCATTCTGCTTGTTTGTAACTTGGCTAATTGGCAAGCTAACATTAGCTGTTAGCTAACCCGGACACTTGTAGTAGCATCAAATGAAACGAAACTTAATGTCTTAAGTCTTACCGACAAACATCTTGACGTCATTGACAGTGAAGTTAGCATCGGGCATCCTACAGAACAACAAGACGTTACTCAGCATATTACAAGTCTCATGTACATATCAAATCATGTCAGTGTTTTCCTCCAATGTAGAAGAAAGAGGGACAAATAAAGAGGATGCCTACTTCATTCCCAGTCCATCAGGCTTCTCAAAGATGATTGGGTCCCTGAGGCCGCCTCTCTGGATGAACTCAAACGTAAATTCTAAGGAATACCAAAAACACAGTCATGAACAACATGTGAACGAGAAAGGTTCCAAAGTTTTTTCACCCGTTTTATTTTTGGTTTTCTATCATTTACTAGTGAAACTATTAACTTTCACTCAGGAGCAAAAATCAGCCTTTAAACTTAAAAAAAACATTTGACATTTATCCTGATAATTACTGATATTGAATCATTAAATTTTTTCTCGTGATAACATTTTTGACCATATCGCCCAGCCCTACTCTTATTCTACTCACAGTGGATCACAGGATTCACTGTGTAAACTCACACGCTTAAAAACATTGGTGAGGACAAAAAATGATTTAATGCAGGAAACCTGAGAGGTATTCATTATTTATTTAGGGATTTTAGCCTTTATTGGATAGAAGAGAGAGAAGTAGGAAATTAGGGAGAGAAAGGGGAGGACATGCTGCAAAGGGCCCCAGACTGGAATCAAACCCGGGGTCACAGCTATAAGAACTGTACACAGCATCTAGTCAATATCAGGCATGCAAACTGGTCAGGGGTAAAAGTGAGAAGGATACGCAATCCGAGAAACACACAGAAACGGTGTCAGAGGGGTCTGTTTAAGCTTGCATAACTTGCAATTGTGTACTGCAACAAGAGAAAGATACCAAAGAGCAAAGGCGTCACTTTGTGTTGAAAAGCGGTGGGGACATAATTCAGATTAGGGGTATGACGATACACTGAGCTCACGAGAGGAGAGGATACACGAGAATGAGATGTGACAATATTTTAACACTACTTTATAGAAAATAATTATTGTTGAAATATGAGTTGGGGAGGTCTGGTGGGCCTCAGCAATCAGCAACATTACTGTGTCTGACAGGACAGTTAATAATGCTAGCATACTTATGGCTTACATCAGGCTTGCTGTCCAGCAGGTCGGCAGTCTTTCAACATGTTCAGTTGTCAGACTCTGCATACTCTGCCTCTGATTGGCTGTCAGGTTTAGCCATTGGGAATGATTAGGCAAATGCAGCTGTAAATTTGCAAAGCTCATGCTAGAGTGGACTCGACCGACCGACCCCCCCCCCCCTGCACAAATCCCATAAGAGACCCTTTTTGGTCTCAAAACGCAGAAATTTGCCGAAAGGTGAGGAGTTTGCATGCCTGCACTATCGACTGCACGCTGTTACGCTTTCATTCTGTGGGAAACACTGACTGCACATGTGCAAAGTGGAGTGGTCGTCTTATAAAGGCATGTGTTTCACACATAGACATTAGTGTTCTCAAAGGGGGCGGTACCGCCCTCCAGGGGGCGTTCAGAAGATGATGGGGGGCACTGGAAACAATATTTTGTAAGCTACTACACTAAGCTACTTTTGGGGGATGTTTGTTGAGGTGAAAGTTTGAAGGCGAATTTACACCAAAGATTTACAACAATACGAGTTTAAACTTTCAACTAGCCTACTTGCAAAACAATGGTCTGCAACATTAACCTCTTAACATTCCTGTAAAATTCATGCAAAACAGCTATTCAAGGCATATCCAAAATAAATTGAATGTAGTTCTTGAATCATTTGGAGTATATGCATGGTTTTGGACTTCTCTGAAGGATAACACTCTGGAGAGTCTAACCTAAAAGTCAGAATGATTGAATGACAGTGATTGAATTGATTAATATAAGTTTAAACACATTAAAACTAATTTCTTTTTCATTTCCGCTTGAAAATGCTTGCTAACAAATGCATGCAGACAACTACAGCTGGAAAACACTGTAGGACCACGGCATAAAGCCTTACCTAGCCCAAGTTTAAATGTCATACCAATACCATGAAAATTATATTTTTCACACAGGTTTTTCTGAGTGTATGTCTATTTTTCCTAAAACAGCACCGCCCCTTGGCGGCAGGTGGCTGCATCACTCCGTAGCCGGTAGCTCGACACAGACGTGTTTTTTTGGTGATAGATCAAGAACTTCCTACTTAAAGCTGGATATCGTTATTGTCAGAATTTTATTGGCTACACAAAGTGCCAGTCATCGGCACAATTACTTGCAATTGGCTCGGCCTACCTACGAAATAACTTAACAATAACGAAATCCTTACAGTGCAGGCTCTCGTTGGCTATTGAAGGCTGTGAAAGGGACATGTGAGCTCCTATTGGGTCGGATTTGGTGTCACTCGAACGGTTAGAGTTCAGTGGCTAATTTGAATACAAGCTATCGTAGTTGTTTACATTCAAACCGGAGTTATTACGGTTATAATGACATACGAGCCACGTCTGCCGGCAAATATGAAACGACGCGGCAGCAGTCCCTGGGGATTTATTGATGGAATAATGTGTTTTGGACTTATCATCTGGACCTTTGACAACGTAACAAGACCAGTTTTGTTGGAATATAATCTATCGGTGGATTACTATGAGGCTTCATAGGTGAGTTTTGCTTGTACTGGTTGGTCTGACAGAAGCGCTGATTGTACCCACTGTGGTGATTGCATCTTGAAATTGTTTGCATTAGTCGAATCACAAGGATTTTAGCTTTCAAATGGTGTATCATATGAGTATGAAGTTAACATAGCAGCTGGGTGCACATACCGAAAGCTGCCGCCAGGACCTGACGGCCCGTGGGCAGGCCGTTGGAATGTTAGAATGAAACCTGCCAGTTTATGCCACTGCGACTGGAGAACAGGGTGTTGAATCATAACTACTCTTCTCTTTCATTGTTTCTGTCAGCTTCTTGTGGCACGCAGCTCCTGCTGCCTTCCTTAGAACGGTAAGTCAGAGTTGCCAATCATCTGTAAAATTTCACCAACTTGGCGTTTACTGTGTAAAATCTGGAAAATGGAGCTTTCTTTCTTGAGATTACCGTGGAAAATGTCTCTCTCTTAAAAGCTTTAATTTCTCTGAGGAATACACCATGAACACCTTTCTATCGCCATGTTTACACATTCACAAGGGGATATTCAGCTCTCGGACTTCCCCTGAAAGCAACTAAGCATCCAGCACCTGATGCGACACCAGCGAGCAGTTACTTCCAAAATGTAATACATTATAATATTGTGATACTTAACACTACTTTTGCGTTACTTTGAGTTACTTTCACTGCTGTTTAATTGGCGCATTACTCTGATTTTCAGTAAGATGTGCTGCATAAGTGAGTTCTAGCGATGTGCAGAGTCGTATCTGTGGATTGAGTGGGTCTTTGTCATAAAAATTAACCATCTGATTAATAGTAGGGGTGGGACCGGGTGGATGATGGAATCGTCTCCCCATTAAGAAAGACGCTGTGCACATTTATGCACGAGGTACAGCAGCATAACATCATTGATTATTTGAATCTCCCAACACTCAAGACGAAAAAACAAAACAAACAAAACACTTAATTTCGGCTCTCACTGCCAGCGAGTGCCGTGAGATTAATTAATGAAGTGGACCCACCTCGTGTTGTGAATTTTATCGAGTCTGTGCCCAAGAGGTAATGTGACATGGACAGTTTCAATAAAAAAAAAAAAATTTACGTTAAAAACTGAAGCCCTGACTTTCTCTGTTTGGGACTGTGAGCTGTACTTTATCCAGCCGCTGACGGATTTGTGGAGAGATCTTTGCCTGATCGCAACTATTTACTTTCTATCCACAGTTATCCCCAGACCCCTCCCCAATTATTAAGTACACCAAAGTGTTACAAAACGTTTGAGAGGAACAGTCACTTCTTAATAAAATATAATTACTATTGACATGGCTTTTTTTTTTTAAACTTTAGCTAACATTAGCTCAATTTATATAAATGGGTAGCTGTATTTTATTACTGCCTACTACTAATGTTGCGACGCAACCAGGGGGAGCCAGGGATTGAACCGCCCACCTTTCGATTAACAGCCAACCTGCTCTACCTCCTGAGCCGCAGCCGTTAGGAAGGCTAATTAGTGTTGCAAACTAGTCCTTTTAAGCTAATGAGGAGATGTTTCTTTTGGGATTTTAATGTGCAAATAAAATGCACCTCAGAAGATGGACAACATGAGAAAACAACTATTTTTTATACTACAGATAAATGTCTGAAGCTGTAAAATGCAAACGTGAACAGTCGTATCTATAATGATTGAAGTCAAATTAACAGGGTTTTAGGGGGTGATGCCCAAAACATGCTGTGCCATTAATGTCTGTGTCACTGTGTGAGAGCAACAGAACCAACCAAACTACTTTCCCCAAATCTAAAGGTTGTTGTTTCTCCAGTAGACTGATCTTTGGGTGTTGGTTTATTATCTGCTCAAGCTTTTCAAAATATTTGTTCAGAGGTATGGTGAAAATAATGGCCCAATATGATGTGAAATTACATATTTTTCATTGGAAAACTAATAAACTTTTCTTGTGGGGGGACCCCAAAGCCCCCTGACCATGACTACTACGACTACCACCAAAACATCTAAAGCTCACATAAACTATGGGACAACACACAAAATGTAAGCTATTCTAAGGTGCATCGCGGGCTCATAACTGCTGAGACATGCTGTGTTGGAGTTCTATATTCATAAATACATTTTGTCTGGCTTTAGGCTCAAAACACCTCGCTAACACATTCATCTCACTTCGTAGTATACCCCTCAGGTTTCCACATACAAGCAATGTAAAGCTTACAGACTGTGCTCGCTTACCTCTTCCCTCCATCCGAACGACCCGTTCAGAGCCGAACCTCTGACCGTTGACTTTCTCGTCCAGATCAAACGTCCTTCTTCCATCAATCTCCTCATCAGAGATGCCGTCATCGTGATAACGTCGACGGGTACCGGCCCGCTAGGGAGACGGAAGGAAGGGTGGATGGGTGATAATATAAGCAGCATTGTAAAAACAGGTGACAAATGGTCAAGAGACAACAAAGCCAGGACCGGCAACAAATCTGTTCCTTAAACCGATCCGTATTCCCAACACCAGTCTTTACAATGAAGAGGGTGAAGGTGGATTTTGCACCAAACTGGACATTCTTCCTTACCAGGTGTACCTCAAAACATTTAGCCAGCATTCATTTCAAAATATTCACTGTATATTATATACTATAGGACTGTGCAAAAGTTGCAAAGAGCCTCAAAGGAGACAAAAGCAGAACACAAAGACTGATGGAACACACAGATCATAGAGTATGCTTCTTCCTTTACACAAATAGCCTGTATATTAACATTGCTTTCAAACACTGGCACCAACTTACAGGGGGACATCGCGGGGGTTTCGGGTAATGACAGGTGACACAGGGATAATCCCATGCTGAGCCCCCAATCCCCTGCTCCATTATCTCTCCCACCTCTTTACTGGTGTCTGCATTGGTTTTTCTTAATTAAGCGTTTTCTTATTCCCTTGTGTTCTTCAGTGCCAACAAACTGTAATTACCAAAGCATTTCAGTAAGTACAGTTCAAATGTGAACAGTTGCGTTGCAGCTCGATTTAAGGCATGCACGCACAGACACACTTATAAAAATGTTAAACTGAAATAAACTATAGTGGAGCAGTGCTGTGGATGAATTTGAGCTCAAGAGTCCGATACATAGGGCCCAATATACTAACATCCCGAATAAAGAGTACTAAATTGCGTGTACATTCTAAAAAGTACCTGTTATGGAGAATTTATTAAGAATTATTGCGTAGATGACAACAGAAGCAAACACAATGGAGGTTGCAGTATTTAAATAAGGGAGTTGCGTGTTTTAATGGTTTCCGCCATGGAGAGTCGGGAGGGAAAACAGAGCCACTGCGTAAAAACGGCTGTAGACAATGCAAAACAAAATTTGCAGCCACGAGGTACTAAACACTGAGACAGAAAACACTGAGACGCAAAAAATAAGTTCCACTCAACAATCTAAGTTCAAGCATTTATTACACTTCAACACATAAAAGTACAACTGGCACTGCAGTTACTAAGTCATAAAAATTGCTATGCGAGTGTGAAAGTGCGTGAGTGCGCAGGTGCGGTCAACAGAGAGTGTTCGCTCCCAGGCTCACCCCCTCTCTCTATCAAAGCCCAAAAAACACAGGTGAACAGGTGCAAACAAATCGACCACTATCACTTCCGCACACAACCCTGGTGGACACGCCCACCACCTACAATCCGAGTGCAGTGAATAATATGAACGAGACCATAAACATAGAACACATGGGAGACTTACAGGTGGCTCCTACACTTGGTTTGTTTCATTCAGTGCATCCTGAGTATGTGGAAATCGTCTGTACCTGACCATCCTGCCTGAGATTGCACTAAGTACTTGGGACAACACCCCTGAAAAACTACTTTGGGAAACCCCAGCAGAAACAGCTACAGCATGCTGGAATGACCCGGACGCGAGGAAATGCCAGCAGATCGAGCTTCATCCAGCCAGAGGAAACTATCACCGACCATCTGCATCGTGCCCGGTCGCTCCACGATCTCCTGTTCCTGTACGCCCCAACGCCCCATTTCTTCTTCAATACCTACAATGGCTTGAGTCGCTATTACGACAGATGCGCTGTGAACAGCTGGCGATCGTTCAGCTGGCAACAATAACAGAAGCCATCTCTGCACAACGGTTTGCACTTTCCTTTCAAACGTATTAAATACAGAGGCTGTTGCACTCACATGAAATTGCGTTTAGGCTCGGTAGATTACATTGCGTGTAGTAAATAAATATATTTGCATGTTACGCCCCAAATTGCATATTCATTGAGGCAAAAGTACTAAATGAACAACAACAGGTTCTATCTTGCACTTTTGGAAGACGTCTTTCTGCATGCACACCGTTAGTAGATCAGCTTATGTGCCAATTTGCTGGTGATATCAACTTTGCACACGTTTTTACTCACACAAACCTTTAATAAATCAGGCCCATAGTGTAGGAGCCATTACACATTTCAATGTTTTGTCCCCCCCACTTTTCTCACTTTTCCAGACTTGGCTCATAGCCGAGGCAGTTTACTATGAGTGACTAGTCAATCAGTCTCCACATCAGACATAAATAAACGTTTTAAAAAAATCATGTAGGCCTTTAGAAAAAAAAAAGTGACACAATGCAGAGGTGGTGCTGAAAAGTTAAGGGAAAAAAACTAGAAACAAAATAGTTTGCTGGAGGCAGATGCAGCAAAGTGTCTCAAAATTGGGCTACAGACTTTTCTTTTGTGCTGCTGTTACTTATAGCCTACCTGAAGACAGCAGTGAGGATGCCTATATACTTATTTCGCGACATTTTCCATTCATACCTTCACATCTTAACCAGTATGTAACTGCATTAGGCTTCATTAACTGAAATGAGATGTCAGCCAGGCTGTCTGCAGTTACGCAGATCAGTGCTGGTATCGGGTGCTTATCACAGTCACAGAAATGGGCAGATGCAAACATTTAGAAAATCAGCCACAATTTCAGTTTACAGATATATTGTTCTACTAAAACAACTGAAATCCAGTGAGGGCGCACCACGGCACTGAGGGATGATGGAAAGAAGCCTGTGTCACTCTTTAACACCGGAAGTAAATACATTCACTTTCCATTAGAGACGCATTTAACACTTATTTAGTCTTTGCAGAGCAAATGTAGACTTCACACTGTAACATCCAAGTCTGATGATCACTGGGTGGATTCTGATATATTAACAGTATTCTGTTGTTGAAAAGAGCATCCCTTTCTTTTGTTCTTTCACTTTGGTTACTATTTGTTTTATAGCGCTGTAAGAAGGGGAGTCGATAAACCGAATGTCACCGCTGAAAGTAATCTTGGCTTTCGCTCAGTGGCTACCAACTCTTGTTTATTCAGGAAACAATCATTTCTGAGATGCACAGAGAGAGAATAAATGTGTGTGGATAGCACAGTCCTGTTGAGCTTTACGCACACTCATTTATTATTATTTATTTATTACCATTATTATTATTAATAATTTATTATTTTATTCATTTATTGATTGTTTTGCCACTTTTCCATACTGATAAACAGCAGATTAACCAATATAAAGTTAATGGTAAATAGTCTTCCGACCACTCAAAATATCACATTCACCCAGTCACACACATTCATACACTGAACCTACATGCTCAAACGGAAACTGACATTCACACACCAATGAAACAGCCATCTGGGGCAATTTGGGGTTCAGTATCTTGCCCAAGGACATGCAGCCTGGAGAAGCCAGGCAACCCGCTCTACCTCCTAAGCGACAGAGGCCCATTCATTCATTTAAACTTTTAGCTCAAAGCTTTACTTCCATTCTGTTCACTACTGCAGCAGGTAGAACGCTCTACCTGCAATAGTGATCCGTTTGCTACAGGCCTGATGGCGCTGAACAGCCTCCTGCAGACGAACCTATGTCACAACATCCTCGCTTTAAGTTTAGAGGTGGAAAACGTCTGACAGCGCCACACGCACACATAAGACTTGTCATTTACATTTGACTTGCTGCACTTCAGAACGCCAACAATCCAAGTTATAGAAACACGAATATGAATATGTAAAATATATCATGTAATAATTTCTTCATCTGTCATCCAACCAGTGCATTACGCTGGTGGCGTAATGCCTGTGCGACAAGTTAATCAAAATCACATTTCACTTTAACACCACTAGTCATATCTTAAGCTTACATTCTCCTTTTTCTGTAACATGATATATACACGCACAGGGGGCCCACTGGGTCCTCACAGGACACCATGTAAATACAAACCACAGCTTCAAAATGAAAAGTTAAACCCACAGACACCTTGCCAGGTGCTGAACTTTGTGGGAAATTATTTTTTTCCCTCATTACACCAAGCTTTATCTTTGTTAGTGCGCACAGCACCCATTTCTTGTATATGACATTATCATGGTTGCTGAAATAACATAACCAATGAAACCAGTATTGCTAGTGAAAAACTAAAGACCCATGTGGCCAATCCAAACTTACCAGCCTTTTGCTGTATCGAGGCTTGGATTCATCCATTTCCACTGGAAAGCCGAGCTTTGTCCAACCAAATGCAGGTATATAACGGCGCACAGTTTAAAGCCATTTGAGAAGCACCGGCAGCTGGAACATTACCGTGGCACCCCTTGGCTCCACAGCCGGACGGCGCGTGTTAACAACGGGAGCTTTACCTGTCAGCTAACTTAGATTAAATTCAACAAAAAAAGTGACTAACATACGAGTCTCCCGGCTAACGTTAGCTAAGTTAACTGAGATTTTGATGATATTTGTTGTCTTTGAAGATCTCCAAAACAACTAAACAGTTAACATTATCTCCCTGACTTCACACCGGTTTGGTGAACTAACGTAGGCTAGAAATGGGAAGCTTAATGTGGAACCCAATTCATTTAAAAAGAGGCTACTAGTACATACAACATAAAACTATGATTATCGTAAAATCAATAATGTCTCAATACTCGAGCTTTGTTCACTGCATTCACCATACCAAATCAGGTCCAGTTAGCCTTAATGTTAGCGTTTTGAAGGAGTCCTGCTAGTACCGACAGAAAACTCACATGACCTAAAGTCATATTAAAGCAACAACATTCTAATACACTGCAATAATAGGACGTACATGGCTGAATCTGTTACTAATACTTGTATGTTCTAAAGTTAATACGGTCTCCCAACAGCCGCCATTTTCCGTCCCATCACAAAACATCGTCATATCCCGCCCACAAACGCAGACTGGACCAATCGCTGAGATGGCGACGAAGCATTCATTGGACCATAGCACTGCCATTCACGTGAAAGATTTGTAAACTGCGATTGGACAAGAATAACCAATAGACATATTATGAAGCTGGCAAGCCACCAATAACAGAACAATTCGAAACCGACCTTATGTTTCATTGGTTAATATCCCAAACTATCATTAACTAGTGGGCAACACGCAATCAGTCAAGAGATGTGGCCAGTCACGCGATGATACAACCACTAACGACCACCCCATTACCCAATTCAACTAGTCATCACACACAGAACCCGAAATAACGCAAAAATAACGCGTTTCCAATGCTTACCCCCATGTTCACACAGGTCCGTCCACAACCTAACGCCGACAGTAATCCGAGATCTGTGACGTCCTCTGTGTCTTGTTTCCCCTTCCAACGGCTCGCATCGGAGGGACACGTTTTGTAGCCTCCACCTCAACAAGGAAGTGCTTGCAGGTCATTAATGGAAGCGTACGCTGTGCAAACTACTGTGGATTGGCTAGAAAATGTTGCATGGCTCTTGTGATTGGTGGCAGTGGCTTGTCTATCAAAACACGTGCAGCTGGAATACGGCGAGCGAGAGGAACGTGCCAAACTGTGACGTGCAAAACGGATGAAACAAAATGTAAATAATCCCTTATAAGCAAAAGAAATAACAGTTTGATTTTATTTTCTTCAACATGGCGACACAACTACAAAAGACGTATGATCACTACAATGACGTTCCTTATAAATTGCTACAAAGTAACTGACCTTATAATGTAAACAGGAAAGGAAGAGCACAAAATCACACTACATTATATCAAAGTGTTAGACAAGCTAATAATAATTCAGGTGACTGAGCCATGGTTGACCATTAGTCTTGCCTAATTTCCAACCTGCCACCTTGAATCCACACTTAAGACCCAGGATTTAGTTTTATTATAAGATTACACGATTAAAGCTGGGTTAGGTAAGAGAGAGATAGATAGTATTCCTTCAGACCTCCCTCCAAAGCTACTCTCCCAAAACATTATGTTCATGTGCAGTCCACACTGATGAAATGACTGGATCAAGAGTAGGCTGACACTGCAAGAGTGGGCTGCAGTGACGCTGTCAGTGATCACTGTAGCTGATGGCATTTGTGGATCTAGAGCAAAGAGGAAGGATGCAAATGTCCAAGACCAACCAAAGTCAAACCATGGCATGAAACAAGAACAACCTCTTTGGAAATACGACTGTAGTCCTTTAAAAAAGAAGGGGGAAAACATAAACATATGAAAAATGAAAGCCATCTTTGAAATAAATACACAAACAACAAAGACCCAAAGCAGTAAAAGACCCCCAAGGCAGTGTCAGTAATTAAATAAAGGAGGGCTGTTTATTTCCTTTTCTATTCTAACACCTTCAGAACTGACTTCTATTCTTAGATCATACATCATTTACAATCAGTCATCTTTTAATCAGTTCAACATCAAAAATTTCTAGATGTGATTTCTTTAAGGAAAGTCATTTTCTTCCTTCATTAAATTGAAATATGAAATTTTGCATAAAGACCCACTATGGAGTCCTAGCAGGAAGAGCCAATTGCAGTCGATAGCGTAAGTATCGGCACAGTAGTATGGTTTCCACATCCAAACACAAATTGTACAAAAACACAGATAGTTGTACAAAGAATAACAACTGCTGTGTCGATACTTAGGATAGTGACTGCACAGCTATGCATCATGATGATGGGCAGTGTGGTATTCATGCAGTCACACTACAGGATGATCTGCCTGAGCCCCTTTCACTTTCACTTCATTCAAATGTTTACAGCCACTGCTATGCTATGCATTCTTATTCATTTATAAATCATTTTCAGTTGTTTCTTGGCTATGACAACATTCCCATCGCATTGGTTCTTTACAGTTTCAATGTATTTGTAAAGGCAGATCCTGACAACTCACCAGTGTCTTTCAGTTATTTGAATCATCTGAGGCAGCAGTTTATGGGGCAGTACAACTCTTGAAGCTCCCTTAAGAAATTATTCAGGTCTGACAGCTATGTAAAGAATCTTTCCTTTCAGTAAGCTACACATGGTCTACAAATGAACACATTTTTTTTTCATATGTAAAAAGTGGACAGGCTAGCTGCCAGATTGACACCATATTTGCTGTGGTTATTTCTGGCTCCTAGACTATGAATTGTAAATATTTTGGTGAGCCTTTGTATTGGACTGGATTGAAAGTGTCTCTAATATTCTAACATTTGGTTTAAATCTTTTTTAACCCTAACATCATGTGGTTCTCCATGACTTCCACAGCTGTCCATGAATGCTGGTGGAAATCTGTGTGCAGCAGACCTTTCAGAACAGGAGGGTAGATATTCTTCAAATCTCCATTTGGATATAACTTTAACTATCCAGACTATGCATTGGAGCTGCATTTAAATGCCGATCACCCTGAGGAGGTTAAGAAAGTTCTTCAGAAATAACCGAGAATGAATGCAATTGCATACAGCCTTTGTTTCTATTTGGGTTAGTTGAAATGACAGTAAACTGAGCCCAGGCTCTATTTGGTGACCATCTAAGAGCAGTTCTGCACTGCCTCATCCTGACCTGTGTGGACTTAGCTGGTGGGAGGCCTCATTCAGGTTTTCTATTTAATGAAGCTGTAGAGAAATGAACCAAGGATCAAGACCAAAATCACACAGCAGCAGAAGATCATCATTTGTTTCTGGAGAAGAGGAGGGAAAAGGATACAGAGACAGAAAGTTATTACCTTCCCCTACAGAGCTAAGATCACTAAAGACATATCTACGATGGTGCACAATCAAACTTCAAATTTCACAGCCAACACTAAGTTTGAGCTAGGATTTAACCAGCGCTCAGGGAATATTCTGTATGGTGTTATTTATGTCACTCTGGATGGAAACATGTGAGAGGAGATCACCAGAGCTTGGTCTATTCTGAAGGAGAAGGCAGACTGGAAATTGGCATGTGATTTCAGAAATACAACTGCACTGAACTACAAGAGAGTATCCTCTTCTTTAAAATCATATCATATCTAATATAACATTTCTGATGGAAATACTTGCATAATATTATTATTTAATTCCACACATCCACAATGATTATGCTTGCAACTCCTGGCTTGACCATGCATGGTTCAAATTACAGGGGGAGGGGGAGGTCTGACCCCCCAGCCCCCCATTAAGGCTTGGACGCCTCTAAAAGAGGCAAAATCAACAGTTCAGGAGGTGTTTCTTATTCGTCATTGTAAATATTACAATAAACAATCTTGAAATACGATTTCAGACACTCTTAAAATGAAGCATACCATTTCCTAACCTTGAACGTCTTGTCTGCCAGCATCACTCAAAGCTGCTCAGAGCATCACACAACAAGCTAATGGAGACACTGTAGGTAATACACTTACCTTTTCTACTTTCAGAGTTTCATAATAAGATTGTGTCAAGTGTCTATGGATGTTGGCTAGTTTCTAACTTTTGCCCTGAGTTAAGGTTAGCTAACTATTGTTAGCTAAAGTTGGCTTGGCACTTAAATGTCATATTTTATCTAATTGTTAGCTAACACTGGTGCTTAGGCATAAGCATTGAGGATTAGTTTTTGTAGAAAAACATTTTGACATCAATATAGACTTTATTTTTTCATTTTAAGTCTTATGTGAGTCTTTTTGGAATAACCATGGCATTTGGTTTCACTCTGAAATTGGGAGTTTAACCTGGCTAAGTAACTGAAAATCGAAATTAAAATCCAGATGTTTTCTGATGTTTTGAAAAAATCAGAATTAGGAATTAGAGATGATAATGCAGCCTGGATTTTATGATAGTGTCTTTGATTCTGGTTCAGCATTGTGTGGGTCTGTATTTGAGCGGAAATGACGGTCTGCTGTTGTGTGCGGTTCTGACTTGTTGGCAGTTTTGCTCTAGAATACTTGGTGACCACTGACTACAAAAGTTGTTGCATGATATGGGGCACCTATTAATTGGTGTAATTAATTAGATTTATCATCATCTACTGACTGCAGACATTACATTACACAAACAAGCCTATTGTAAACATTAAATTAGAAAAATGTAGTTTACTGAAATACGCGCGTAGGTTGTACTGGGTTTTTCTTGTACCCCCCAGTTGTGAATGTATAATTGGTCACTCTGTGACCTTGGGTTTGTGGTAGTCATTGGTTAAATGGAACTAACTGCAGTGCATGATTCAGGAAATGCAGTTGTGTTAGTTATGAAAAGAGCGAGCAGAGGAAACAGAGGACTGCACATAACAGTTACTGGTCATTTCGTCCGTGTTAGTGCAGAAACAGGGCTCAACATACCCTGCGCGCCTCCTGCTGATATTTGGCTGCCTTTTTGGTGTCGGCTACCGCCCTCTCTACGAAGCCCACTGACTGGTCCATGTTGCTCTCAATTCTGTCAATCATGCCACCCTAGAGGACGGAAGAGAATGCAAAAGACAGACAGATAACATAACGGGTGGTACCCATATGTTTGTGATATTGACCTAATACATTTCAGCAACAAGGAAGTGCTTCAACTCCTTTGTTTTGTCTTTTAACTTCCTGTGTTCACAGGAAGTTTGAATGTGTTGTGTAGGTGGACAAATGCTGCTTGTGATCACCTTTACCTACATTTTATCAAATATCTGAGCAAATTAATAATCTAAGGACTGATAGATCAGTTCTCCTGCACAGCTCTGGGTTCGGCTACTGTTGGACATTTGGAAAGCCCATACTTTTGGAATTTCAAAACTGCAAATTGTGTGTCGTTGTTGTGTATGTGTACCTGGTTCTCAACCAGCATAGCGATATCGACAAACATGTCATGGAGCTCTTTGATGCTGCTTTCCAGCCTCATGATGTCCTTGTGTCGAGCCTCAATCTCATTCAGGGCCTGCTGGTTGATCTTAGAGTCCATGATCTGGGGAGGGAGGGGTGTGTGGTGAAAAGAAGGACACAAACAGAGACAGACCAGGACAGGAGAATAAGAATGCCTTAAAAAAACTATGAGAAGCAGATTATCAGAGAACAATGTACGCAAACAGGCAGAAAGTAAGTGTTGAGAAAAACTGTAACAACAATTTGGGCCACATTTCACAAATTTATGGCAAAGTCAGCACTGGCCAATCAAGGTGTGAGCCTAATGTGGCCCACATTTGACTTTGCATTTGTGGCCCTAATATGATAAAACAGATATGGGTCAGACGAAGGTCAGGCACAGAAAAACTGTAACCAGTGGTAAACTGGTTACAGTTTTTCTCGATTGCTTAAACACATTTCTTGAAATTATGCCTCTTTTTCTCGAATCTCTTAACACAAATCCACAACTTCTCACCCAATTCCCCAAACATCCTATTTTCAGGTCAAAATGAAGCTCTCCACTCAAAACCATTCAATCTTGCTGAAAAACCAAACTTTGCCCACAAGCACTGAAAAATACACACTACAACACAGTCTGACACACTGGTGAGATCAATTCAAATAATACTACAAAAACTAGTTATTAGTAATGTTGCTTGTGGTTCTCCCCCTCAGAAACCTTTTCACATGATGAACACAAAAGAAATAACAAATGTAAACATTTACAGACATGTTTTATTCCTTAGTGTGCTGTACAGTTCAACACACCAAACAAGTAATTATTCTGACCCAGCATCCCGTCTTTGGTCTGGGACAGACCAGAGATTGTTATTCTCCACTTCTTCCTCTCCCTACTCCTCCTCCCTCTACCTCCTCCACCTTCTTCTCCACCTCCTCCTTCCTCCTTCATCCGCCTTCCTCCTGCTCTGCCTCCTCCGCCTCCTCGTACTCCTCATCTTACTCCTATTCCATCTCCTACTCCAACTCCTACTGTTCCTCTTCCTTCACCTCTTGCTCCTCTCCATACTGCTCTTCCTCCTCCTCCTCTCTGGTGTCCTCTACCTCTTCCTTCAGACTTGTCTGGATCCATTGTTCCAAAACTGAATGAACTGACTCTGGCCCACATTTGCTACGTCACATGTGGGCCACCTTAGGGTGGTATCCATTTTGTCAGGGCCACAAGAAGGCAAGGAGTGCCATCATTGCCTGAAGTGGCCAACAATCATATGTTGTTTGGGTTTGGTCTATAAATTGTCAGAAAACTGTCAGAAATGTCCATCACAATTTCTGAGAGTCAAGGGTGATGTCTTGTTTTATCTGTCCAACAGTCCTAAAGCCAGAGTTATTCAGTTTACTTTCATGTAAGACAAGGAAAAGAAGGTCTGGTTTTGTTATTCTTACCCTGTGCATGTATTTACATATAGAGATCTACACACTGTAAGTCTTACCCCAGCAGTGAAGACAGCTGAGTTGCCTCCCTCCAGCATCTCTTCCAGTTCCTCATCAGTTGTTGTTTTCCCCGCTGTGAACCGAAAGGACGGTTATACAAATATTTCGAATCAATAATGGCTGACAGGCGTGGTTAAATACAGAATGTATATAGGAAGGTAATCAGAAAATCAGGGAGTAGTAACACATACAGCCATACAGTATTGCTGTGGCATGTGGAAAGTAGTGATAAAATCAAAATGTGTTCATGTAACTCGGCGCCACAAAATGTGTCCATATCAAGTTTTTACTGTGTCATATCATCATTTTGTCTGATTGCAGCTGGAACTCACTGATCTCCAGCTGTCGGGCGATTCGTCCTTTGCTCTTATCTCTGAAGTCAACTTGAGCCTCGTTGTATTTTGTCATCACCTCAACAAACTTCTTGGCCAGGATAGCATGCTGGGGGAAATTAAATGCCCTGGTAAATTACTTTAAAAAGTGAGCAAATGTTTAATGGCAGTCAAATGAAACCCATCATAATGTGGACAGGAGTTTCCCCTGAATGTCATTTAAAAACATTGTTGAACATTTTTTTGAGCTTACAGTGGGCTAATACAATGCTTCTAGTTTTGCTTTAAGGAGTCGGAGGGACAATGTTGTGCACTGGTATTCCAAACAATTGTAAGTGTTTCCCTTCATATTTGTATTCTTGTCAAGGTGTAAGAGCCTCTGCAACAATACTGAAACCATCACGGATCCTAAAACTCTCCACTGAAACAATGATAATCAATTAATCATTTGTTCTTTTGTGTAATTCACAAAGAAAATTATTACCAGTGAAGATTAAATCTTCACATGGACAACATCTTTGCACTGATGCGTGGGATCAGTCAGATTGGTTTGGATCAAAGGGGGACCTCCTGGCCGAACCGGACCCAGCTGTTTTACTCTGTTTCCCTAAAAATGACTGATCTTATAAAAGAATCATTATGTCAGCTGTCCGTGGTGCTGAAAATCCACAGATGAACAGATGGATGAACATGTACACTGTCAGTCAGAGCTTCCAGTCCCAGTTCCATTAAATATATCTCCAAGGAGGGTCAAAAAAAGGACTTGGGCTGGACTAGGTTAAAGATACTTGAAGATGTTCTGCCTGGCAGGGAGTCCTAGCTATTTAATCTCTGTGTGTGTGTCATTATCAAGGTGATGGATAGCGCTGGTTCGTTAGTGCTCCTGGCTGCTGCATGTACAGTCATTATGGTCCTCACAATTCAATTCAATTCAATTTTATTTATATAGTGCCAAATCACAACAACAGTTATCTCACAGCGCTTTTCATTTAGGGGCGGCTGTGGCTCAGGTGGTAGAGCAGGTTCAATTCCGGCTCTCCCAGGCTGCATGTCGAAGTGTCCTTGGGCAAGATACTGAACCCCGAATTGCCCCTGGCGGCTATTCCGCCAGTGTATGAATGTGTGTGAATGTTAGTTTCTGTTTGAGCACTTAGGCTCAGTGAATGAATGTGTGTGACTGGTGAATGCAGATGTAGTGTAAAAGCGCTTTGAGTGGTCGAAAAGACTAGAAAGGTGCTATACAAGTACGGAGCATTTACATTCATAAAAGAGCAGGTCTAGACCGTACTCTGTGATGTTATTTACAGAAACCCAACAGTTCCCACCAAGAGCAAGCACTAGGCGACAGAGGCAAAGAAAAACTTCCACCCCACCCTGAACCATGGCTCAGGGTGGGCGGCCATCTGCCTCGACCGGTTGGGGTGAAGGTCATTGTTATTTTAGGTTCTTTTGAAGAAAAAGCCTCCAGCTCCAGTTCTGCACACTGGAAGCTTGATCAAGTAAACCTCCATTAATGTTGTTATTTAATATGGTCTGACCTGTGATTTGCGTATCCTGAGGTCAGCTGAGGCCCTCTCATCTGTGTTTGACTCAAGCTGGCGCTCAATACCTGATGTGCACACACACACACACACACACACACAAGAAAGGGAAAAACCAATACTGTGAGCCTTTCCACAGATAATGAAAATGAGATGGCTATAATTATAGTCAAGTACATATGTATATGTATGTATATTTTGTTAGCATTAAAGTGTCACTTCACAAAATGATTTTCCCACTTAAAAGTTCCCATTTTTTTCAACTGCTAACATGTATCGCTCAGAACTGAAGCCACTTTTTCAAAACTCTTTATACAGTCTGCATTACCAACATGCATCTCAGCCAAACAGTTAATCGCACCTCTTAAAGTCACTCAAACCAACCAAACAATTCATACAAGTCTCACAATAAACTCGTTCAACCAAAACACTGGCAACAATTTTCACTCAGCATCCATTTTGAAGCTTCTGATTGGTGTGTTATCAATTTTGACTGTTTGTGTTTCCACCTGGGGTGCGTTTCCCAAAAAACTGTGGCGGTAACGAAGTTGGTAACTTACATGGTACGAACCATCGTTAAGCGACGCGGGTGTTCCTCGAAACCATAGTTCCGACGAACGTTCGCACCAACTGTCGTTGTAACTATTGCATAGTTGGAACTACAGCTCCTGACCTGTGGTTAGAAGCTCAGTTCACAGTGACTACATCACAGATAGCAGAAAATGCAGTGTTAGGAGATGGATGTAATTTGTATTAAGCCGGGAATGTTAGATAATCCTGCTGTGCAAACATATTTAAGGTGAAGATATTTTTAAATGTACTTGTAGAAGTACTTAAATGTATTTGTTGGGTGATGGGTAGGGTTGCATTATTTCATTTTTATATCACAGTGGATTCAAATCCACGTCTCTCACACTAAAGGCATGTGTCTTATCCACTGCACCATGTAGAGATTAGGAATATGGGTGTTCTTTTTGGAAACTGGAGTTATGGTTTTGAAATTGAATAGCCTGGTAATAGTGTTTAAGCAATGGAGAAGAACTGTAATCTCACCTCCAAAACTCGCTCAAACCACCAAACATTAAGTCCATGTCTCAAAATAAACTCATTCAACCAAACACTGGCAACAATTCTCATTCGAAATATACATACATTATCACTCATAACACATGGACCTAAAAAACACACACAAAAAAAAACAATAGGGAGAGTTACATGAATGTTGAACTTTTATCTTTGAAGTTTAAATGATTTTTCACATAAATTAGTATTTCATTCCAGACTAAAAATAAATAATACTTCACTTTATTGACTGTACTAACGCATATGTAACAAGAATTAATCAGAAACTCAGAAATTTGCTTCAGTTTCCTTCATTTTTTCTTTATAACTGCATATAGTAATTTACTTACTGAAAAAAAAAAATCTGAAATTTCAGTGCTGCAATACAGTTTTTCTGATTTGTACTGAGACACAATGAACACAACCTGTAACTCATGGTGGCTGTGGCTCAGGAGGTAGAGTGGGACACGCATATACAGTATGTGCAGGTGGTGAAATAGTAATGAGGAAAGAATTCAGGGATTTTGGAGAAAGTGGTCATGGAATGAATTTTGTGTGAAAGATAGAGTTGATTTATCACTAATTCACTTTAATAAAGACATGCTTTTCTTGTCATCACCAACACTTTAACTCAAAGATCAGAAAAAGAAACGTTCTTAGTCCTACTCCATCTTTGTCACAGACCTTTTAAATCTTCCATCCAATGTTTAGACCCACTGTATCCTGTTTTGGTTTGTTCTTTTTCTTATTTGGCATTTGGCTTTATTTTGACAGTACAGTAGAAAGAGACATGAAAAGCAGAGCAAGGGAAATGACATGCAGCGAAGGGCCCCAGGCCAGACTCGAGCCAGGGCTTGACACGTGGTGCAAGTGAGATACTGGGGCATCATTGGACAAAAAAACAAACAAAAACATAAGCAAGCTTAAAAAGAAAGTAAAAGTAACCAATACTGACCCTTAAGTTTGTTTCTTGCGTTGTTGGCTGACTTCTTGATCTCATTGGTGAGGGCTTCAACGTCATCTTGTGTTTCTGAAAGAGAGAGTGAGAGAAGAAGGAGAGAACCAACAGAAAGAAAAAGACTTTTTAGAAATATTTAATATATACAAGTGTGACATAGATAAGAAATATGTTTTTAAATATCATCAACTCAGAAGTTTCATCAAAGGGAGTCAAAATAGTCTTACAATTAAACCAGAGGACATCCAATTTTGAAAAAAATGATGTCTAGGACAGTTTAAGTAAAGGAGCTATATCAGAGCTGTATGAATTATTAATGGCCAATTCACCAGAAAATTCAGTCAATGAAAATGGAGTAAGGACCTGGTGAGCGATATGTACGAAAGCTCACTCTCAAACAGCCAACACAAGATTTAGATTGCTACAGTATAAATGGACAATGACAACATATATCACACCAGCTAAATTAAATAAATGTTATAGTGGCATTCCCAATTTATGTATAAAATGTATGAAAGAAAAAGGGACACTGTTTCACTGTGTATGGCAATGCAGTAAGGTCAAAGCTTTTTGGGAAGAAATTAAAAAACTATAGTATTATATATACAATATATAGTATATACTATACTATATATAGTATATATATGTATTTGTATGTTAGGACTTTACACCAAAAATCACAAGTACATCAAAAGTGAACGGATAATGATAGAGATGTGTCTCTTGCACGTAAAAAAATTGATTGCATTATTCTGGAAAGACCAAAGTACCATGTATTACATTTTGGGTTTGGCAAATGTTGATAACCTTTCCTCTGGAAAAAATAACATATATAAATAGAGGGAAGCCGGACTTTTTTCATAAGGTTTGGGGGCCGTTTAATATGTTCGTGAAAGGCATAGGGCTAACAGAGGAAGGGAAGGGTTGAGTACTGACTAATGCAAGTCTCATAATATGACTAGTGACAGTTCAACCTATACATTATACAATTTGCTGTATCATTTTTGGAAGGTATGTTAAGGAAGATGTTTGTCTTAGAGATGGTTGTTGTTCTGTAATTTTATTTATTTACTTTTTTTTTTTACTTTTAACATATGTTTGCTGTCCCAGCTTTTTTCTGAATAGAATCTTTGTTTTATAAACTGCAGTGTAGAGACAGGAGGTTGTATACCTTAGTAATTTGGAAGGATATACATATGTGTTTCATCTTGGAAAATGTTAATAAAGATATTGTTTAAAAAAAGAGAAATATATTATATATGTGTGTGTGTTTGTGTCAGACACAGTTACTCTGGTCAGGTGTGGGGGCCGACAAGATGATCGAGTACAGTTTCTTTATCTCTGTGACGCTCTCATCAATCTTGTCAATGTTGGTACGGATATCTTCAATCTGGAAGACACGCACACACAGATCAATCAGCAAGAAATACATTTCTTTCTTAAATGTGAGGAATCAACAGACAAACACAAATACCTGAGCAAAGAAATCATCCATAAAAGCCTCGTTGTCCACGGGAACCTCAATGTCGTCGCCTCCGGCATCACTCTTCTGTCAAACACACAAACAAACAAATTCAAATACTAAAATGAATAACTAAGTTTTTGTTGTTGACAGTTTTTGCAGTCCCATTGAAAATGATCCAAAATAATAATAATACACTTGATTTATAGAGCACACACACAGTGCTTCACAGAGACGATGAGTTCATTGAAAGAAAGCTACACATGTCTCCAGTTCATCTGGCTCTGCGCATGCCACTGTCAGTGTGACCAACTGCAGGTTAGATCATGGCGTACCCTGCCCTCCTTAAGTGAGGGCCCTGCACACTCAGTCCCCTTTGTCCCCCCAGGCCTACGCTCCTGTATAGGCCTCCCTCTTTTGAAATATTTATATTTAAATCATATTCATAAAATTTTGTACAATAAGCCTATACTTTAATAAATGCTCTTGTCTACAGTTTGTGTCAAATCTACTCCTTCGTATATTTAAAATATTCAGATAAAACATATATTCATAAGAACATTTGAGTGCAGTTTTCATATCTGTTGTAATATGCTATTGTTTGGTGATATAAATGTGGAATGGTAGCAAGCTGTCATTAGAAACTTTCAACTTATCCAGACTGAGCCACTGTGCCTCCACACATTTGGGTACAGCAGTCTGCTAGTAGTAAATGCATATTACAGCCAAGTAGCAGGTACAATAGGGCCTGTGCTAGCAACATTTGCTCCACAGGTAAATATCACTAACAGAATTCTGCCTACCTCCTTCAGCTGCGCCAGTCGGTCCTTCATCTTCACAAGTTTGTGGTCCAAATAAAGAATTGAATAAATAAATAAAGATAGATAAAAAAAAAGACAACCTCCCAGGTCTTAGACAACAATGCTTTCTCTAGCCTACAACAGTTATTAAAATGGCCTCCAAATTAGCACAGTTGGAATGATTAACTCCTTTAATTAATCCAGGAGATTTGACTGGAAGAGAAATTTCAGAGCCAGAGAAAGAGCTGCAGACACGGGGATGAGTTAGTGAGGAAAAAGTCAAAAGTCTACATGAACAGAAAGTATGTGTTGTTTGGATGTCTCTCTCTGAGGCAATATCTGCGGTCAACCTAACCTGAGGTCCCACTAAGCCTCTATCCTCTAAGAACGGATTAGGACAGCAGTCAGGACGATAAACCTCTCACCCCCTCACCCCTCCCACTTCCAGTGTAAAACACTGAACATGGCCTTTAGGTTTTACTATTAGTCTATAACAAATGGACAATGAGTAACCCAATATATTTCTCGCTGTTTTTGTAAGTTTTTGTTTGTTTAAGTAAAGCAATTTAAATGGGGATGGCTTTAACATGTTAAAGCCATATATTTATACACAGTATACTTAATAGTATTTCCAGCATACTACAAAATCCACAGTAAAAGTATTCACCATGTTGTGCAATAGAAACAAAACAGGCATGTAAAAAAGATCAGTAAATGTCTGAGTTGAAATTTCAACAAAAATAATTATTATGCCATTAATAGAGTGAAGTGCAGGAACAGCAGTAGGGTAAACTTGTGTTCTCCTCTCCAAGTCTGATGCAGATCACACTTAGCCTAATGTGCAGCTGCAGTGAGTCTCTGTCTGTCTGTCCTGCTAACCAGCTGAGCAGTGCAGTCTGTGGTGTCTTGGTTTCTTGCCAGACTGAACAATGTTGAGTGAAATACAACTCTTTATTACGTTTGATAAACGCAGACGAGCCACGGTGTTTATAGACTGCAGCACGGAAAGATGACGTGTTCCGTGTGAAAATGCGTTCATATGCGCGTCCAAGAAATTAAACTCATGCATTCGAGCAAGAGACATCTGTGGGACCAGTGAGGGCACTCCTCATACATCGTTTTAAAACAAGGCAGTGAAGTTTATTTACAACTCTGGACTAATGCAAGATGTGAAGCAGTGGATTCACATTGACTATGAAAATGCTGATTAGCTGGACAGACTGAGCAATATGGATGCACATCTAAGTAAATAATAAGCATCACATATTCAGCCCAGTCATTTTATAAATAGGATATTTGAAAATGTATTGAAGGAAACCTGGAGGAGCCAGTTTGAATGGGCCTGATGCAGCTGATAACATTAATATAGAAAATATCTCCAGGGTCTGTGCTAGAGTGTCGTGTAAATTAAATTCCTGGAGTGATTAAGCAAATAATTGAGTAAAAACCAACCATTGTCTTTGAAGTATTTATTAATAAAAGAGAATAAACAGAGACGTACTACAACTCATATACTGCTGGTCCACAGACCTGCCGCCTAGGGTAGCTTTGGGCGTGTGGCCAAAGCTCTACCCTAAACTAAAATAAGGAGTATAGAAGAAGGAAAGGTTAAGAATAAAAATATATTTATAAGATATAACAATAATAGAAAAAGAACATACATAAAAGATTAAATGTAAGAGGAAACAATTTTTTCCCATAACAATAGAGTAGATGAGGGATCATCAGCCAGTACATGCACAGCTGATCCACAGCTTATCTACATCCAGCCTTAGCCAGTACCAGCACAGACCCAGTCCAGACGTCTTTGGCAGGTCCCCCACGGGGCAGCCTCAGCCAGTACGAGCACAGCCACAGAAATACAGCCAGCATCAGATCCGAGTAGCTCAGACCCTAAAGGAACAGTTGCTGGTCCACCAAATGACCCAGCAGATTGCCCCCCAAGTCTTATCAAACTTCATGAGGTCTGAGTTAGTGTGCAGAGGTCTGTTCAAACCAGCACTGGATTTTTCTAGAAGAGGTTTCCATTCTTCTTACAGATTGTAGTGAGAGCATTGTGGTGTCATGTGTGACTGACTGAAGCCTACCTTGGTCTGGTTGGGACTGTGAGCTGCACTTTATGAGAGGTGCTGAAGTTAACATGTGGGGTTTTTGGTGAGATTGTGAATTGAGAAGTGTTTCAGTTAGTTTTGGTTTCCGCCTCCTTGTCTCATTCTTAAAGTCCCAAACTGGGTTCTGTGTCTGTCAGACAGTCTGAAGGGGATACTACCACATCAGCAGAGCAAAAACACAGATTTAAGGTCTTTTCACACGGGAAGCGACACTCTGCCTGCGTAGTCGCCTGGCCCCGCAGGGTCGCTCTGCTCTTCTCATGTGAACAGACACGGAGACAAGCGCTCCGCGGGTAAACGGAAGGCGCTCTTTAGATAGTAACCACACCAACGGCTTCATATGCTACTGTATTCCTTCATAGCCTAGCTTAAAGTATAACTAGCCTAACGTTAGTTGATTGGCTATATTATATATATTATTCAAGTTCATATAGCTGATAAATCTAGTCCTGCAAATGCCCTCCTGTTAATGTCCCGATAACTGTTCGGTGAACAGTGATTTCAGGGAAGTCGCATAGAGAAAGTTCAAGTCAATTCAACTTTGACAGGGGTGGGCGTGTGCGTGAGATGATCCCAACCGCGACAGTTTCACGGGAACACGCCCACTTAATTGAGAACTTCTTCCACCACTGGTTATGTCTGAGGTTGTCTCCACTATGTTTTGAGTGGAGAGCTTCATTTTGACCTGATAACAGGACGTTTAGGTGAGAAGTTTTGGATATGTGTTTAGAGTTTTGAGATAAGAGGGATAATTTCAAGAAATTTGTCTAAGCAATCGGAAAAAACTGTTTTTATTTACACTAGGGACACTGGAGACATGTCCCCACCACTTTTTGAAAGCACTTGCTAAAAGTTTTCAGAAAATTAGCTCACAACAAGAAATGTTAAATAAATAAAATTCTATGAGAAAGGTTTACTTGCACAATAGGAAAACATGAAATGCAATGTAAAGATAGACGAAACAGATCTGCCTTGTCCAAAAAAAAGTAATTTGGGCAAAAAAAAACCAAGCTGCTGATTATTGCATTATATTCAATAATATTTTTATATTCTGAATTGTCACCAGCCACATGAGTTTTGTTTCGCTTCATATAAATAAAGACATTTCCACCATAAATTGGTGCAGAATATGTCTCTAGAATGCAGGATTTTGAGCATTAAGTTTAATGCTCAAAAATCTTGTGGGAGAGGGCCCCCAGACCCCCACATCCAATAGCCTATTTCATCAATGAATATTTCTTCTAAATAGTATTGGACTATCTTATTGTCTTGTTCATCTCATTCCAATATTGTGTATTATCATGTCTCGTGGACAAAGTGTTTCGTCGAAAAACTTCCTTTAAGAGGCAGAAACCTCGAGCAGAACCATGGCTCAGGGTGGGCGGCCATCTGCCTCGACCGGTTGGGGGTGAAGGAGAGAGAGCAAGAGAGAGAGAGAGAGAGGGCAGGAGAGGAACAGAGAGAAAAAGAGAGGGATGGAAGGAGAGAGAGAGGGGAGGGAGGCAGCCTACACAATATACACACACAGAGGTACAGACAGTAAAGGTGATGTTGCTATAGACTAAATGAAAAATGGTACAGATATTTATAGTAGTTTTAATGATAACAATCGTAATGTTAATGATTATAATAACAATAATAACAATAGGACTAGTAACAATAGTCGTTGAAGCAGAGGGTGTCGAGCAGGAACACGGGGGCAGCAGGTGACCCGCAGCCACAGATCCAGACTCCACAGCTCCAGAGCCAGAAAACCTGCAGGAAGTGATAGAAGGAGAGAGGAGAGGGACGAGAAAGCACAAGACTACCAGAAAGGGGAAAAGTTGTGTTAGTAACATGCATTAATGGGATGAGGTTGCATACAGAGGGAGAGAAAGTAAAGGAGAGAGGAGCTCAGTGCATCATGGGAAATCCCCCGGCAGTCTAGGCCTAAAGCAGCATAACTAAGGGATGGTTCAGGGCTCACCTGAGCCAGCCCTAACTATAAGCTTTATCAAAGAGGAAAGTCTTAAGCCTACTCTTAAATGTGGAGATGGTGTCTGCCTCCTGAACCCAAACTGGAACCTGGTTCCACAGGAGAGGAGCTTGATAGCTGAACGCTCTGGCTCCAAGTCTACTTTTGGAGACTCTAGGAACCACAAGTAACCCTGCATTCTGGGAGCGCAGTGCTCTGGTGGGGTAGTAAGGTACTATGAGCTCTTTAAGATAAGATGGTGCCTGACCCTTAAGAGCTTTGTAGGTAAGAAGAATGATTTTAAATTCTATTCTGGATTTTACTGGAAGCCAATGCAGAGAAGCTAAGACAGGAGAAATATGGATGGACTTTTTCGAGCAGCCTGATAATAAGGAATTGCAGTAATCCAGCCTAGAAGTAACAAATGCATGGACTAGTTTTTCTGCATCATTTTTAGACAGGATGTTCCTGATTTTCGCAATATTACGTAGGTGAAAAAAGGTGGTCCTTGAAATTTCCTTAATGTGAGACTTAAACGACAAAGATAACTCCAAGATTCCTCACAGTGGTGCTGGAGGCCAGGGCGATCCCATCAAGGGAATCTTTAGATAATGCGTCAGGTGCCTAGGCCCCAGAACAATAACTTCAGTTTTATCTGAGTTTAACATTAGAAAATTACAGGTCATCCAGGTTTTAACATCCTGAAGGCACATTTGAAGTTTAGCTAACTGATGAGTTTCATCTGGTTTGATCGATAGATATAACTGAATATCATCTGCATAACAATGAAAGCTTATGGAATGTTTCCTGATAATATTGCCTAAAGGAAGCATATATAAAGTGAAGAGGATTGGTCCGAGGACAGATCCTTGTGGAACTCCATGACTAACTTTGGCATGCATGGAGGACTCATCGTTAACATGTACAAACGGAAATCTGATAAATAGGAGTTAAACCAGCTTAGAGCGGTTCCTTTAATGCCAATGAAATGTTCCAGTTTCTGTAATAGGATCTGATGGTCAATGGTATCAAATGCAGCACTAAGATCTAATAAAACCAGTACAGAGGCAAGTCCTTTGTCTGATGCAATAAGGAGGTTGTTAGTAGTGGCCGAGAAGGAACATAAGCTTGTATTATTATTAGCATGGGGTGGCCGTTAATCGGAAGGTCGGCGGTTCAATCCCTGGCTCCCCCTGGTTGCGTGTCAAAGTGTCCATGGGCAAGATACCCTGGCGGCTATTCCGCCAGTGTATGAGTGAGTGTGAATGTTGGTTTCCATTTGAGCACTTAGGCTCAGTGTGTGAATGGTGAATGCAGATGTAGTGTAAAAGCGCTTTGAGTGGTCGCAAAGACTAGAAAGGCGCTATACAAGTAGCATTTACATTATGGAGTTTAGGTAGATGTGCAGACCCAGTAGTCACTCTGTATGCAAGCAATGGTGACTTGAATTTGATTCTGGACAGTTTTGTCATATTCTGCCTGTCAGCCATGTTTATGTTTAGCCCTCTGTGAGTTTTCGTTATATTTGATCAGTTCAGTATCTGTTATTTAGTCAGTTGTGCTTTGGGGTTGAGTCCTGTCTGCTGTCTGGTGTCCAGTAACCTAGTTTATATCTGTGTTTAGTGTTGTCCTGTTTTCCAGTTGGTTTCGTCTCTGTTCCCTACTTCATTCTGTTAGTCAGTTGTTTCTTGTTTTGAGGTTTGGTTCCTGCTCTTGTGTTCTCTGTGTAGCCTTGTTTATTATGTTATTCATCCGCATCTTTAAGTTTACTTAGTATTATAGGTTTAGCTCTGCATCTCAGCCCTGCGTCCTAGATCTGTGTCTCTGTTCATGTCTTAGTGTTTACTTCTGGTCTGTGCATTTGTGTGTTCTGGGTCAGTCTCTCTACCAGCCTGTCTCTCTGTTTTCTGCCTGCCTCATTAACCTGATCCCGGTCACCTGTGTTGCTCCCTTCCAGCTCTTTAACCCGTGTGTGTGCATAAATACTTGTTTGTTTCCTTAGTCTATGTCTGGTCATTGTAGTGTGTTACACTCAGCCATGGTCATCTGGTAGAGTGTTCTGTCTGCCTGTGTGGATCTTCCAGTCAACTGCCTGTAAGCCTGTTTACCTGTTTGGATTAAAAAACGTGAGTCTCTGCTCCAGTGTCTTGCGTTTGGGCTCACCTCCTCTGCGCTCACCCACGAAACCCTGACAAGTTTCACCGCACAAGCTAGAAGACCTGCTAGGAGGGTATTGCAGTAGTCAAGGCGAGAGATAACCATGGCCTGCACCAGAAGCTGGGTGGCATACTGTGTGAGGTAGGACTTTATTTTTGATATTGCATAGAGCAAAGTTGAGTGGGTTGGAAGAAAGTTGAGCCTCTACTCCCATTGAAACCCATTATTTTTAAAATGCATAAAAATAGTAACATAAAATCAACCATTACAGATATCAGCAATAAAAGTAATAGCATACATCTTATGAACAAGATGTACAATTTGAAGTTGAAGAGCCACAGTTCTCACACTAATTAGTCTGCTGGGTAACAGCACTGCATATTGATGGGTTTCCCATTTACAAACTGTGTAGAATGCATGTTCCACAGGGTGGTAGAGAAGTCCCTCTCAAAATGTCATTACCATTTATACTTGGACATTGTCAGTATGTCAAAATAAAATAACTTTCTGAAAACCAGCATCTAAAATACTTTATACAGGTTAATTTGTATGTGGCAAACTTTGATAGACATCTGTTAACTCTGGCTAGCTTACATGACACACATTTAAAGATCTAACACAGATTACTCTAATTACATCATAGTGCTGTGATTTATCACACATTCACACTGACATTCTTAAATGTATATTGCAGTCTGACACAATCAAGAATTTTTTAGACCCGTCTCTATGTGATATGCAATAATGCAATCATTGTCACGCAGTGTAAAAGCTTCTCTAATCCCCCCACCCTTGCTAAATTATGTTGTATTTCCTGTATAAGCTCATGGCTTCTTGGCCTCTCCCATAACATCTGTTTGAGGAGCCGGGGGATTGAACCACCAACCTTCCAATTAACGGCCAACCCACTCTATCTCCTGAGCCACTGCTGCCCCATCACTCGCACATTCATATGATGTTATACTCATATTCAGATAATATCACTCGCACACTTACAAATTTGCTATCATGCACATCCAGTCAATTTATACATTTGTTATCATATTTAATATATGCAAGTGTGATAGGCTGATAGGCAGGCTTTTGGCCTAGTAATGCCACAATCAGTTAAAACCCCTCAGGGAAGCTCCACCGTCTATCTCTCCAGAAGCAGGCACACACCTGTGGCTCTTAAGAGGTGATTTACAGGGAACACTCAAGATCTCTCTGTAGGCACTGGGTGTTTCTCAAAACCAATGTTATAAGCACACAAAACGCTGCTGACAGTTTGAGACGATGCGTTCTTGCTGGTATTGCGCAATACCCCAAGCACAGAGGCCGCCTGCAAATACTGTGACCACAACTCTACTGGCTACTATCAATGTAATGTCTGTAGTAGTAGTAAAGCAAAGACAGTCTGCTTTTGTACTATTTCTGTTTATTTTTGTCTCACAAGACCAGCTTTTTCTGTAGGCCTACATCACCATTTTTCTGTAAATCATGCAGATGTCTCTTGGTTTTAACTTAAAACCTAACAAAATTACTCAATGTAATGACAGAATAACAACAGTACGAACATGAAAACTATCTTACAGCTGTAGGTGTTTACACAGCCGTTGTTGGCTGCAGTAGTCTGCGTGTCTGTGGAGTATGGAGGGATTATTTGGTCAGAACTAAAAGTTGAAAAGGAATTTGGTACTTAGGATTGGGCATTTAGTCATGTAGCCAGTTAGGGTTTGGGGGATTTGAGGATTGAGTCATGTATGCAAATGAGGAGGCGTGACCCAAAGGCTGCAGGGAGGGTTTGGAAGGGCTGAGGCGCAGAGGCACTTTATGGACTGCAGGGGGAGCTCTGACTGCCAGCACACTGCCATGAAAGCAAGCAGAGGAACTGAGCAGGGCTGGAGGGAGGACTATAATTTATAATACCATAACTTAAAGTGTACAGCATTTCTGTCCATGTGGCCTCACACACAAAGTCAACAGTGAAAGGAATGCTATCCGTCTGACGAGAAAGCAGCGGACAGTACAGCAGGTAAGATATGATAACATTAGCAAGTTAGCTGTATTAGGCTAACTGTTGCTGACATGCATGAGTTACGTTACTGTCGGTACTTGTGTAACATAGTTAAAAAGGTTCAGGTCAAATCCTACTAAATGGGATTACTGTGCCACCTGCTGTCATAAAGTTGTACCTGCAGCGAACTCTAGTAATGACGAAGGATTATGGGTAATCCTCAAAGCAGCGGAGGATTTTCCCTTAGGTAACATGTCTGTGAATGTCCGTGGACTAAACAATGCTAACTCACTTGAAAAGCACGTAAAAGTTAAGCTAGATTTCTTTAGCTGAATAATGTGGTGTTGATTAATGTGTCCTGTTACTGATTAGCAGCTGTCCATCAGGCCTCAATGTTACATCCATACATGTGTAGTAATAATACCATACTAGATCTGCCGGCTGAGACTTTATAGCTGCGCTGTTATCTGTTTCAGAAGGTTGGCGGTTCAATCCCTGGCTCCCCCTGGTTGCGTGTCGAAGTGTCCTTGGGCAAGATACTGAACCCCGAATTGCCCCTGGCAGCTGTTCCGCCAGTGTATGAATGAGCGTGAATGTTGGTTTCCGTTTGAGTGCTTAGGCTCAGTGTATGACTGGTGGATGCAGATGTAGTGTAAAGGCGCTATACAAATACAGAGCATTTACATCTACATAAAGGCTTATCTTGTGGTGTATATTTTCTGTCTGAATTCCTTTTAATATTATTATTTTGTAACCCTGCCTGATACCCCTCTGGAGACTAAAGTATGGAGAAGTATGATCCTTTGTTTTGACAGAAGCTCTTGGGGAACTGTAAGATTTTAATCCAATCTATGAAAGAGTTTCCAAATTTATGTAATGTAGCAAATAGAAATTTCCAATTTACTCTGTCAAATGCTTTCTCTGCATCTAAAGAAACAGGTTTCCAGGTTATGAATAGTGGCATAGTCTATTATGTTAAGTAGCCTGCGTGTATTGTTGGTGGAGTGCCTGCCCTTAATAAATCCTGTTTGGTCAGAGTGTATTATACCAGGAGTGACCATCTCTAGCCTTCTTGCTAGGGTTTTGCAGATGATTTTAAGATCTGCGTTAAGTGATATTGGGCGATAACTGGACGGGAGCGTGGGGTCTTTGTCTGGTTTAAGAAGCAGGCTGATATTAGCAGAGTTCATTGTTGGAGGCAACATGCAAGTACCCCTAATTTGCATAACCATCCTATAGAATGTGGGCGCAAGTATTTCCCAGAATTGCTTGTAGAATTCACCCGGAAAACCATCTGGCCCAGGGGCTTTATTATTCGGCATATGTAAGAGAGCTTCCTGGAGTTCAGCCATTGAAACAGGTGAATCCAGAGCCCTGATCTGTTCATCATCTAAACTTGGCAAATCTATATTGTTCAGAAATGCATCGATGATAGAGCTAGATGGATCAATTTGTGATGTATACAAGTTTTTATAATACTCTTTGAATGCATTGTTTTTCTTCTGGGTTATAAGTCAGATTCCCAGCTGAGTCCTTTTTTTTCTTTATTCAATGTCAATTGGCTGGCTAAGAATCTGCCCGATTTATTGCCATGTTCAAAGTTCTCCAAGCATAGTCTTGCCAACTGAAATTGGGTATTTTTATTATTAATTTTCATTTAATTCAAGTTTTGATTTTCTCAAATCATTCAGCATGTTTTCCTGTGGGGAGGCAGCAAGGGTAGTTTCTAATGTTTTTATTTTTTGTTCTAGCTCTAATTCACAAGATCTTTCTTTTTTTTTGTATGATGAATAGGAGATTATTTTTCCCTGCAGGGTCTCTGGATGGCTGCTGCCCTGTCCGGCCCGGTGACAAATCAATACATAATTAAATAAATAATAAAACAGACAAAAGGAGTATATTAATACTCTTGTTAAAGTAAAATCTGTCTGGCACAATATGGTATCCAGCTCATCATACTCTAAACCAGGCTGCTGGGCAGGACAGGTTTAAAAAAAAAATAAAATAAAATAAAATGATTATGTTGAGATTATTATTACCTCTCATGACTGCTTTTGCTGCCTCCCAAAGAAGACATGGCAAGGTTCCTGGCAGGTCATTAGTTTCCATATATATTGCCCACTCCTTTTTGAAATAATAAATCTAGGTCTTTAAGCAATGATGCATTAAATCTCAACTTCTAGTTGGCCGTGTGACCCTTTTGGGTTTTTTTTTTTTTTTAGTAAGAGTGATAGAAACCGGTGCATGATCACTGATAGTGATAGGGTGAATCTGAGTGCCGGAAATGTCAATAATAGAGCTGCTAACCAAAAAACAGTCAAGGCGAGAATATGGATGGTCGAGGCTGCTCAAAAGTCCATTAAGACTCTTCAGCTGATCCAGAATGCTGCAGCACGTGTTCTGACAGGAACCAGGAAAAGAGATCACATTTCTCCTGTTTTTAGCTTCTTTGCATTGGCTTCCAGTAAAATCCAGAATAGAATTTAAAATCATTCTTACCTACAAAGCTCTTAATGGTCAGGCACCATCTTATCTTAAAGAGCTCATAGTACCTTACTACCCCACCAGAGCACTGCGCTCCCAGAATGCAGGGTTACTTGTGGTTCCTAGAGTCTCCAAAAGTAGACTAGGAGCCAGAGCGTTCAGCTATCAAGCTCCTCTCCTGTGGAACCAGGTTCCAGTTTGGGTTCAGGAGGCAGACACCATCTCCACATTTAAGAGTAGGCTTAAGACTTTCCTCTTTGATAAAGCTTATAGTTAGGGCTGGCTCAGGTAGTCCTGAACCATCCCTTAGTTATGCTGCTATAGGCCTAGACTGCCGGGGGATTTCCCATGATGCACTGAGCTCCTCTCTTCTCTACTTTCTCTCCCTCTGTATGCAACCTTATCCCATTAAATGCATGTTACTAACACAACTTCTCCCCTTTCTGGTAGTCTTGTGCTTTCTCGTCTCTCTCCTATCACTTCCTGCAGGTTTTCTGGCTCTGGAGCTGTGGAGTCTGGATCTGTGGCTGCGGGTCACCTGCTGCCCCTGTGTTCCTGCTCGACACCCTCTGCTACAACGACTATTGTTGCTAGTCTTATTGTTATTATAATCATTAACATTACGATGGTTACCATTAACACCATTATAAATATCTGTACC